TGTTCTTTTGGGACCTAAGGTCTGAACTCCGAACTATCAGAACATCCTTGAAGTAAACTCCAGGGGGCCCATGCTGTGCCGTTAGTGAGTAACGCCTGGAACTGGCTTCACGTGGGTGCTTGTTGATGTTCAGGCTGCTCCACTTGAGCCAGCTCCTTGCTCACAGCCTGGGAAAAGCAGCAGAAGGTGGCCCAAGGGCCCCTGCCATCCACAGAGAACTGGAAGCTTCTGGTTTCACCCTGGCCCTGCCCTGGCTATTGTGGGTGTATGAGGAGTGAATAGCAGATGGAAGATTCTTCCTCTTTCACTGTATCTCCCACTCTCTATGACTCTTCCATATACATAAATATTTTATTTATTTAAAAAAAAGATTTATTTCTTTTCATTGCAAAGGCATATAAACAGAGAGGAAGATCTTCCATCTGTTGATGCACTCCCCGGGTGGCTGCAAAGGCCAGAGCTTAGCCAATCTAAGTCCAGGAACCTGGAGTCTCTTCTGGGTTTCCCACCTGAGTGCAGGATGCCAAGGGTCTGAGCAATCCTTGTCTGCTTTCCCAGACCACAAGCAGGGAGCTGGATGGGAAGTGGGGCTGCTGGGATTAGAACTGGTGCCCATATGTAATCCCAGTGCACGCAAGATGAGGATTTTAGCTGTTAGGCTGCCATGCCATGCCCAAATATTTTATTTTAAAAAGTAAATCTCAGGCCTGGCTTCGGATTGGCACAGTTCCAGGCACTGCAATCATTTGGGGAGTGAATCAACCGATGGAAGATCTTCCTCTCTGTCTCATCTCTGTATATCTGACTTTCTAATAAAAATAAATAAATTTTTTAAAAAAGAAAAAGTAAATCTCTGGGCCTGGCAGGATATCTTGACTGGCTAATCCTCTACCTCCAAGTGCTGGGATCCCATATGGGTGCCAGTTCACGCCCCAGGTTCTCCACTTCCCATCCTGCTCTCTGCTTTTGCTTGGGAAAGCAGTGGACGATGGTATAAGCCTTGGGACTCTGCACCCATGTGAAAGACCCAGAAGAGGCTCCTGGCTCCTGGCTATAGATTAGCTCAGCTCTGGTCACTGCAGCCATTTGGGGAATGAACCAGTAAATGGAATATCTTTCTGTTTCTCCCTTTCCAATAAAAATAAATAAATCTTTATTTTAAAAAAGGTATTTCTCTAACCTCTTCCACCCTCTCATCAGGCCAAGGGGAACCCAGATCTCTCTTTTCACCATCTCACATCTTTTCTGCATGAGCGGCTAAGAGCATTCTGGCTACCTGTAAGAAAGGTAACCTCCGTGGGATGCAGTGAATGCTGCATTTTGTTTTAGATATAGCTGTGCCTTAGGGTGCAGAGGGAGAACAGATATCGTATTTGCTTCTCATTTTTACCTTCAAAGAGCATACTCTTACAGTTCAGTTACTGGAACATTCCCGCTGCAAGATACTTCTATGCTACTGAGACACCGTCATAAGCTTTACCCCCTGCAGAGTGTAAGGCCCATAGTATCATCCTTTTTTTGCAAGCACGGCTGTGCTCTTGACCTGTGCTTCCTAAAGTACCTGGAAAAACCCACCTCTGGGTGTCATTTCCTTCCTACATTAACTGCAACAGCTGTTCCTGGCTGGAGTAAAGAAAGATGAAAAGACAACTGTGCTAACTAGCTTCTCTTTAAATTCTTATTTTGAAAAGCATTCTCAGAACTGCTTAGCAATCCATTTCCTTCCATGCTGCATTCTGCCATTCTCGAGGAAAACCATGTTTACTTTCTCTCTCCCCAAGCCTCCAATACTTCCCGTGCGCCACTCAAGCTCACAACTGATTAATTTTTCACTGAGAAAATACATTAATTTTTCACTAAGAAAATAGAAGGAATGAAGTGGAAATCCCCTAACATCCCCACAACAGTTTAGCAGTTACCTGTAAGCGTATCTATTCTCCTTTTTCTGTGAAAATGGAGGCCAGTCTTTCCACTTAAGCTCTGAATTTCATTTCTTGCCTTCTTAGGGATTTCATTTCAACAAATCTAGTACCTGTAATATATAAGGCGAAATGCGTTACAGCCCCTTGACAAATGTATTCACACAAAGATCCAACTGAAATGAATAGATCAATCCTAAATGGAATAAAAGGTATTAATATGATAATGAAGTTCTTTCTATAGAAATACTTTGGATAACATTTTCCAGATTTATTTCTCTTTAGAGAGAAGCAAATAGTTTTCCTTCCTTACAACACTGAATTGGAAAAAATATTTATATATCCTTAGAAACCATAATGAATGGTTTATATTGTGTTATGTTTACATAGTTCTTATGCGATGGTGTAGTGTAATGGAGAATAGGGCCATTTATTTCAAAATAGAAGTTCAATTATTTTGCCAATATGCAAAAATTTACCAGACATTTATTATCACTGATTAGTAAAGATATGTTTAGACTAATTATTTTTGGATCATACTGAAATAAAATAGCAAAAGAAACAAATACATCCTAGCTTTAAGTTAGATCTTTTTATGCAGATGAAAAGCTAAATTTGCTTCTTTCAGTTTGCTTGTTGAACTAATCTCCAACACAATAGTGAAGTTGGAATTTTTTTTACCTGGTTATTCTGGAGACTTTCAGAAATTATATTAGCAAAATAAAAAGCTACTTAGTGTGCAGTCAGTACATGAAGAGTAGTTAGGAAGGTGACCACCAGCACATGTTAGCTGTAGTTAGTGTAGATCAAAGATCAAAAGGCAGAATCTAAAGTTGTACCCTTCACTTTTTGAAAAATGCTCCAAAAGGGGTGGTTGTGAAAAACAGTGTCATGAAAACACAATTGATACATTCTGAATTCAATCTCCCTATTTTTTTATTTTTAGAGATTTATTTATTTTTATTGCAAAGTCAAATATACAGAGAGGAGGAGACACAAAAAGTAAGGTCTTCTGTCCAATGGTTCACTCCCCAAGTGGCCCCATCGGCCAGAGTGGAGCCAATCCAAAGCTTGAAGCCAGGAACCTGGAGCCTCTTCCAGGTCTGCCACACGGGTGCAGGGTCCCAAGGCTTTGGGCCATCCTCGACTGCCCTCCAAGGCCACAAGGAGGGAGTTGGATGGGGCATCATCCAGGGCCATCGGGAATAGAACCAGCGACCATATGGGATCCCGGTGCGTGCGAGGACTTTAACCACTACACTATCGCGTCGGGCCCTATATATCTATCTATATATATATTTTTAAAAGATCTACTCATTTCTATTGGAAAAGCAGATTTACAGGGGGGAGACAGAGATCTTCCACCCACTAGTTCACTTCCCAAATGGTCACAATGATTGGAGCTGAGATCTGAAACCAGGAGCCAGGATCTTCTTCCAGGCCTCCCATGCGTGTACAGGGTCCCAAGGCTTTGGGCCGTCCTCCACTGCTTTCATGCCACAAGCAGGGAGCTGTTTTGGAAGTGGAGCAGCCAATTCATAAATGGACAACCATATGAGATGCTAGCACTGGTAGACGTGGGGTAGCCACTGAATCATGGCACTTGCCTGCCCCTTCCCTAAACTTTTATCAGAAACTGTGTAATTTTTTTTTCTTGTAATGAAAATGAGTTTAATAGCACCTTGATTTCAGGGCCTTATTAAAATGATAATGTGGGGCCCCGTAACATGGTCTAGCGGCTAAAGCTCTCGCCTTGAATGCACCAGGATCCCATATGGACACCTAATCCCGTCGCCCCTGTTTCCCATCCAGCTCTCTACTTGTGGCCTGGGAAAGCAGTCGAGGACGGCCCAAAGCCTTGGGACCCTGCACCCGTCTGGGAAACCGGAAGAGGTTCCAGGTTCCTGGCTTCGGATTGGCGCAGCTCCAGCCGTTGCGGTCACTTGGGGAGTGAACCATTGGACGGAAGATCTTCCTCTCTATCTCTCCTCCTCTCTGTATATCTGCCTTTCCAATAAAAATAAATAAATCTTAAAAAAAAAAGCATTCAGACAAACTGGTTACAGTGGGACTTCTTGATTCTTGACAAAATAATTAATTACCTAAAATTGTATTTCATTAATTTGAAACTTAGCTTTTTACTAGGTTGGATTTTTAGACCTATAAATTTACTTCTGTTTAAAAAGAATAAGTATGGGCATTTTATGCTTTGTTTTGGAAGAACACTCTCAAGCCTTAATAATTATTGTCTGTTTTGCCAGTGAAAAGTAGGTATTTTACTAAAGAAAAAATAAAGTGAAATTGCAATGACCCTAAGATATTTAAAAACATAACCGGGTCTGGTGTTATGGTATAGTGAATTAATGCGCAGTGCAGGTTTCCCGTATAGGCGCTGGTTGGAGCCCAGGCAACTCCACTTCCAATCCAGCTCCCCACTAGTACACCTGGGGAAGCAGTGGACAACAGCTCACGTGTTTGGGCCCCTGAACACAAATGGGAGACCTGTATGAAGCTCTTGGCTTTGGCCTGGTGCAGCCCTGGCCACTGCAGGCACTTGAGGAATGGACCAGTGGATGGAAGATCTTTTTCCTTTCCCTCCATAACTCTGCCTTTAAAATAAATAAATCAATCTTGAAAAAAAAAAAGCCTAAGGAAGATTACCTTCAAATATATTGCGTATCATGTCTGCTGCTGCAATTTTAAAGACACACATTTAAATATGTGTATTCGCTCATTAATAAAAATTATCACAATAAAAATATAGTTGGTCCTCTGTACTCACAGGCTTCCTATCCATGGATGGAACCAACCCCAAAGTGACAGACATATCCCCACTCACCTAGTAACAAACATACTTACTCGTCCACCACTCAAAAAAAAAATTAAACATTCTCATGAATCATTTCCAAAATCTATCAGTTTTATGGCAAGACAATCTAATTTCAGGAATAGTTAAAAGAACCATAATTTACAGATTATATTTAAGACAGTAGCATGTTTTCTTAAACATGAATCTTCTCATTTCTTTTTAATGGAAACATAGCTTCAAAATGAAAATAAACACACAGCCAAAAACAAAACAAAAACAAGTATGCAAAAACATTTTATTTATAATAGGTCAACTTTTGACATGAAAAGTAGCCACTTTCAATTCTCAGGAATGCCTAGAATCCAACAGTTTTCAGAAGACTAGTTAGTCAACAATTTTTTCACTGTAGGCAAAGAAGTTACTTTCCCAATGAGCCTTTTAAAATGGTTTGGCCTAGGGCAAATTAACTGTATAAGCCTGAACATGTGGTAAACCAGCTTTCCCAGGAAGTGAATGTAATCCAACTTTGTTTCTGGTATATTAAAACAGTTTATGAAACAAATATGAGAACCATTTATGTGTATCAACTATGCTCAAATGAGAATTCTTTATCAAAATAGTTATTTTTCCAAAAGGCCTCACATTAACCGCTCAAACCTATCATCCTTTCTATGTCCAGCTTTCTTCTGTACTTCCAATTGCATTTCTGAATAGTCTATAGGGACTGTACATCAATTCAAGACTCAGTGTAGTAAATTCAAACATAAGAGATGTCATTGATTATTTTAGGGACAAGTTGGTAACTACCCAGTAATAATTTAGCCAATGTCATTGTTAGTTTAGAGAGAAAAAAGTAGCCCCCAAATGTCCTTAACTTTTCAGTACTTCTAGGTAACAAACAGAATGGAAAGATAATCTCTGAAGTTAAAATCATAAAAGAAAACTTAAATAAAATGTTTAATATAAATTAAGCATTAAATTTCAGACTCAAACCATATTTTCTTTTGTATTTCAACATGGGAAATATTTCACAATTATTAGTTCTCAGTACATTTATTTTTCAGCATGTAAATCTACTACACACCACTGTGTAAAATATACTCCCCACGTTCATGTGCTGTCCCTCCTCTGGTGAGCCCCTTATGTGCATGGAAGTGCTGGGGAGGTTTATGTAGCACTTCAAGAATGTTTCATCAATTATTTACTGTAGGATTTGTGACTCAAAAATTCATCACAGCATCCTAAAGCAATCCTGTGTGAATGGAATGCGCACAATTCCTACAGATCACACAAACTGAAGTCCAAAGGCACAGAATAATGCTGGTGGCTCTTTCTTTCCAGTCAGTTAAGAAACAATAAAAAGTCTGCAATTATCATTTCATAATTTAAATACTTAAGTGATCTCCACTTTTATTACTTTATAACAATGACTTCAAATTTACATTATTTTAAGTACCATTGTAATAGCTTAGGGTATCATACAGATAATATTTGCTAATATCCCATCCAAAAATTAAAAAAAAACCCTCTTCACTATATATATACATATATATGTATAAAAATTATTCTGAAAGACAAGAACATAGAAGAGACTTGGTACAGACCATCAACTCAATTTTCTTGTACCATATTTATAATTCCAAAATCAACAAATATACAGCAATAATCAAAAACAGTGCAAATATCTTTGGAGGTTAGGATAAAATACAACATAAAAACATAAAACTGAGGAAATAAAAAAGGCAAGTACTTCAAGTACAAGGAACCAGTCTTGGTCCAACTTAGTGTTCACTGGGGGCTTCCTTCCCGTCCCTACTTCTTCCTTTGAAACACGTTGGCCAGCATGGCGCCTGAGGTTGTCAACTGGCCCATTTTGTTCAAAAACTTGGTCTTTGTATCTTCACTCACTAAGCTTGCAGCAATTGACATCGAACTAGAAAAGAAATTTCAAAATTCATGTAAAGCAATAAAAAAAATTAACAACTATTTTCTACTATAACACATCATTAATAAATACTGAACTGGCATCAAAAAACAGAAATTTAGATTATGGAGGGTAATTTTTATGTTCCATTCTAAGGCAGGAACTAAATTTTGGCTCTGTTCATTGGCTGTGTGATCTTGAGTAATTTATTTAATGTTCTTATGGGCAAAGTGCACATAATTCTAATAAGTACTCCAAAAGGCAATTAGGATTATGTGAAGAAACTTGACAGTGTGGGAAGATGGAATTAAAAAGTATCTTTTGGTGTAAAAGACCTGTCATCTATGTTTTCTTTCCATAATGTGTTTTTCCCACAAACTTCCTCAAGAAATCTCATATAGTCGTAGACCATGTAACACAGTGCTATGCACGTAACATGTTTACGTGTCAGGAGTTCTTATTATCAGCATTATTACATTGATAAGAAACAGAAATCCTGGAAGACAGACACTATCCATCCTAACAGATGAATGAATTACATCACATTAAATATCTGTGGGCTTTGATCAAATCACCTATCTATATATCATTTGTAATACAAGACTAGATTAGTGTCTAGTTTATAGTCATGGTAACTATAATGAACATATGAAAGATACCCGGGACGTTATCTCGTTCATTACTACTTTTTTCCTTTCCATGCATGTCCACATCTGATTTCATAATGAGTTTCCACAGAAGCTTTCTAATTGGTTCCAACTGCTCCTTTGTAGTTACTAAACGCTGACTTCTAAAGCAGTACTTCTGTAAGTGTGTTTCCTGCAGCTGCTGTTTCCATTACTTGGGAATTGGTTATCAATGGATATTCTCAGATTTTGACAGATATCAAACACTACAGATGGTAGTGAGCAATTTTTAGGTAATTCTCATAGGCCTTAAAACTTGAGAGCCAAGTTTCCAAGCGTCAAAAAATGACAGTTGGCAGGCCAAATCTAGTCTATTGTCTGATTTTGTAAACAGTTTTACTGGAACACAGCATTGCCTATAGTTTACATATCCGTTCAGAGTGTTTTCCTGCCACAATTGTTGAGTTGTTGTGCCAGAGACTACATGTAGTCTGCCAATCTCAAAGTAGTGTTAATTGTCTTTACAACAAAGAAGTCTGCCAATTTCTAGCCTTGATAAAGCCTTTTTTTATCTAGTGTCTACCCACCTTCATAGACTTATCCCTATCACTCTCCCCCACACGCTGTGTATTAGTTTTACTCCTAGTTCCCAAACACGTTCTTCCGTCATTTGGTCAGAGCCATTTTTTTCTGCATGCAATCTCTTTCTGTCTTGCCTCTCTCTCCAACCCATTGTTCATACTTGAAGATTCCTATTCTTTCTTCCTTGGAAACATTTGCAGGGATTGTTTCAATGTTTACTATATTTTCAACTGCTTTGTTCTACTTTTAGCTGGGAATACCCTAAGGGAAGGGAATGTGGCTTGCTCAAGTTCATTTATGTGAATATCTGATATTCACTGAATTGTGCTGAATAAATATGAAGGCATAAAAACATTATGCATATGTTTTCTGATTACAGATCAGTAGTTTTCCAACTTCTCTGACAAAGAGCCACATACACTTGGCCTAATGATCCACAGCAATTCAGGTAATTGACGTATCATAAAGAGACACTGATCTATATTACTTGGGTTGTGCTTTCCATTTCTTGACAAGAAAAATGCTCACTGTAACTAGCTGAATTTGTGTAATGATGTGCTAACAGATTATGACTTTCAGTTTGCAAATACTACTCAAAATCAAGGTTCTTTCAGGATGGACTCCATGCATGCTCATATTCGTATTGGCTCCAGATGTGAATGTCTTTATGTGTATCATCTTCAGCTTCTCCTTCTACCTTAGAGATTTATTTATTTATTCCCACACTTTTAAGATCTCCCTTGCTTTTTTGATCAGTTATGATAGACTCTGGAGGGCTAAATCAAGGAAGGTTTGCCTGAGAGATGAAACCTAAGCTTTGTCCTAAAGGCCGAGAAGAAAGCAGTGTGTTCCTGGCAGACACAGTCCCACTATGCAGCCCTGGGGAGGCAGCAGTGCGCCATCGCCAAGCACACAAAGCTCCTGCCTCCTCTGGTCATCCCAGGAAAAGCAGACAGTCAATGGAACAACAAGAATTTCAAAAAGAGGTTTGCACATTTTCTGTGACATGTGACAAATCAGCACAGCCACATGTGATCTAGCCTTTTGCCAACCTAAGTTAGTGGAGAGCAAAGCTATTACATCTACTTATTTATCTCTGACCCTAACTAAGCATAATGGCCAAAATGAAGACATTTTTGCAGGTGAGAAATGATGACAGCTTTCGCCTGACTCTGGCGGTTCATGTTGCCTGTATCATTTATTTGGTGTTTTTAAGTCACTATTCTGGTAAATTCATGCGAACACTCGGATTCCTTTCAAGACTGTGAGTATCCAGACAGCAGCGATCACACCCAACGCCGTCTGAGCTCCTGCTGGATCTCAGAGCACAGGAGTTAAGAACTTACCCACAGACTTATGATGTCACTAATGTTTTCATACATGTTTCTTTACAGAAATGAATAAGCTAAACATGATCAGACAAAATGCTGTAATATTTTAAATATTTTTGTGCTTTATTTGGTGCTTATAGAATCGTCTACTATTTTTTTTAAAGATTTATTTCTTTTTACTGCAAAGTCAGATATACAGAGGGGAGCAGAGACAGAGAGGAAGATCTTCAGTCTGATGATTCACTCCCCAAGTGAGCACAACAGCCAGTGCTGAGCCGATCCAAAGGCAGGAGCCTGGAGCCTTTTCTGGGTCTCCCGTGCCGGCGCAGCGTCCCAAGGCTTTGGGCCGTTCTTGACTGCTTTCCCAGGTCACAAGCAGGGAGCTGGATGGGAAGTGGGGCTGCTGGGATTAGAACTGGCGCCCATATGGGATCCCAACAGATTCAAGGTTAGGACTTTAGCTGCTGGGCCACTGCGCCAGCCCAGAATCCTCTATTGCTAAATACATACAAAATAGATCCCCAAATACATTCAGAATAATTTAAAAAAGGGGAAAAAGTCATAAAGCCTAATAGAAAACATTCAAAATAATCCACACAAAATGATAACTGTCTCTCTTGTCCTTACTTTTCAAGAGAAGTATGTTTATGATATTGTCATATCAGATTGCAAAGAAGGAATCGAAAAGTCAATTGAAAAGATTCCAATTAGCTAAGAATCAGATAATTTGGGGCCTGTTGCAGAAGCCTAGTGGCTAAAGTCCTCATCCTGAACACGCCAGGATTCCATATAGACACTGGTTTGTATCCCAGCTGCTCTACTTTCCACCCAGCTTCCTGCTTGTGGCCTGGGAAAGCAGTGGAGGACGGTCCAAAACGTTGGGAAGCTGAACCTGCTTGGGAGACCTAGAAGAGGCTCCTGGCTCCTGGGTTTGGATTGGTTCAGCTCTGACCACTTGGCGCATGAACCAGTGAATGGAAGATCTTTCTCTCTGTCTCTCATTCTCTCTGTAAACCTGACTTTCCAATAAAAATAAACAAATCTTCACATAATTTGGCATCATGAATGATGGCAGTAAGTGTGATGCACTGAGATACATTAAGTAAGTTCAAGTACTTAATAACAGTGCTTAAAAATTCTAATTGTTGGGCCCGGCGCGGTGGCGCAAGTGGTTAAAGGTCCTTGCCTTGCACGCCCGGGATCCCATATGGGCGCCGGTTCTAATCCCGGCAGCCCCGCTTCCCTTCCAGCTCCCTGCCTGTGGCCTGGGAAAGCAGTCCAGGACGGCCCAAAGCTTTGGGAACCTGCACCCGCGTGGGAGACCCAGAAGAGGCTCCTGGCTTCGGATCGGCATAGTATCGGCCGATGCGTTCACTTGGGGAGTGAATCGTTGGACGGAAGATCTTCCTCTCTGTCTCTCCTCTCTGTATATCTGCCTTTCCAATGAAAAAATAATAAAAATAAATCTTTAAAAAAATAAAAAAAAATTCTAATTCTTTATCATAGAAGGTACACATCTCTTTTAGAAAACTTGTAAGACAACGCTACATAGTATAAACGGATGAAATTTTTTTTTTCCTTTTGGAAGCATTCTAGCTCCTAACTGACAGAAAAATTATAGAATCCATTTTGTAACCTGAAATTATTGGTCACTTCAATCAACAGTTAATGAACATTCCAAAAACCGGGAGAAGCAAACATTTGTCTTCTCATAAAAATACACTTTCTCTTACAAGGCAGTCATGCCAAAGAAACCTGCCCCAATTCCGCTTATATTTCAGATCTAGATCAAAATGCCAAATTTACAGGAAACACAGACGAGCATGTTAAACAACATAAGGGAAATGCAATTAGTGAAATTTGGACTACAAAACCTTAAGGGACAAATAATCAAGTTTATTTTTCAACAAGTAAAAGCAAAAAGAGGAGGGCTGTCTGTGTGTAGGTGAAGAGACTTCACACACCAATCAACTACAGTTTGAATATGCTCTCCTGTGGATCCCAACTTAGAGTATTAATTGGCATGAAAAATGTGTAGGTCACAGATGCCATTTAAAGAGCAATCAGAAATTTGACCAGAGACCACATAGTTGATGATGTTAAGCAATTCTTACTTGGGTGTGAGAATGATATTATGCTTATGTTTTTAAATTTACAACTTTTTGATACGATGCAGCGTATGGGAGCGGGAAGGAGGTGGGACCTGAGTGCAATAAAATGGACTGAATCCCCACTTGCTGCAGCCATGTGATGAAAACATGCGAACCCCTTCTACTTTCTCTCTATTAAAACAGTAAGAAGGAAAGCCATGCTTATATAAATTGTGGATTTAAAACATTTTTTGAAAAAAATGTCATATAATAGACATGTTTTTCCTTTTTAAAATCTTTCATGTAAATTCATGAAATTTCATGTAGGATGTATTTTACACTTAGTTTTTTCCAAAATATGTTTTCCCCCAAAACCACACATTTTGGACTAACGATCTGAAGGCATCAAATAATCTTAATATTTAATATATGACGAATGAATAGTTGTTTTATTTCATGTCAACCTTAGGGATTCTCTGTTCACATCACAAATTTCATAGTGTTTCATCGGGCTTCTATCAAATTTAACTTTCCCTGGCTAAAATGGTAGAGATTTACTGAGAAGAGCCCCTTCCATCTTGAAGGCAAACAGAGGGGCAGAAGACTAGGCGGCAGGAGCGTGTGCTTACACCCAGACTGACTGCCAGGATGAAAAACTTAGCCCTGGAAGTCATTCTTGGAGGAAATACTTCGGAGCTCTTCTTAGTGTACTCAAAGATTAACTGTTCAAGTTTACTTCAATAGCAGTAGTTATATAATCCATTTGTATACATATCAGTTTTGCTATTATGCCCAAATTTACTTTCTCACATCTATGTTCACATTCAAAATTCATTGAGCCCTTGAACGGTATATAGTTTGGTCCAAAGCATCTTTGACTATAGGTTCTCAAGTTTATATTGCTTTAAGCAGTGAATAATTACATCTTATAATTCCTGTCACACATTTCTACTGTTTTGGCCAATGAAACCCATGTCCTGCAACATATGAATGTCTCATTGAAAGCTTCTAATTGGATCCTTTGGCTGAGTCAGAATGTCGAGAGAAGCAAACAGAGTATGTGGTAGACAACTGAACTCTGAATGTCCTGGGTCATTCTGCTGATATGGTTTAGGAACCAACAGCATCTGAGATTCACTGAGTGCAAATAACACAAAATGAGATATTATACTCATCGACAGCAAATGTATACGGGAGTTGATGTTAAGATGAAGCCTTAATAAAGATAAATTTTACCCTTGAGGCTCTTGCACAGTCTTGTTTTCTACTTTCTGTTCACATTCTTTTATCATAGAACTTAAAATAACCTGAAAAAAAAACCAGATTTACGTGAAATAAATCAGTGTAATAGTATAACATTTTAGTTTAGTCTAAAGCTTTAAAGGAATAAAAAAAAAGTTATATATTCATTTGAAAGAGTGACAGACAAAGATGGAGAAATAGACAAGGATCTTCCAGGCTGGCTCACCCCTAAACAATAGCTGCGGCTGGGCCAGGCCAAAGCCAGGCGCCAGGAATTTTGTCTGGTATTCCATATGGTGACAGGGCCTAAGTGATTACGTCTGCCACCCCGCCCTGCATTCTCAGGTGGTATAAGCAGGAAACTGCGCTGGAAATGCAGGAGCTGAGATCTGAACTAACATCAGATGTGTGATGCTGCTGTTGCAAATGGCACTTAAACCTATGGCATCATAATACCAACCCCTACATTCTTAATATCCTCATAATCTAAAAAATCAAACTAAGTTCTTTGCTGACTTTTTGACTAGAGAATTCATTTGGATTGATTGATTAGGTGCATAAATCTCTTTAAGAGATCTCAATCATATAAATTATTAAAAATTTATTTTGATGATCACTGCCTTCTTTCTAAATCTGCTTCTATTCTCCCCATCTACTGTTACAAATACAATGATTGTCCTTTCACACATTTACCATATTTATATGTCATGATCAAACTTGTACTTTCTAGTAAAAGCTACCCTATTAAATGCCTTTTGTTTTCTTCAGGTTGCAAAAAGCCAAGTTCGTCTACTTGAATGTCAACACCTGAGACTTAGTTCTGTGATTGCTAAAGCACACGATGGTGCTGAAGAGGTAAGACCACTGCTGGCAGTGAGTGTTCTTCTGTATGTCAGCTTCTGTTCTCACCAGAAACCAAACAGCCCTCCTGACTTTTCATGGCTCATGGTTTGGGCACGAATATTGCTAGGTAACGACTTATCATCTACTTCATGTGTTACAGACACTTTGCAGACACTGAAGAAAGAGACAAGGTCCTTTCCTTGAGGAGTTTATGTTCTAGTAAGGGAGACAGACAGTAAACACCAACAATTGATAAGTTATAAATGGAAGGTGATAACGCTTTGGAAAAAACCAACCAAAGAAAAACTCAGTAACACAAGGGATACTAAGCAGGCCTGGCTAAAGATCATTATAAACCATGTGGCGGTGTTAGGAAGATGTTTCTTGGAAAAGATGATATTTAACGAAAACCTTAAAGATGAAGGAGTAACTGCTTTACCCAAAGGGAAGAGGCTGAGCCAATGCTCCGGGTGGGGCGGCCTGCTTAACTCAGACTGTGAGAACTGAAAGTGGGCACGGATTACTGGGGTGTTACATGTAACTGGAAAGTTCAATTGGGAAGTGAATCAGTGGATGGAAGATCTTTTTCTGTCTCTGCAACTCTTTCAGATAAGTAAATAAACAAATTTTTATACTGAAGACAGAGTGAAAAATAAATGATGGGGTGCAGGGAGGTAGCACTGTGGCAAAGGAAGCAGAGCCACTACCTGAAATGCTGGCATAGCACGTGGCTGTCTGTGTGCTCCTTGCAACACAAGATGGCCCGAGTGCTGGGGACCCTGCTACCTATAATGGAGACTTGGCAGAAGCTTTTGGCTCCTGCCTTTGGACTGGCCCCTTCCTGGCTGTTGTGTCCAACTGAGGGGTGAAGCAGGGGATGGGAGGTCTTTGCTAAATGATTTTCAAACAAATAAACCTTAAAAAAAAAAAGATGGGAGAGAAAGTAAAAGACAAACAATGCAATAAAAAATGCAGATAGAGAAACAGAACTCTGATTTTAAGAAAGCTGATGGTCAGAGGTGGACGTTTCATAGCTAAAAATAATTTCACATACATTATCTCAGTAAGTTCTCATTATATAAAATGAAGGAATGTGTGTTATCCTTATTTTAACAAAACAGGGGCTCCAAGATGCTGAAACTCAGTCACTCAAGATACCACAACAGGCAAAATAAAATAAAATAAATAAAATAAATAAATACAAAATCCAGAAGATGACACCAAACGCTAGATTTTAAAAAATGAAGCCCAGCACACCATAACAAAGCTTAATAAGAATCATTAAGTTTTGTACGGGAGATACTGTGTGGTCATGGCACTGGGATTCAGAGTGGCTCACCTCATGCTCTGGAGAGAGATGCTCCATGTCAGTCCGCAAACATCGGAGACCAGGTAAAAAGTGGTTTACCATTAAGTCCTCTGAAATGACTTGAGACAAAGCAGTTAAGGGATTTTAAGAAGCCATGCTGGTATGTCCAAACGAATAGAGGTTTCATATGCAGTACTTGCTATCTGAACAATGCTGGTAGAATATGGATCTATTTGCTCAGGGCCAATAGCCCCCTTTCAAGGATTACTCCCTATTGAATAAGCTACTTATCAAGGCCAACTGTGTTTGTTCTTACCAATCCATGTCTGTGGTATTAATCATTGCAACATTCTATAATTACCCTATTTAAATGCATGAAACAAGTGCTAAAATAAAATCATGCAATCATCAGATGTTTAAATGAGCAGGAACTAAGCATGAAAAGAAAGAAAGAAAACTAATGTTTTCCTGACAACTAAACTTGAAGCTTTGGGGAAAAAAATGAATAAATCAAATAGCTTAAAACATTGATGTTTAATTGTTATTTTTAAAAATTTACTTATTTTATTATTCCACTATATAGTTCAATAGGCTCCAGGATTTCCCAGCCACCATCTCCAGATGTTTAATTATTATTCATAAGATAACTGTACAAGACTGGGGAAAACATAAACATCTAGAAAAATTCTATACTTAATATCAGAAATGTTTCTGGACCCTCTTTAAAGAACTCTGAAAACTGGACAACAGCATTACAGATGCCATTTATCTGAAAGATACTGAACTACAACTGCAGGTTCATGAAAGAATGTCTCAATCCTACATCAAAAGATTGGTAAAAATCACTTATATATTTTATGTTAAAATGAGTTATCTAAAATACATATGCATGCCATTTTTCTGATTTTTCACAGTAACTACTTGTTAAATTGTTGGTTCTGACCGAGTTGGATAAGAGCACTTCTCTGTAGCAAGAGCTACTGCTGTAGGTTTAGTACTACTTACAGTTCCTAGGCATCTTTGAATTTTAGTTGAGTATTTTTGACATTCAATGAAATCAGGATACCAGATGCATTTCTGAAGAAAACAGTTTTGCTCATTCAGACCAATTTTGATACATTATCATGTTATCTTAGTTGCTATTCATTTAAAAATAGCTCTTATTTAGTACTATATTGCATTAAAGTGTAAAAACAGCAGTAAATGAATTCTGTTATAAAAAATTAATCTTTCTGAAAAAAATGAATTTCATCCAAAATAAAATCAGTGCCCTATATAAATACTGTCTTGAGAATTTAGCTCTACATTTTTTATAAACGAAGCTCCTATAATGAAAGACTTAATAAGTGACCTATACATTCAGCAAGTCTTAAAAATACAGATATCAGGTAGTTGAACCAATCACCATGGACATGAACAGGGCTACAATCTAATGATCACACAGTCTTCTTTTCTAGATATGGGGAAAGTACCTCCGAGATGTAAGTAACCGTGCGTGACCTTTGGAACACCTAAAGAAATAAGGGTACGGGTTGAGAATTGTATTTGGAGAGAAGAGGTCAATCACTCTTCTTTCCCTTTCTTTCTACTCACAACTGGGGCTTATCTTTTGAAATCACACAACTCTTCCTAAAAACTGAAATTTATGGACTGGTCAGTCTCACACACTAACAGGCCTTGTATTTCCTTCATTGATAAATTATGCTCAAGAGCTCCCTATCTGCTACATGTTCAAGACATTCACAATTTCATAAAAACAATCGTTATGTTTTTACCTGGCTCTACTGGAAAGCTTTCCTTAAAAACATAATCAGCTCTGCTGAAACCTCTGCCTGTTAGTGTGAGTTTTTTTGGTTCCTATTTGGTGTGTTGAACCTTCCTTCTATGTACAAACCTCGGAAACGCTTGTCTAACTGTTCATTCCTCACCTCTCCCCCCGGTTATACATTTTCTAAAATTTTCTGAGATTTTATAAGGCATGACTTCCTGTTAGGTTATGCAGTAAAATCTGTGTTTCGATTCAAAGGCACTATCAGTGCTGGATGGAATCCTGTGTTCCTTTCAGCTTAGAATACTCAGTGGAAGAACAGAAAATATAACGTGACATCCTTAGTGGCCAGACTACATCAATTTAAGCCAAAGTCCTGAGTGACGCGCACCCAACCCTCCCAGTATTTTATTATTCTTACTACTATTAAATATTTATTTTATTGGAAAGTCAGTTACAGAAAGAAGGAGAGGCAGAAAGATCCTCCACCTGCTGGTCATCCCAAGTGGCCACAATGGCCGGAGCTAAGCCAACCTGAGGCCAAGAGTCAGCAGCTTCTTCCAGGTCTCCCGTGTGGATACAGGGTCCCAAGGCTTTGGGCCACCTTCCACTGCTCTCCTAGACCACAAACAGAGAGCTGGATGCAAAGTGGAGAGCAAAGACATGAACCGGCACCAAAATGGGATTCTGGGGCATGCAGGGCTGGGACTTTAGCCACTAAGCTACCACACTGGGCCCACACTTTCAGCATTTGAACAGGGACTCCGTGAAGATGGTTCCCCTTACTGAAATGGTGTAAACACTTTATAGAAACCTTTGGCTGTATAAGGTTATACGTTACTGTTCTGTTTAAGCTTTAAATGCTCACTTTCACAAAGCTTAATAAGTAAGTCATTATCTTGTTTCTCTGAAACACAAACTCTGACATATTACTATTCCTTTCTTGTAAGGGTCCTTGTCACTTCTTCATTACTAAAGAATTCCTTCTTGCTAATTCAGATTATCAGTTCCTCATTTTGCTTCCTCTATCTTCTCTAAGTCAAAAAGGCCAACAAGATAAATCAAGAATAATAATTAGTTCTCCTTTTAGTGGAATTAAGCTTATAGCAGACACATGCATCACTGAGGCACAGAACTATTAAACCACAGAAGCTGTGATTATAAACTAGACTAATAAAAACCATGGCTACATTGCCTACATGGTTAGCTTATTTGTAATAGATTCACAAATAAAACCTATCAACCATGTATCTGATGAGAGTTTTGCTTGTTTTTTGTTTATTTGAGAGGGAAAGAGAGAGATAAACTTACATATGCTGATTCACTTCCCAAATGGCCAAGGCCAGGAATCTGGAATCTCATCTGGGTTTGCACATGGGTAGCCAGGTCCAAGCACTTAGCTCACCTTCTGCTGCCTTCCCAGCACATCAGCAGGATGCTGGATGGTTAAGTAGAGCAGCCTGGGCTTGAACCACTGCTCAAATGGGATGCTGGCCCCAGCAATAAAATTTTAGCATTTCCCAAAGGGCACATAGTTCTTTGGCAGACAGCTCTACCTTTCTACTGTCTCTCTTAATTGTAATGATAAAAATAGCCTCCTATTGTTATATTACAGTAAAAACAAATGCACATTATCTTCTCTTTGTTCATGACACTGAACTGCAACAAAATAATGTAAAACTAAAAATAATCCTGAAAGTTTTCCTTTATGTTGTTTTTTTTTCCCTGTGAAATACAAGGAACCTCTCTCTACAATTCCTTTCTGTTTTGATTTTCTGATTATGTTGTCTAGCCCACTATTTTACAGTTCTATTTGATTTATTTAGTTTTTCTCTCTTTGGGATGTCTATTTCCCTGACCCCAATGCTCTGATTTTTAATGAAAGCCTAGAACTTGGACTTCATGTTGCCTTAATTTTTACTTCCTTCCTGCTTTTATTTTACTATGCACAGGCTAGTTAGGAGAACATGGGTAAAATCCTTTGCTTCATTCAGTCTTGCTTTTAACTCCGAAAAGCAGAACTTCTCTGGGCCTTAGTCTAATAATATAATGGCTGACATAGGCCAACATGGTTTAACTTTTTTCAGCTCTATAATTACTGAAGAATACTCATGTTGGGCTGATAATTTTCCAATAGGTGATACATCTGTAAGTGATTTTAGAGTATTCTATCAATATAGACACACATTTAAAAAATGCCATGACATTTATGTAAGGCTGAGCTGCTTTTTGGTGAACTGAAGTTTCAGCTATATTTCTGCTCCTTCACTGGCTGACAAAAAAGTAATTTCAGGTTAGGAACCTCATTAATGTTTTCAGAGCTATAAATCTGACAAGTATACAGAATTTCAAATTAACTTGTAAAGTATGAAAAGACTAGAATAAGGAATAGGAAAAATCAAATCAGATTTTCAATTTTCTATAAAATTGAAGTTGAAGAAAAGTTCTGCTCTCCATAGTTGACAAGTCTCATCATAAGATCGTGCTACATACAATGTAGATACACTTCGACACAGCAAGGATACAGCAGCAGGAGAGTGCACTGTAGGCTTCGAAAAGATGAGTAGCAATATCCAGTCTTTTAGAATCCACAATTTGTAAGTTGTTCACCAAGGCCAACTTATGTAAATGTGGTATAACAACTAGAAAAAGAAAAAGTTATATATATTTTTAATCAAGATCATGCATGCAAAACCACCATACATTTTAAAAATAATCTGTCATATTAAGTTGTAAAGTTTCCATTCTAAAGGATTATCCACATCCTAAGCTGCCCTTTTTCCCCTCTAGGAAAGAATGTATTTTTTTCTTCCTTCTATTTTTTTTTTTTTAAAGATTCACTTTTATTGAAAAGGAAGATCTATAGAGAGGATTGAAGTGATAGAAAAATGTTCTGTTTGCTGGTTCACTCCCCAAGTGGCTGGAGCTGAGCTAATCCAAAGCCAGGAGCCAGGAGCTTCTTTCAGGTCTCCCATGTAGTGCAGGGTCCAGGACTTTAGGGCCATCCTCTACTGCTCTCCAAGGCCAGAGGCAAAGAGCTGGATGGGAAGTGGGAAAGGTGGGACATAAACTAACACCAGTGTGGAATCTTAGCGGATACAAGGCGAGGATCTAGCCACCAGGCTATTGTGCTGGGCCCAGAGAGTATGATTTCAAAATAAGAAGTGATCTGGGAGAAACAAATTATGGCATTGTCATTGGTACCAAATTACAGAGATACAAATGCACAAATAATCTACCTCTTGTGTTACTTATTCCTACATGCAAGATTTAAAAAAAAATAATAATTTTTTTTGAAGAGCACAGTTAAAAAGGGGAAGAGAGAGAGAGAGAGAGAGAGAGAGAGAGAGAGAGAGAAAGAAAGAAATCTTCCATTTAGTAGTTGACGCAGCAAAGGCCAGGTCAAAGTCAGGAATCAGACATTTTTTTCTGGTGTCCCATGTAGGGGCGGGGAACTAAGCATTTGAAACATCCTCAGCTGCGTTCCCAGGAGCATTACTAGGAAGCTAGTCCCTTTGAAGCAGGTGTTGCTGCACCAGGTGAAATTCATTTTCCTCCTAGCCATGCCTGAATAGCCTAGCCAGGGGTTGGAGTGTTCTTGCATAGCAAGATGCAGTTTTCCCAACTGGGTTAGACTCACGGGTAGGGGGCACCTCACCTAAGGTGGAGGATTGTTATTCCAACCCAATGCCAACATCAGCCGCAAGCTTATTTTTCAAAATAAAAATAAATACTACCATTGCTTTTTAAATAAAAGACAAACATGTTTTCTTTGAATAACACATTTCACTCCCTCATAATACTATTAGTTTCCCAAATTCTAGGAAAGAGAAATGCCAAACACCACTCGTGGCTGTTTCAAGTCATTCCATGGGCACAAAATCTACCACACACTGCAAGAAAAGAGCTATAAAGCCTGCTAAAGTAAAAGTGAGAGCTTAAGAAATAATTAAGAAATAATTGATTGCATAGCAATGAGCTGCCCAGGTGCCCAAGACTGCCAGCTGAACATACTCTGGTTGCCTGTAACCAGAGTTCTTTGGAAAAAGAGCTTCAAGGATAGCTACTGTTGTGTTGTTAAAATCCAACAAAATACCTGAGGATAGTGTCACAAAGGCCCTTTTTGGAGGAACTTTTGAGTTGTCAAAACTAAAAATCAAGGGGAACTCTAGAAAAATAGGGCTCAAATCTCCAAGCATTCAGTTGTCGGCTTCACGCTCTGGGATGTTCAGGCCTCAACAGAACCAGTGTCTCCGCGAGCGACTTGCTAACACGCGCTGGTTTACTTCTCCACTGGTCTCCTAAAGCTTACCTTCCTGAACTCTATTTGCTCATGCACGACACCTTCATTACTTTGCTCCCGAGTCTCATTTTCGTAAATGCTGCCCTCAGAAAAGCAGCAGTCATATGGCACAACATTGTCTTAAAATTGCTTGCCCAGAAGACAGATAGAAACTTAACTTTAGACTAGAGGCAGTTAAAAATTGTAAAAATTTTACAAGTTCTCAAGATGTCAGAAATTTAAGATAACATTCAAATTTCAGTAAACAGTACTGTCCTAGACTACCATATCTGACTAATTAGGTCATTGAATTGTTAACCCATCAATTGGAGAAAGCTGATTAAAGCAGTTGCATTAAAAAAAAATTTACTTGAAAGTCAGAGTTACAGATTTTCCACTGCTGCTTCACTCCTCTAATGGCTGCAACGACCACAGCTATGCCGGACTGAAGCCAGGAGGCGGGTGCTCTATCCAGGTCTCCCACGCAGGTGGCAGGGGCTCAAGCACTCAGGCCAATTTCTGTTGCTCTCCCAGGAGCATTAGCAGGAAGCTGGATCACAAGTGGAGCAACAGGACTTGAACAGGCACTTGTGTTGGAAGCGCTATCCCAGGCAGTGGCTTAACTCAGTGCACTATAACATTTGTCTCAAGCGGTAGGATGTTAAAAACTGGGAAAGGTTTGTAATTTACATGGGCATAATTTTAAAATAAAGATAAATACACAGGAGTTCTAATAAAGTTGTATTTCAGGGTACAGCATGGTGGTCTAGTAGAACATCTGCAGTGCTAGCATCAGATATGGGCATCAGATGAGTCTCAGGCACTCCATTTCTGATCCAACTTCTTGTTTATGGCCTGGGAAAGCACAGAGGATGGCCCGAGTGCTTGGGTCTCTATACTCATGTGGAGACCTACAAGGGGCTCCTGGCTCCCCGCTTCAGACCAGCTTGGCTCTGTACATTGCAGATACCCGCAGTGAACCAGTGGATGGAATATACTCTCTGTCTTTTCTTCCCTCACTGATACTCCTGTTACTTTTATATTCCCAAAGAGAATTATCTATAAATACATCAGGTTAGAGGGAATGGTATCCACTGGCATACATTAGGTGCAGGTCAGGGGGGCAGATCAGGCTGAACTAGTTCACATTACCTGCTGATGACGAATCTGAGCACCAGAATAGAGTGTGGTAGGTTGTGGCCAGGTTTGGCTGCAACATGTATCAGTATACATTAGGGCTGGGACTGGGTGCGAGCTGGGCTGGGCTAGGCTGTAACCCCCACCAGCATGAGCTGGAATTGGGGCTGGGCTGGGCTGGGCTAGGCTACAACACCCACTGGCAAACACCAAGGCGAAGTGGGCCATGCCAGACTGGGCCACAGCACCCAACCAGCACACGTGAGAACTAGGCAGGGAGTGGACAAAGCTGGTAGGGATAATGTGGAGGGCCCCCCTGCTGGACAACCACTCCTCTGGAGAACATGAGCTGGGATTGGGGCAGACCAGACCAGGCAGTGATAGAACACCTGTGGGCCTCATGTGAGCTAGATCAGGGCAAAGTAAGGCTGGATTGACTGTTGTTACTGGTGCAAGCATAAATCAGAATGGGTGAGATATGGTTGGGCTTTGCCACAGCATCAGCTGGCAGATGCTGACACTGGAGGTTAATTCTGTCAAGTTAAACTACAGAACCACCTGGAGAGTACATCACCTGGGAGTGGGAGTGGGCTCAGTAGGGAAATAGTGGGCACCTCCCTCTTGGGTTACCAAACCCATTGGAGAGCATGAGAACCAGGATTGGGGCAGGTGTGGCTAGACAGGATGGCAACCGACAGCATGTGTGTGGGCTGGACAGGTTGAACTAGGCTTCAATGCCCACTGATGTGTACCACTTGAACAGTGCTCTCAGAGCATGCCCCACATTGGGTACCTGGGATGGGTGGGAAGCTGGGTGGAGCTTTTCCCTTGATCTCCCCCTTACCCCAGGGAAGAAAAAAAAAAAAAAGAGAGAGAGAATGTGGAAACAATGGTCTTACCCACTTTCCTGTAGTCCTTGACCCTTTGTGCCTTAATCAACTATGTAAAGATTATCAAAATAAAAAAACCAAAAAAATAAAAATAAACAGATATCATCCAAAAAATGTTGATGGCTTAAGAAAAAAAAATAGCTTAAAATTTTATCTGGTAGAGCAAAAGGATAGTCAGTTAACAGGAAGTAAATACAACAGAAAAAAGTGTCTTACAAAAAATGTGTTTTTTTCAGAATGTGAAAGAAATTTGAATAAGTATATTTTCTGAGTATATAGCAAACTGTAGGAAGCTTTTTTGTTGAAGAAGTCTATCCAAAAAGTGGGTATTTCTAACCTAAATCTTTCCCCAAGTTATCTTCAATAGCTATTTTGGATCTATTAATGCAAAAAATTTCTTCTCTGTTAGGTAACTCTTTTTTTTTTTTTAGATGTATTTATTTTATTGGAAAGGAAAGATCTTCCAAGTGAGCACAACGGCTGGTGCTGCACTGATCCGAAGCTGGGTGCAGGATCCCAAGGCTTTGGGCTGCCCTCGACTGCTTTCCCGGGCCACAGGCAGGGAGCTGGATGGGAACTGGAGCTGCTGGGATTAGAACTGGCACCCATGTGGGATCCTGGCGTGTTCAAGGTGAGGACCTTATCTATTACGCTATCGTGCCGGGCCCTGGTAACTCTTAAAAATTTAATAAGCAAGCATTTATCTTATAAAGAAAACAGTCAAATAAAAGTAAGGATTATTTAAGAAAATTCTTAAAAATTCTGGGCAGTGAGATCAGGATATTAACAGTATGATTTCAAAAGTAACAAGTTCTAGAACTACTGAGTACAAATGGCACCAGGGACACGAGCAAAAAAAATCAGAGCAGGGGCTCTGAGAATCCAGACTGGTTGTTCTCGTATTATCTCAGTAAGATCTTGTGTATCGTGTGTTATCTAGTACTATCGGACCCTATTTTCGAGGTTTTACTTTATAACCTAGCTGCACCACAAGTGTACTGCTTGTCTAGATCTTTCGACATGTTTCAGAGCCGCCTCAGCAAGATCAAAGTCCGCTAGGTGTCTTATGAAGATCACCTGTAAAACCTATAAGATGAAGGGGAGAAATATTCTGTGGCTAAGTAAAATAGCGACCATTTTCTGCTGGTTTTATTTAACTAATTATGAATTCATAGTCTGCCAGTGAAAAAGAATCTCTCACGATGGTGTTTCTGTTGCTTGATAAGTACCCTGATTCTCAACAAACCTTAAAGTTGCTGCATGTAGATCCAATCAGGATTTACTATTTTCCTTGATGACTCTTACCTTAAAAATGCTTACAGACAACTGCAGACTGCATATGCAAGAATCAGTCTGTTGAAGAAGCTTACTTTGCATTGCCATAAAGTAGCCCAACACATGGCTCTCCTTAGAGCATGCCACATTGCTAAAACCAAAGCGGCTATGGTAATGCAAATACACCTGATTTTAGAATAATAAGTTTTAGATTCTTTGATGTTTTCCCCACAAATTGATGTCATAAAGGTTGAAGTCCACAAAAAGAGAAGCTAGAGAAAATGCTTCAGCAGACAACTGTGCAGATCATTAAGCAGTTCGACAGGCCAGGACTGAAGTAAGTTGACGTATTATGCTGAATGGCATCCTCTACCAAAGAAATGCACATTTTTCAAAAGAGTATGTCTAGAAACAGAAAAGTTCCTTAAAAGTAAGAAGAAAACCCTTTAAACTAAAGTTAAAACAATATTTTGCAAGAAATGAGAAATGTTTCTAAAAAAACTTGAAGTTTATGTGTATTTCTATAAATCTTATAGCAATCAACATATAGTATAAAAAACTATCCACTAAATATAATAATATTGATCAAATCACAGAAATTAACCTGTTTCATGTTCAGCTTACAGCAAACATGAAAGTGTGGCAAGGCAATTACACACAACAAATCCTCAAAGGAGTGTCTGGCTTTGATTGTGTATTAAAGTTTAGGGAAAAAGTAAAAATAATGCAACTTACACTCATCTCGGAATCTGGGTTCTGCATTAGGACCAACTCTGCCAAATGTTTTTATGATCTCTGTGTGCAAAGAATGTTGGTCTTGATACTGCGGGTCTTCCAGGAAAGAAGCCAACTGCATCTTCACTCTTTCCAGCAACTTAAAATTAGATATTATATAATTATTTTACAGAATATTAGAAACTCAGTAAATTGCTAAAAGGTATAAACAGCTTGTAGTAGACTTAAAAAATTGACAGCCGGATGAGAATAGACATTTCAAAATAAGTATTTGCTTAATCTTTTGGCATTGAAAAAAAAAATCTCACAGTTATTTATGCTTATCCAGTCTTATCTTAAAAAAATAAATATTCTGACAGATATTTTAAAAAGGCTATCATCAAAAAGATTAGAGATAAGGGAATAAGTTTAAAATGATTGTTTCTAAATTACAATTCCTGAAGCAAATCACAGTGTAAGTCATCCAACTATTTACCTTCTGAAAGCAATGAGTCATTAATGACTTACAGCTTACTCACATTTCCTTAAAACACATTTTTATTTTAGGATTTAAGAATATGTTGAAATTCTGCAGAGACTGCAAGCTTTGCAGAATGGTGTGCTTTTTTGGCGGGTTGCTTCATCAGTGAAATATATAAGTAAAAAAAAAAATGGAAAGCCTTTCTATCACAACAAAACTCTTTAAGACTAGAAATTACAGGAGAAACAAAGTTTACATATGTATATATATATATAGTTTGTTTTGGTGACTAGGTAAGGTGAAAACAAGTATTTTATTTTCTGATTTACAGGGGTTTTTATTTGCATTCAGATATATCCAACATCCTACCAAAGAATAAAATTCTGTTATTAATTTTGGGAAGTTTCTTATAGTTAATGTTGCAGATAGAACCTAAAAAACTTGAGGTAAAAACCCAAGTAATCTTCTGAAACAGGTGTGACAAGATTTGTACAATGAGACGCCTGGTCATGGATGATATTAAATGATTTTTTACAGCTTGCCATCAACAACACAGTTATTAGAACATGGATGCCTCCTTGTCCCTAATGTTTTCTGGCAGAACTTCAAATCTGTGTAAATTGGCAATCCCGAGTTTATACAGATTGACTGGAAGTCTGTCAGCAGGCTTTGGAATTAGACAATTGGAAGGATTCTTTGAAAGCACAAAATCCAGGTAGGGTTGAAATACAACATTTATAGTTAACTTTCTGAGATTAAAAACTAAAGATTTCCTCGGAATATGGAGATACACCCTTTTTAGGCTATCATGTTTTGAAACATCAAAATTCTCCTCCAGGGGTATCAGTAACTAAGAATAGAAAGAGGCTCAGTGAATCCCACCCTCATCACCAAGGATGTCACAGGACACAGATATCAAAAAGTGTCAAAGATTTCCTACCTCTCTTTGAATAACTGTTTCCATAATAGTACCAAATGCTGGTATTGTGGCAATCCTGACAGAGCTGTCAAAATTAAAGAAGAAAGACACTGAAATTTTTCTTTGAGATGAAAAATGGGTATTATTAAAATGTATATCAAAAAGTACAAAGTAAATACACTGTATTAGTCTCTAGCAATGACAAATTAAATTAAAACAAAAACAAAAATAAAAACAAGCAGACCAAGAATGCTCATAAAGACAGGCAGGATAACTTAGGTCGCAGTCTGTGAAACTCACAATTCAGGATCACTGGACAAGGTAACAAGGGCCGGAGCAACCCGCTTGTCAACTAACGCTTCACTCATGCCTCGAAGAGTCAGCTGTAAACCAGTCAACATGCAATAAAAAATGGTTTGGTAAACTGGAATGAGAACTGGGTTAGCTGTGACTGAGGATGGGCAGAGGCAGACTCACTGGCCTTTCCTGGCTTAGTCACCCACAGGAGACATTAAAATGTTAAGCCTTTGGTTCATGCCACTACGCTTACTCTTAACAACTTGTTAGTGAGATTAGCAGAGCATCCCTTGTTGGCTTGTTAGAAACAGTCCATCAGCATGCTTTAGGTTTTGGAAATGCTTACTGAGTACTAATAGCAGCACATTTTCTTCAATATACAGTTTTCAAATAAGGCTTACTGTTGAGGGTTGACTTAAAAATAAGATAATAATCATATGATAAAATTTAAAAATAAACAATTGAATATTGCTATCTTTGAGAGTCTTTGAATTTAAAAGAAGCTGATGGCTATTTCTTGACAAGCCGTTTGGGAAGGGCTGCTGGATGTATGAAGCAGGGACAACACTTACATTTCAGGGTCACTGGAGAGAGTAATGAGAGCAGGAACAACCCTCTGAGCTACCAGAGTCTCATTCACCCCCTTCACCAACAGCTGATTGGTCAGCGCAGGGGGTAGTCACAGGTGGTGCATGGAAAGAGCAAACAGTGCATCATGGGAAGAAGAAAGGAACAACCAAGGGAAAGAGAAAACACAAAAGCAAAACCAAAATTAGAAGCTAAGCAAATATTGCTACTAGAGTGCTTTACAAAAGCAGAGAATGCTGAGGAAGAAAATGAGCTTAAATAGCCTAACAGTCCATGAAAACAGATTATGTCACCAATTCAATAGTTATTTTGTCCTTTTGGTCAAATAGCATATACAATTTCCATGTCCAATTAAAATGTAACCTGAAAGTAAACTTTACTTTTTAGAAAAAGGATCTAGACAGAAGGCACATTATGGATTAAACGATTAAAACTTTACGTTGTGATTTTACTGTGACCTAATAGGTACAGACTGGGCTGTTTGAAACCAAAGACAAACAGCTATCAGTCACCATTAAACTGCTTAAGATTATTGCACAGTAGGTAAACTGAAAAACCACACAGGAAAACTCCGTCCTGATGACACAGAGACATAAAGCAAACTGTTCCAGAAAATAGTACGCTTAGGGGTCAGAGCTGCATTCAGACTCAAGCTCTCTGGTAATTTACTAGTCAAGTGATGGTAGATGTCAACTCTTTCGAAATGTATCTTTCTCATATGGAAATGGCTAGATTATCTTCCTTCCCCAAAGGATCTTCATGCCACCAACGTGCATATATTATCAACAGCACCAAATGCGTGGCTGATGTAGCAGCACTAAAACAATGAGAGTTTAAACTATGACTCTACCACGAGTGTATAATTTGTGACATATCAGTTTCATTAAACAATTGTTTTGCATCTCTAAATGCTCAAAGAAATTTTAAAACAAATGAGTAGGACTATCTCTATATCTATTTAAAATTACTTAATGACCAGTGCTAATTTGCAAGAGTACAACATTGAAACACATGCATTTTCTTAAAGGAATAGTACCAAATTTGTTAAGTTCAGAGAAGGGCAACTCCATTCTCAATTTAAGAATGTAAGCACAAATTAACATTACATTCCAATCAATTCACTGATCTAGTAATGGAATCAGTCGTCAGAAAAGATCAATGATGCCATTAAATGATGATGACAAAAGCCTAACCTTGTGTGCATAAAACATTCTTGTTACACAACACATCAGAGAAAGAGTTAGGGAGAGGGAGGAGGTGGGGAAAGACAGGGAGAGAGAGAGAGAGCGCGAGCACCTGCACAACAGCTCAGTTTACGTGACGGTTCTTATCTTTCAATAATCTGTTACATCTACCAACTGTTTCATTGTGGAATATACTTCAATATTCTGAAATAATTTTTACTACAAAACAAATAATTCAAAAGGAATAAAATGAGAAAAGAATTTGTATTAGTATCTTAAACATTATAGATGTTAAGGAGAAAATGAGACAGCAAACTTAATTTCTGTTAAACTAAACCTTCTTCTCTGTATGAATCTAGCATTATTTTATGTCCACCAAAAGCATGAGAGGAAGGATAATCTAGGGCACAAGTTAAGTTTTCACTGCCCTGAGATTTTAAAGTTTTATTTCGTTGTTAAGCTAAAAGATGAAAGTAACTTTAAGAGCCATGAATTTAGACTTCACAAATCATATGATCTTTTACGCCCGCTGCAGTGGGTCACACAGTACTGGGATTTTTGAGCAGATGGGGAAACCTTGCCCAGGGCTTCAGAGGCCATGGTCACAGAGCTAGAGTGGACATGGGCAGCAGGCATGCAGGCCTCCTTCACTGAGCTGGGCTCTAATGTCAAGTGCCCAGTTTCCTCGTGACTGAGGAAAGAAACAGTGACATGGAGTTGTTTCTTGCATCTCTATTATACCACACAGAAATTTCTTCTTGTTAAATAATCCATCAGTTTGCTATAACGATCTCTATTTAACAATGAAAACAGCAAGTCTGACGGAGCTTTTCCCCTTTTGACCTTGCCATTTCAACATAAACTAAGTGCAGTATTAAATTCCAGTCAGAATCCAGTCTGATGGTATATCCAGGTTTCACTTCTCAAGAGCTTGTGGGCGTTTGGTACAGCAACTAAGCCACTGTTGGGACACCCATATCATAGTGCCCAGTTCCAGTCCCAACTCTTTCTGTCACAGCTGTTTGCGAATGCGGACCCTAGAGAACAGCTGTGATGTGAACCACTTGGGAGATCAAGCTTAATTTCCAGACTATCAGCTTTGGCATGGCCCAGACTTAGCTGTTGCCAGCTTTTGGGGAGTGAACTGGCAAAACCTCTCTCTGTTTCTCTTTCTCTGTCTCATTGACTTTTGGATAAAATGTTTCTGGGGGTTTGGCACAGTATCCTAGTGGCTAAAGTCCTCACCTTGTACACACAGGGCCCCAATATGGGCACCAGTTCTAATCCCGGCAGCCCCACTTCCCATCCAGCTCCCTGCTTGTGGCCTGGGAAAGCAGTCGAGAACAGCCCAAAGCCTTGGGACCCTGCACCCGTGCGGAAGACCTGGAGGAATTTACTGGCTCCTGGCTTTGGATTGGCCCAGCTCCTGCTATTGCAGCCACAGGGGGAGTGAATCATCAGAGGGAAGATCTTCCTCTCTGAGTTTCCAATAAAAATAAATAAATCTTTAAAAAAGAGAAAATTGTTTCTGGTCTCATTAAAAAAAAGTGTTCTTCTTGAACATTTAAAAAATTGAAAAAAAGGGACTAATTTTACATGAAAGGCTTTAGTAAAAAAATTCTTACAAGCAATATTTATTCTTTTATTACAATTTTGTTCAAGATGATGATTGACAAAAGGAAACATTTAATTTCTCCTACTGATGACTTACTGACATACTCAGTGAAATGTTACCATTAACAAATAAAACAACTACTGAAATAATCTCTCAAACTAGACTCAGATATTTAAAACCAATCTAAGAGGACACTGAAAATGGCTAGAGCATAGGTATGTTTCCAGAACAGGATAACAGCAAAAAATAAAAACAGACAAAATAAACGAAACCAAATCAGACAAGATTTACACATAATGAGAAATAAAGGAACAAAACAAAGGGAATAAGCAGAAACAAAAGGGAGGATTTAAATTTATTTTTATTTCTATGCTATGCTTCACCAGTACATACATACATTTTGGAAACAAAGGGTTTAAGAGAAAGAAACAGCTTTCATGGTTCTTAGGATAAAAAGCCAAGTAGACAGTACATTAAAGAAACAGCTTTTCATTTAAAAGGATGCTTCCACTTTAGGGAGAAGAAAGGAAGTAAAGACAGACTTTTCCTTTATGTTAATACCCTCGTTTCAGCACACTTAATAAATAAATCAAATAACAGGTATTGTAAGCCAGAGTTACTTTGGCATTCACGTTGACAGAGTTCTGCATTCTAGTTTATTTATTTATTTTTTTCCTTTTAAACCAAATAGGTGGTAATAACTGAGGGGAAAACAGATTTTCAACTTTCTGTTAGTAAGTGTTGTGATTAGTGTTGTTGAAATAGAACAATAATCATGACAGTTAAATTTACCATAAGCTCATATGTTCCAGACAAGAGCTTTATAAACATTAACAAAAGTTCTTCGAGAGGAGTAGTTTTTTCTCTTTTTAACTGAGTGGCAAGGATGACAGATTTGGAGGAATAGTTTTTTCTTTTTTTCCTCTTAAACCATCTTCAGAGGAAACTAAAGCTTTGAAAAATTCAAGTGATTTACAAGATCACTAAGCGACAGAGAGGAAAAAAACACAGGCAGGGTTGAAAATCTCCAACCCATGCTCCCAAACAATAAAAACATTAAAGTGATCTAAGTGTTCAATTGAAGTTCTAAAACATGTCAATATAAACATCTCAGCAACAACCTAATTTGCTACAAAATGGACACAAGAGATGGGCATTTCATTTTTAGCTCTGCTGGTGGTACTTTAATATGGTTCAGATAAATTCTAGGAACGGTCTCTTCTAAGTTTACTGGTAGCTAATGCACAGAAGTGATATTCCAGAAAGGAACAGAGAAGTAGGAGTAATCAATAAAGCAAGCATTTCCATAATGATAAAAATTGGTTTTTGTGCTAATAAGTTATACTTTGCAATGTGAAAGATAACCTATGTTGTTTTACTTTCTTTTAATAGTCCAATTACCCTAGTAATCAGAAAAATATAGTCAGATTAATACTTCATGGAATTTGAGCAACATAATTTATTACAAAATAACATTAAAGGAACCAATAAGGCTAGAAAACATTCTTAATTAAGTTAAAGCTAAATTTCTGCCCCATCACACAGTACACAACTAGGTATCATCAAATATCAGAACAACATGGTATATAAATGCATTACATAAAAAATAACCCCTTTTCCCTCTTCTAAATAAAATAATGTTAACTAACAAACATTCATCTGTTGACGTACCTCAAACATTCTAGCAGCAGTACACCTCACAAGTGCTGACGTATGGACAACACCATACCATAAAACAGTTAACAGCAGCTCATGGTAGGCTGGATTTGCACTGGAATAAAAACACAAATGTTAAAACTGAGAGCTATGGCGTTTTACTGAGAACTGACAAACACTATGTATAAGGAATTTTAATGACTCAAATATGGGCAGAACTAAAATCACTTTCTATGGATTAATGGGTCACAGCCAAGATTGTTTTTTAAAAAAGGAAGTTACCTTACAAAACCACAAGCCATATTCAGAAGTCACACCTGTAGCTTCCCTAAGCATGTGCAATTGTAGCAGCTATTTCAATTCTTTAAATTAGAACGAGGACTTAGATAAGTGAGTTACCACCTCTGCAAGTCTTAGTATCTCCATCTGTAAAAATTCAGAAAGCTGTGTACATTTCACTTATGACATATGGTGGCTGTGAAATGAAATAAAATCAATTCATCCTGTAAAGCCTCTCCAGATGTCATTTTATTAATGAATCAGAAGCCTGAGATAAAACTGCTTTAGCAATCAGATGATGTATTTAAGGACAAGAATAAGCAAACTGAAGACAATGGAGAAAGGAGCCTGAAGGAGCTACCTTCCAATTGGAAAACAAATTTGTGCAAATTGGTACGTGGCAGTATTTTCCAACTACTTCAAAGAAAATATTTGCATGCTAACCCCATTCTGAAAATTATGATTTACTGATTGCAAAACATTAAAAATCTTTAACTAAACAAAATAAAAAACAACCTCTCTTAATATTCTTATTCTTAAGTCACAAAACCAAGAAAGAGATCTTTAAGCCAGTCCTCTTATACTTAAAATATGTACTCTAAAAACCCAATTTAAGGGCCCAACACAGAAGACTAGTGGCTAAAGTCCTCGCCTTGTACATGCTTGGATTCAATATGGGCACCAGTTCTAACCCCAGCAGCCCTGTTTCCCATCCAGCTCCCTGCTTGTGGCTTGGGAAAGCAATTGAGGACGGCCCAAAGCCTTTGAACCCTGCACCATGTGGGAGACCCAGAAGAGGCTCCTGTCTTCGGATTGGCTCAGCTCCTGATGATACAGACACTTGGGGAGTGAATCAACAGATGAAAGCTCTTCCTCTCTCTATACCTGACTTTCCAATAAAAAATCCAATTTAAAAACACTGTAAGACTCTTTTTGGTGATAAATGATGTGTTTGTTTCCCTTCAGCTGTTTCTCTAAATCTTTCCCCACCCTTTTGGAAATCTTTCTGCTTCCATTTGGATGGAGATCCTTTTGTAGTTTGGTCAGCTACAAACTATTGTAGTTTCCCCTTTCCATCATCTTGGGACTTCCCTTCATTACTTGGTTCTTAGCTTCCTAAGTAGGCTATCACTCCTCCTTATGTACTTTTTCAAAGATTACAAGCTATTGGAGTTGGCACAATGGCTCAAATGGCTAATCCTCTGCTTTTAAGTGCCAGTATTACATATGGGGCCAATTCAAGTCCCAACTGCTCCATTTCTGATCCATCTCCCTAGTTGTGGCCTGGAGACAAAGTGGAGGATGGCATGGGTTCTTGGGAGATCTGGAAGAAGCTTCTGGCTTCAGACTGGCTTACTCTGGCTATGGTGGCCATTCGGGGAGTGAAGCCAGAATAACGTTGATCTTTCTGTCTTTCCTTGTACCTGCAAATCTGCCTTCCAATAAAAATAAGTAAGTCTTTAAAACATTTTATCGCCCACCACACAGGGCTGTTGTGAAGGTTAAGTGAAAGAATCTTTGTGAAAGTTTCTTTCTTTGTGAAATATTCACTTGTCAATTAAGTTGGGTAAAAGTTAAAAAAAAAATTTATGAAAATGTTTTTTTTTTTTTACCCCAGTTCCACAAAAGAAGCCTTCAGGCTATCAAGAGGAGCATGAGATAAGGAAAGCAAAGTCATTACATCTTCTAAGAATCCAACTAACAGTTTTCGGTCTTCTTCCTACAGAGAAAAAATACCAACAGTGAATTTCCAAGCAATTCTGCAGAACTAAATACCATAATCACTGATCCTTAATTAGAAAAGTGTTACCAAATAAGGGGAAATATCTTGATTTATGAACTATTTTAATTAGAGATAGTTGTTAAGCATATCTATTTCCATAATGATATAAGGTAACATAATATGTTGATTTTTATTTAGATCTGTATTGTCCAATATGACAGCCATTAGGCACCTATAGCAATTTAAATTTAAATGAAAAACACATGAAAAGATTAATTTCTTCACACATGCTAATTACAATTCTGAGGTTAAATAACAGAAGTGGAGATTATCTACTTTATTATGACATAGCTCAGCTATAGAATATTATATAACTGCAGAAAGTTTCATTGGATGGTGCTATTTGGCAACATTAATAGGCAAAATATTTCATTAACATTTACTTTACCAATTTAATTCCCATGATTTTTGACTCTCTACAGTTAAATACAAACTATTAAAATACTAATATCCAGATTAGCTGAAAATTGACTTTTAAATGGCTTTTGAAACATCCTAGTAGTAAAGAACTATGCTTGCAGAAATAGTCTATTATGTTATGTCTCATTACTTAGGATAATTTATACTGAAAATTTGAATTAGTGTTAAAAAACTTTCCAATGAGTCTCTATTACTTTCAAAGTAAGGGAAAAAATTAAAAACAAAACAGCATTAATAAATTGCAGAAAAAGCAAACTTGCTAAAAATTAGGAGAGCTTAAAGAAAAACTTGACTCTGATCTCAACTGAACTTGAACTATGGTTATGCAACAAGGTGGAGGAATCCACCATGGGGGGAGGGGTATGGGGAGGGGTGGGGGGAATCCCCAGCGCCTATAAAACTGTACTACATAATACAGTGTAAGCAACAATAAAAAAAAAAAAAAAAGAAAAACTTGACTCTGTCAGGGGAAGGGCAATCTGACATTCTATCAGGAAATACACACACAACAAAATTGAAGTCAAGTTGTCACTTAGGAACATAGGCGACCAACTAACAAGTTTCTGAATGTATCAGTAAATTCATGTAGACTGTACTACTGCCCTTTAATTTCCTTTTCTCCCCATAGCACAGCATACAATGAGGTAGCAAAAAATGCCGGGAAGGAGTAACGACTAATATGATAAAGGAAGCCTATTGCAGTAGGAAACATAAAAAGGCATAGATAGTGACAAACTGAACACAAGCTGGAAAAGAGATTGCACTCATTCTTATGACTTTAATATGTCAAATGTAGTCATAACTTTGCAAAATAAAGCATAAATTTGTTAAAGGCTGAGTGAAGTAAGTGTTAAAAATAGACTTGCAGGGGCCTGGTGCCATGGCTCAGTGGCTAAAATCCTCTCTATGAGCATGCAGGGATCCCATAGAGGAGCTGGTTTGTGTCCCAGCTGCTCCACCTTCCAGGCAGCTCCCTGCTGTAGTCCGGGAAAGCAGCAGAGGAAGGCCTATGGCCTTGGGACTCTGCAGATGTGTGGGAAACCCTGAAGAAGTGGCTGCTTGGGAAATGGACCTGCAGATGGATTTGCCTATCCAATAAAAACGAAAAAAAATGTTCAAAGAAAAAGACTATAAAAAACCCAGTTTTAGATATAAATGCATAGGGCTTGGTGATGACGCAGTGGCGAAATCCTTTCTCTGCACGTGCCAGGATCCCTTATGGGAGCTGGTTTGTGTTCTGGCTACTCCACTTCTCAATTCTTATGGTCTGGGACATCAGCAGAGGATGGCCCAAAGTGTTGGGAGCTTGCATCTGCATGGGAAACCTGGAAGAAGCTCCTGGCCCCTCGATTTGGAGTGGCTCAGCTCCAGCCATTATGTCCACTCATGGAGTGAACCAGTAGATGGAAGATCTTTTTGTCTCTCCTTCTCTCTATATATCTGTCTTTCAAACAAATAGATAAATAACTAAGAAAAGTGTAAAAAAGTTTACCAGGACACTGTGCTACTTGAACAGAACTATAATTTAATTGTACAGGAGGAACTGTTTAGTGAGAACAGTGCAAATATGAACTGCTGTACTTCTAACTCAAACAGCAAAAGAAAAGTTAGGTTTTGGTGAAAATTCAGGAAATTGAGGAGAAAGGTATTCCTTCTTCATTTTCTCAATTTCATTTCTGAAAATTATTATCTTAAGTTATTTCAATTTACTGATCTTAATGCATCACAAGTATATGAGACATTTACTTAAAACAAAATAGAGTATGATGTTTTGTTATATTGATGATCACTCATGTACCGCACTGCCCTTTCCATACCTTGGCTATGTTCGTTATTCTTGTGTCTGGGCTGGGCCAGCAGTTTATTTAACTAACAGACAAGATCAGAAGTGATAATGCACCAGTTTCAGGTTTTTCAGCTTTTGTTTTCTTGGGGCCTTGGGTCCTGGTATAAAAGTGCAGGCTCTGGGACCCGGTGGTGTGGCAAAGTGGCTAAAGTCCTCGCCTAGAACGCGCTGGGATCCCATATGGGTGCCGGTTTTCATCCCAGCAGCTCCACTTCCCATCCAGCTTCCTGCTTGTGGCCTGGAAAAGCAGTCAAGGATGGACCCAAGCTTTGGGACCCTGCACCCACATGGGAGACCTGGAAGAAGTTCCTGGCTTCTGGCTTCAGATCAGCATAGCACCGGCCGTTGTGCTCACTTGGGGAGTGAATCATCGGATGGGAGATCTTCCTCTCTGTCTCTCCTTCTCTCTGCATATCTTTTATTATTTTTTTTATTTTTTAAAGATTTATTTTTATTGGAAAGTCAGATATACAGAGGGGAGGAGAGACAGTGAGAAAGATCTTCTGTCTGATGATTCACTCCACAAGTGAGCCAGATCCGAAGCCAGGATCCAGGAACTTCTTCCAGGTCTCCCATGCGGGTGCAGGGTCCCAAGGCTTTGGGCCGTCCTCGACTGCTTTCCCAGGCCACAAACAGGGAGCTGGATGGGAAGTGGAGCTGCTGGGATTAGAACTGGCACCCATATTGGATCCCAGTGTGTTGAAGGCGAGGACTTTAGCCACCAGGTTTTGTAATAAAAATGAATAAATCTTAAAAAAAAAAAAAAAGAGCTGGCTCCGCTGCTCCACAGGTCATGGGGATATCTTGAAACCCAGCCTTTCCTGGAAACCCCCACGTGGGACTCCAGTAACCACCCAGCCTAATGCAGGGACCTGAGCGATTACCAGCAACGGCAGGAGCACAGGAACCAGCTGACACAGCCTGAGTGCAGAACCATGAGCAAACACAGCAGCTGCAACAAGTCATTGCTCTTTGTGATCATTTATTATGTAGTAACAATTAAGAAAAAATATTTTAAAAAGCATGTTGCTTAAAATGAAACAGTATTCTACAGCATTTTTTAGTTTGTTTTATCTAGCTCTTCTGTCCTTTTTTCATGAAAAACTTAATGAAACACAAGAACCAATTACAATCTAGCACTTCTAACAAGATATCAGACACACAATCACCAAATTTATTTGTTAAAACTTTACTCAGGGCCCTATTATTTAAAAAAGATCTACATTATATATTTGTTCTTAATCAAAGCAAATACATTTTGCTTTCCTTTACAGGTAACATTTTTACTCACATACACATCAGGAAGACATAATACCAGGATTTTTTTCCTTACCTGAATATAACATGTAAGGACTCCTGTTGCATAAATGGGAACTGTAGCTTTAGTGAGGACCCCATTTCCTGCTGAGGAATCTAAAATCATTAAAATAATTTTTAAAGTCTAAGTGCGTTTTAAGTACAAAGATAAAAGTTATGCTGCAATTATATCTAAACTTATAGCTGTTTACAAGTTTACAAATAAATATTCATATTATCACTACTTTGAAAAATATTGTGAATGAAACACACTTCTATTGATTGCTGTAAAATATAACTTAACGCTTGGAAAGTTGTTATCATAAACATTTCTGATATATGGGAAAGAACTTTAATAACCCAAACTCACACACACACACACACACACACACACTTACTTTCTTTGCCCAATTGCCTATCTAGATAACATTCCCTCAAATCTTATGCTTGCTGTCTGTAATGTTCTACAGAATACAAAGGCATTCAAGAGCAGGTGCCTGCAATGCATACATGCATGTATCATTTAATCTGCTTCTGGATATGACTCTCTCTCCAATTTGCAGCATAGAGACCCTTGAGACTTTCCAATAGCATTATGAGCCACAGCCCTATTTGCACCGAGAGTGGATCAGACTAAGCAAAACAGGCAGAAAAGGGAGAAGCGTCAAACCACTGGGACTGATCCTGTAGCTATTTTATAATAAGACTTTTTATTTAGCATCTACAGCCAACTTCAAAAAGAAAAGTTTTTAATGTAATAGTGCATCAAATACTCATTGATTTTTAGGCACTGTTTTAGGGTCTCCAGTATTCCTAAAATTTCTTTATTACTGCAGTTCTACTTTTATATGCTTTTCAATTATATCTGGAAAACAGAACTCAGAAAGCCAGTTTAGACGGTATGCTGAACTTATTACTCCTACAGGATTTAACAAGAAAGAAAGTTCAATTTTTCATATTAATTTATATTTGGGGTCTGTTTATTTTCTTGGTAAGAATTAGCTTTTCTTAGGGGATACTGATGTTAATTGAGGATGATAATGGCAGTAAACACTTAAGTCTGAGGTAGAATTAAAAGCTTGTATTTGTGTATCTATAAGTATACACAAATATACGTATACACAAATATATATACAAATATACACACATATATATACTCTGTACAGGGCTTGATAATCACCTCCTTTTTGAACAAGTGAAAATTTATAGCTAACCAATAATTAACAACACCATCAGTTTCCAAAATACCAGAAAAATTCTTACTTCATTAATTTATCATTGGAGTAATTAATTTAAATCAGATAATACTAACAATATTAGCAATTCCAAACAACAAGCCTTTAGAATTGTGAAAACACTTTGGAAGAATTTGTCTCTACTCCTCTCCAAAAAATCCCACTCAACAATGCTCTGAAATTTGGAAGAGTTAATGTGTTCTTTTGTTTGTTTTTATATCTGAGGATTTCCAAAATGGAACTTTCTAACAGAAATCACTGTACAAGGATTCAGGTAAGAATTACGCAGACATTCAAAACAACAGATTTAAAAGTAGAGGTTGAGTTGGATATTTTTCTAACATTTTCCAAAACTTAGAAAATACGGAAGGATACAATATCTACACAGAAGGAAGTTCTTAGCGCTGTGCTGCTGTGCCCAGACACTTCCTTAGACAGACAAATGCAAGGCACCGACAGGGAGGCTGTGTAACTTGTCCATACAAGCTGCTTGTTTCTGTAAAACCTCATGTTTATTTTAGAAACATATGCCTATTTTTCATTCTTTCCCATTATGTTGGGCTGAGTTTCTTTAAAACTGTTAAATGCATCAGCTAGTGCTTATATTGTAGTCTTCAGCATCTGGAATCGAGCACTTCAAACAGCTAGGGTAGACGTGTGAGGTTTGAAACGCGCAGGCTCAAAGGTTGATGTTTGTGGCCTAACTGGTCAAACACTGATCTCCCGGCCCTCACGGGAAGGATACTTGAGATGACACAGTTCTAAAGGGATCCCACTGTCTCTAAGTTATAATGAGCAAACTTACCAATGTTTTCTTCAGACAGTCTTAAGATCTCTTGGAATTGAGGTTTTACCTAAGCAGATGAAAGAAAAGAATCAAAAGGTCTCAGCTTAAATGACTGACAGTTAAAAAAAAAAAGATTACTACTGCTACTACTAATATTAACTTACTCTGTCTTACCAGTTTTTAAGTCGAGAGGTCAGAAATGTAATTGTTTAATCTTTTGTAAGAGATTTACATCTTGGAGCCTGTGCAGTGGCTCAACAGGCTAATCACCCCGCTGCAAGCACTGGCATCCAATATGCGCAAGCATCAGCATCCCGTGGCTGCTCCAGTTCCTGTGTAACTCCCTGCTAATGGCCTGGGAAAGCAGCAGGGAATCGCGCAAGCTTTCAGGCCCCTGCACCCCCACATGGGAGATCCAGAAGACACTGCTGGCTTCTGGCTTGGGATTGGCTTCAGTCGTTGTAGCCATTTGGGGAGTGAAACAGTGGAAAGAAAATCTCTCTGTCTCTCCTATTTGTAACTTCACCTTTCAAGTAAAACAAATCAATGAATCTTGACAAGCCAGGATCCTGGAACTCAATCCCATCTCCTATGTGGGTTCAGGAGCCCAAGGACGCGAGACACCTTCCCCTGCTTTCCCAGGTACATTAGTAGGGACTTAGATCAGAACCAGAACAGTTGAGGCCTGAACCAGTGCCTAACTGCAATGCTAGTGTTGCAGAGGGAGGTTTAATCTGTATGCCGGCATTCTGGTCCACCAAAATAAGAATTTTTATTAAGGGGTTTAGGATAAAAGAGTCAAGTTCCTGAAAATAATAGCTTTAAGAAAACAAAAACAAATAACTCAATTTCATGTTATTTTCTTTGGTTTCTTTCATTACAATATAGTAATTTTCAAGGCACAAGAACAGTGCAATCTAAAAACTGATTGATACCAGATTAGCAGATTTGTTTTTATATTATAAGTGTTGGGATAAAAGCTTTTTGCTGTATTGAAAATGAAGAGTAAATTACATGTTTAGGATGTTCAATTAGTAATGTATTCACATGATATACACCCTAACTTTTCATTGTGAAATCACCAGATACACACACAAAATCCACCCGTTTTGGAGATGTTAAATAATTTTTGTAAACACCAATAACAAAATCAAATTATGACTATTTTATAATTAGATGCTTGTGAAAAGTGTAAACTGATATTATTCTTCTGCAATATTATCAAGGTCTTGCTTTTGCTCTCCTATTGGCAAGTTAGGCATATTTTTACATATCCAACTTAAACTGAGATTAGAGTATGGCTGAAAGATTAATCTAATGAATCATACTTATAGAAGCAAAAGACACTGAAGCAATTTCTTCATTTACACTAGAAAAGACCAAGCCCAGAAAATGTAACTTATATTAAAGCCCATAATATTAGTCAACTGATAATAGGGTCCTAACTAAGTTTTGTGAATTTTGTCTGGTTCATTTTATTACCCTGTTTCACTTTAAATGGTCCTATAACTACAGATTAATACTGAAGTACTACAATAAAATGTTTACCTTTTAAATGTCTTAATGTTTGATTCTAGCAACTATATTTCTTTAGGTATTTATTAGGTCTCTAAAAAACTGGTGTAATCAGAGGCCATGTAAACAAACACATTAAATTAAAGAAAACATCTAAGAACATGCAAATTTCAACTCCTAAAACTATAGAATAAGATGTGCAGGTCAAAGTGACACAAATCTTTTGGCAGAGATTTAGGCATACAGTATTTATCTCCAGAGGCCACACTGTTAACAGGTGGTGTCCTTGCAGCAAGGTTCACGTTGTTATAGTTCCATAAGCACCTGAAGATTCTACCAAAGTATGGTAAATTACATTTCTAGAATGTTCAATCAGTTATGCATTCACATGATATTCATCTTAGATTAATTTTTATTGTGAATCCTTAACATTTAAATATAAAAACAACTTTGCTTTTGCATTATAAGCTGCAGCAAATGCTTGCTTCAGTTTCTGAACATCAGCTATCTCAGATGTCGGACTGTTAAAGACAGCCTGGTACTGTTAGGTACTTAAGTGTACTCACACTCGTTTCGCCTCCCAAGGGTTGCTTCCAGAACCTGTTATACACAGTAAAGTTTTGGAAGCATGTTCAAAGGACTGTTGTTTATCTCGCTTTCTGTGCTAGAAATGCCTTGAGGTAACCATGGATACAATAAATTTAGGCTAAATGTTCACGTGAAAATCAAGAACAATGTCATCAACTATAGGTTCATATGCTATAGTCACAGTATCTTAAAATATTAAGAGATAATAAGAGTAATGGGGATGGTACATATTCCTATTTGTAGTGCTAACACATTACATTTCTGTCTCTTGCATAATGAGAAAACATGGAATACAAGTTTTTACCTTAGTGTTTGTAAAAATTTTGCCAAATGTCCGGCAAAGGCGCCAGAAAAATCTGGAGAATTCATGGACACAGGCAGTTGAAGTAACATTAATTTTGCCAACTATTTCTATAAGTTGTGGCAACCTGAATATGAAAGGAAAGAAAAATAGGCAGGGGATACACATAAATTACTGTTTCCTTGCCAATTTCTGAAACAATGCATATCTAACAATTTCATCAGTTAGTCTTTGGAAAGCAATGGATTGTTTCTTAAGATTACATTCTATAACACGAGCTTACAACAAATCTTAACTGCCTGCATAAAACACTTGGGGTCTTTGTGGTAGAGCTGAGTCTGAAGTTAGGAACCACAGCCATGGATGTGATTCACACTGCAGCTGGCCAACACAGAACCCAATTTCACTTCCAAAATGAGAAGTCTGGATATAATCTCAAATTCGTTACTACAGGACAAACTAGGCAATGCAACAGCAGCACCTTCCTCACTGATAAGTAACTACACAGCCTGTGGTGTGAGTATCTTCTAAATTTACTGGTATTCATGATACCAATTTACATTTTTAACATTTACAATACACACACACACCATATATATGTATTTTTTCCTTCAGTGCCAGGGCTAACTAAAACGAGTTGTCATTCAATCGATTCAGGTGCACAAAATGGATGTGAAGGTGGTAACTTACAATTGATTGACAACCCATAGTAAACTCTCCCAGCCTGTTGTACCCTCGTGTTCCAGCTGGTAATCATAAAGTTGTAGCAGCACTGCCAATTGTTCACGACTTCCAATAATAGTGGACACATCTTGAAGAGGTGACATAGGTCGAGGAAACCTAGTGACTGAATAATGGACGCAAAATAAATCACATGGGAAAATGTCAGTTTGGAACTATTCTGTTACAAGGAAATGAAAGTCTTCCCATTGATATTTAATTAGGTCCTTATTATAAACTTAAAATATAAAACTAAAATAATTTAAACCATCAACCAAACTATTGTTAGAAAAAACCAGAATTCTTGTCAAATTCAGCAAATTCAAAAGTTAAGTTTTTTTTAAAAGAGTTGTTCTATTTTTATTGGAAGGTCAGATATATAGAGAGGAAGATCTTTCGTCTGCTGATTTACTCTCCAAGTGGCTGCAATGGCTGGAGCTGTGTGATCCAAAGCCAGGAGCCAGAAGCTTTTTCCAGATCTCCCACATGGGTGCAGGGTCCCAAGGCTTTCGTCCGTCTTCCACTACTTTCCCAGGCTACAAGCAGGCAGCTGGATGGGAACCAGGGCTTGCAGGATTAGAACTGGTGCCCATATGGGGTCCGGGCGTGTGCAAGATGAGGACTTTAGCCACTAGGTAATGCTGCAAAGCCCAAAGATTAAGGTTTTATGAGCATATAATTAGATGAATGCTGTATTGAGATAATTTACTAATTAATAATAAAATTTATTTTGGTTGAATTAAAATTGGTCCAAAAGTAAGACTCTTAGCTAAAATGTGGATTTGAATTTGTTTTAGAAAGACTGTTTATATCAATGAAATAAAAAAAATCACGCGTTTTTTTTTTTTCCTTTAGGAAATAGAAAGTTAAAATTAGTCTCAGGGGAAAGACTAATGTCAGAAGACAATATAAAATACACTAAGAGCCTGAGTTGAACAGGTTTTTCTTAAGAATTTCTTTTCTGAAGTTAAATGATTTACTGACAACGTTTGCTCATAGTTTGAAAAACATTAATATAAAATGCTAAAGGAAGTGATCAGTGCTATAGCAATTATAATTAAGAGTATCATGTTACTTACTTTAGATTTCAAGTTACTAAGGGAATACTTCTTGGATACCTATTAGGTGACTAACTCATACCAAGAATTCATTAACTACTGATTAGAAACTTCTGATATATATTACAGGCAACTCAACTTTTATAAAGAAGCATACAGTTTCAAAAGAAACACAAGGAGAATGGGGCCAGTACTGTGGCACAATGCCATTATCCCATATGGGCACTGGTTTGAGTCCTGGCTGCTCCACTTCCTGTCCAGCTGTTTGGGAAAGTGTTGGAAGGTGATCCAAGTGCTTGGGCCCTATATTTACATGGGAGACCTGGAAGGTTTCGGCTCTTGCCTTTGGCCTGGCCCAGCCTCAGCCTAGTGGCCAGATAAGGAACGAACCAGTGGATAGAAGCTCTTTCTCTCTCTCTGTAATTGTGCTTTACAAACACATAAAAAAAGAGCAAGCATTTTCTCAAGACATATTTTTAAATGACTTAATGGAAAGTTTTCCACTGAAGAATATCTGAAATAGCAACTAATTTCAAACATGCTCAAAGGCTTTATTCCTGAGCTGTGCCAAGCAAGTGATAATATATGAAGTACTGATCAAGGATATGCCTTGCAATTCAAACTGCTATTTTCTATCACAACACAGAAGGAGGGAGAGAGAGAGAAAGAGAGAGAAAGAGAGAGAGAGAAAGATAGAAAGGAAGGAAGGAAGAACAGATAAGACTGATTTTGGATAACAGTATCTCTTGCTATCAAAGGTTTCTGCTTGAATTCTGAGCAGCATTCTAAGACTTAAAGTTAGGTTCAATACAGGCAAACACACCAGGCAAGAAGCAATTATGGGGATATTTGCTTATTACAGATAAGCAAGTAGAATGTTCCAGGAGCTTCAAAATATTATTCCACTTAACAACGATTAAAAAAATTATCTAACAACAATACAGAAAGGTTTCTAGAAGGCCATTTTGGTAGACTGGCAAAACATTAGCATTTTTGTATCAATGAAATAATCTCAATTATCCAATAAAATAAAGGCAATTATGAATCTTGAATGCATTTCTACCCAAGCAGAATATAAGCTCTGCAATGACAGGTTTTTTGTGCATTTCACTTTTCAGCAATACTATGCCAAGTGTCTAAAACAGTGCCTGACATAAAGTAGTAGTTAACAATGTAGAACAAATTAATGACAAAAACATATGTGTGGGTTAATATCATTTATGAAAAGAAAAAAATTTGCACTTACAAGTACATCAAATTATAACTTCAGGGAATCAAATCAAGAAGTAAAAAGGAAAGATTATCAGCAAAACAAAGACAATCATAAGAGACTGCATAAGCATTACGGGGTATATGTTCAGGACAAGGCAGCTACTTGAAGCTCTTCTATCAACCCATAGCATGTGCTTGGCAATAACTGACATAGAATAAAAATCACAAATTGTAACATAGGTTGGGGATCGAAGCGGATTTCCTCTCCTAAGTTCTTAGGTTGCAGCCAGGACTATGTTTCCTCAGGATGTGAACTTATGTGGAGGCAGGGTTGCCGCAGGTGCAGAGGGGATGGAGTCCTCCTGGAAATGAATGGGCCCTGGCCGTCATCACTAACAGCCTTACGGAAAGGGAGTACCCACAAAACGCTCGAGAGCGATGGCATCTACAACTCCAGGGACATCAGTTTGTCAACAAACCACCAGAAGGAGAAACACAGAACAACCTTTCACAAGGAACCCATTCTGTCATCATTTTGGTCTCAGGCTTCTAGTTTACTTTAGCATACAATCTGTGATTGCAAATTTCACACGTTTTTCAGTAACTGTGCTGACATATCAAGTGATTTTCAGGATTTTAATCAAAAACAGTTCTTTGGGAAACTGAGCTGGCAATTCTATGTTCCTTCGAGAAGCTGAGTTGCGTACCTTCTATCTGCGGCACTTCACCATGAAGCTTGGCTTTGCTGGCGAACGGTGCGTTCTGCAGCACCAACGCAAAGAGAGACGGGATCAAGGACTGCAAGGCAGAAAGATACATGTGGAGCTTATGTTCATCCAGCCCGTGTTCTCCTTCCTGAAACGTAAGGACATGGGAGCTAGGGTTAGGCTTTTGAAAATGCACTGCTAATTGGATTTATGCTGTTGTTCCTTTCTGTGGCAAATACATTTAAGAACCTGTATGTACATAGATAAAGTTATGTGTTACAAAATGTATAAAGTTAATGATTAATAGAAATATCCATGGACCTTTTCTTTTTCCTTCTTTTTTTAAAGATTTACTTATTTTTATTGGAAAGTCAGGTATATATAGAGGAGGAGAGACAGAGAGAAAGATCTTCCATTCAGGGATTCACTCTCCAATTTGCTGCAATGGCTGGAGCTATGTGATTCTGAAGCAGGAGCCTAGAGCCTTTTCTGGGTCTCCCATACGGGTACAGGGTCCAAAGGTTTCAGGCTGTCCTTTCCCAGGCCACAGGCAGGGAGCTGGACGGGAAGTGGTTCTGCCAGGATTAGCACCATATGGGATCCTGGTGCTTTCAAGGCAAGGACTTTAGCTGCTACGCTACTGCGCTGGGTCCCCATGAACCTTTTCTTAAAAGAAAATGCAAAGGTGCTATAGAAGTAATAGAATCTTTTATATGGGAAATTTTAGGGTAAACCAGTCATACTGGGAACATATTTACAGGTTCTCTGTTTTTTTAGAGAAGGTCTTTCAAAATTCTCTAAGTCAGGCTAAAGACATTCAAGTGTGCCACAGGAAGAGCTGGATGCTCCAGTGCTAACCAGGCAGCAAGGCCTCCCATTTCCTCTCTTTCACTTCCTGGCTCCTTTTACAGATTCGGTTCATCAGTATTTGGAAGCACATTAGAATAGTTCAATACACACATTAAAATTTAGAAGAAACATCAAGAGAAAGCATATAATGAAAATGAGAAAAAGGTTCTGTATGTTATACAGAAACCAAGGATTAGAAGGAAAAAAACCATATTACAGATAATATCTACCTCAATGGCACACAGCAGGCACTGAAGAAGTGGTAGTCTCTAGCCTCAAAAAGGAACATGTGGCCCCGTATAATCAGAAGGCTTTATCTCTGTGTATTGGAACTGGAGCAATGATACTTCCTGTCAAGGGCCGCGTCCTCAGGGAGGGCAGAGCTCGCTCTCTGAAGGATGCAGGCATTATTTTCAAGGAGGTGTATTTCAGTTGCATAATGCAGATCATGCTCTACCTCCTCTAGCATCAGCAAAGCAAAACTTTCTCAGTTCCCCTCATGGCTGCAGCCCAAGTCTTTAATCATGCATCTGAACATGCAGCTAAGTGGCCTGTTTCCACTCCCTAACCTTCTTCCATGATGGCTGAGAATAGTTTAAAAAGCTATGAGCTCTGTAAACCAAGGAAGAACTTACCCTGAGAAGTTTTTCTATCTTGTTCAGCAATGTAGGTATAAGATGAGACTGTAAATTTCCAAGTTCTGTAGTCCAGGCAGCATAAGCTGGTAAAAACACTTGATGTGTAGCACTGACTACTCTCTCCGACGGGTCACCCAAGGCTGAGAGCAGCAATTCAAACCCCTGCCAAAGGGAGAGAAATAAACGGATAAAGAGAAAACGTAAACAAAACCCAGCTTAATAAAAGACAGTAAATATATACTTTTCAATAAATTTAGAAACCTATTTTAAGAAAGAAAGAAATCCATACTAGCGCCCTTTCTCATTTTAAGGAAAATATCACCTCTGCACTGATAAGCAAACGACAGAGAAGAGGTGGTAAACACAGCACACTTGTTGCTGATGCCCTGCCATAAATGAATTTGAGCTGACACAACTGCCACCCTTTCTTGTATTATTACATTTTCGAAATTTTCTAATATAGCAAAAGGAGTTCCTTCTAAAAAACCATACCTGTTGGTATTTGTCTGGGTCATCAATATATCCCATAATGATACCAAGGCTTTTGATGACAGCTTCTCTTACTAAATCGGCCTTATCTTCCATTAACATCTGTTGCAACATCGAAAGAACCAAGGAGCTACGAATTTCTTTCTGAAAATAAACAACATGCTTTTACTTCTCACCAAAGGAGAGAAAATAAGGGAAACGTAAGAGCGACAATGAGTTCAAAATCCAGATTTAAATAAAGCACCGCTGCTATATTTACTTTAGATCTTGAGTTTTCGAAGAGATAAAAAATCAGATAGCCAAAGTTTCACTCTTTCCCAATCTGCTCCCCCACTCCCCGTTTCTAGAAATGGCAACATGAACCCCGAGTTGTGCAGGAAGCAGCTCTTGGCAAGTGGGCACATTTCCCCAAGTACGTGGGAATCTCTCAATCCTCACAGCCACACTGGCGGCCTCTTTCAGTAAATCAACAAACATCTGCTCCAACGTCTCTCGTGTCCGTCTGTTCAGGACCCAAAACAGCACTGACAATTACAACAGGAGGATTACAGAACATTTGTGACAATTAGGGCATTTGCCTAGGCTGGAGAGAAAATATTATTATGAAAATTGGCATTCCTGTTGCTTGAAGAAGAAAGACTGTCAAGTAAGAAAATAAAACACAAGGACGAAATTTAAAATTACTTTGGAAAAATATATCGCTATCGGGGTCAGAGTTGTGTCAGTTTTTTGAGTTGCTGGCCTGTGACACCAGCATCCCACGCAGGTAGCAGTTCACGACCTGCGTTCTCTAACTCTGACCCAGCTCTCTGCTAATGAGCTTGGGAGAGCAGTGAGAATGACAAATGCTTGAGCTCCTGCATGCACGTGGATGAACCTGGCTGAATTTCCTGGTTCTGGGTTTCAGCTGTGAGCTCATTTGAGTGAAGCAGCAGATGGAACCTCTTTCTTTTAAAGACTTATTTATTATAAAGTCAGAGTTACAGTGGGAGAGAGAGGAAGAGAGGGAGAGAGGAAGAGAGAGAATCTTCCACATGCTGGTTCATTTCCCAGATGGCTTCAATGGCCAGGACCACGTCAGGCTAAAGCTACAGTTAAGAGCTTCTCCTGGGTCTCCACGCTGTTGCAGGGGTAGCGGCTTTTCACAGACTCATTACCAAGAAGCTGTATCGGAAGTGCAGCAGCAGGCCTGGTCCGAAATTGTAGCAGTTAAAATCCTCGCCTTGAACGTGTCAAGATCCCATATGGACAGGGGTTCTAATCCCAGTGCCTCAATTTTCCATCTGGCTTCCTGCTAGTGACCTGGGAAAGCAGTCGAGCATGGCCCAAAATCTTGGGACCCTGCACCCGCATGGGAGACCTAGAAGAGGCTCCTGGCTTCAGATCAGCTCAGCTCCAGTCTCTGCAGCCGCTTGGGAAGTGAACCATCGGACGGAAGATCTTCCTTTCTGTCTCTCCTCCTCTCTGTGTATCTGCCTTTCCAATAAAAATAAATAAATCTTTAGGAAAAAAAAGTGGAGCAGCTGTGACAGAAACTGGTGCTCACATGGGGTGCCAGTGTCACAGGTGGCAGATTTACCTGTTATGCCACACGGCTATTCCCTACATATAGCTGCTATTTTAATTTGCTATTATTTAGTATATCAATATCTGTGCCTTGATTTCACAAAAAAAAATTTATTCCAGTTATGTTAAATCATGGCTTAATTAATGGCTGAGATTAGAAAAAAATAGTTGTTAACATTCAAATTCAGCCCTCCCTGCCCCTTCTTTGAACTATTATTCAATCTAATCAATGCAAAAATTTTTGTACCTAAACTTTCTACATATGATTTACATGTAACAGCTAGGATAAATTAAAAGAACTGCATTTTTTCATATGTCTGTGCCAGTACCAGACTGATTTGATGACCGCTGCTCTGTAGTATGTCTTGAGGTCTGGAATTGTGAGTCCTCCAGCTTGATTTCAATTTTTCAGGATAGTTTTAGCTATTTGTGGTCTTTTATGATTCCAGATGAACTTTTGTATCATCTTTTCTATTTCTGAGAAGAATGTTGTTGGGATTTTGATTGGGATTGCGTTGCATCTGTATATGACTTTTGGTAATATGGTCATTTTGATAATGTTGATCCTGTCAATCCAGGAACATGGTAAGGTTCTCCATTTTTCAAGGTCTTCTTCTATTTCCTTTTTAAATGTTTTATAGTTTTCGTCATAGAGGTCTTTCACATATTTAGTTAGCTTAATTTCTAGGTATTTAAGATTCCTCCCTGTATTTTAAAGGGGACTGTACTTACAATTTCTTTCTCATCCATGGAATTATTTGTGTATACTAGTGCCATCGACTTGTGTTAATTAATTTTGTATCCTGCTACTCTGTCACTTATGAGTTCCAATAGTCTCTTGATTAAGTCTTTTGGTTCTCCTATGTAGAGAATCATGGCATCTGCATAAAGAGAATTTCAATTCCTCATTTCCAATTTTTATTTCTTTAACTGCTTTTTCTTTCCTAATAGCTCTGGCAAGGACTTCCAATACTATATTGGAGAGTAATGGTCACAGTGGACATCGTTATCTAGTTCCAGATTTTAGTGGGAAGGTTTCCAATCTTTCTCCATTTAGTATGATGCTGGCATTGGTTTTTTTGTAAATTGCTTTGATTGTATTGTAGAATGTTCCTTCAATGCCTATCTTGCTTAGGGTTTTCAGCATGAAGTGGTGTTGGATTTTATCAAATGCCTTCTCTGCATCTATTGAGAGGATCATATGGTTTTTATTTTTCAATTTTTTGATGTGATGTATCACATTTATTAATTTGCGGATGTTGAACCATCCCTGCATGCCTGGGATGAATCTGACCTGGTCCGGGTGAATGATATGTCTGATGTGCTGTTGGATTCTGCTGACTAGTATTTACTTGAGGATCTTTGCATCTATGTTCATCAAGGATATTGGTCTGCAGTTCTCTTTTCTGTTGTTTCTCTATCTGGCTTTGGTATTAAGGTGATATTAGCTTCATAGAAAGAGTTTGGAAGAATTGCCTCTCTTTCTATTGTTTGAAAAAGCTTGTGTAGGATTGGGGCAATTTCCTCTTGAAATGTTTGGTAGAATTTAGCAGTGAAGCCATCAGGTCCGGGACTTTTTTTGGTTGGGAGGTCTTTCATTACTGATTCAATCTCCATGCATGTTATTGGTCTATTTAGATTGTTAATTGCTTCTTGATTCAATTTTGGTGGATTGTATGTGTCCAAAAATTTATCCATCTCTTCTAGATCTTCTGATTTGTTTGCATATAGTTGCTTGTAATAGTTCCTGATGATTCTTTGTATTTCCAAGGTATCTATTATTATATCTCCTTTCTCGTCTCTGATGCAATGGATGTGTATTTTCTCCCTCCTTTTTTTGATAACTTGGGCTAGTGGAGAGTCTATTTTGTTGATTTTCTCAAAGAATCAGCTCTTTGATTCATTGATCTTATGTATAGTGCTCTTGGTCTATATGTGGTTTATTTACTCTCTTATTTTGATCTCTTTTTTCCTACTAATTTTGGGATTGCTTTGTTGTTGTTTTTCTAGTTCCTTCAGCTGTAAGGTTAGCTGATTTATTTGATGCTTTTCTATTTCTTGATATAAGCACTGACTGAAATGAACTTTCCCCTTAGCACTGCCTTGATTGTGTCCCATAAGTTTTGATATGTTGTGTTGATGCCTTCATTTGTTTCAAGCAATTTTTAAATTTCCCCTTATATTTCCTCCCTATCCCACTGCTCATTGAGTAACATATGATTCAGTCTCCACGTGTCTGCAAGTCTTCCTTGGTGTTTTGAATTCTTGGTCTCTAGCTTCATTCCTTGATGGTCTGAGAAGATGCATGGTATGACTTCAATTTTTAAAAATTTGCTGAGGCATGTTTTGTGGGCTATAACATGGTCATTTCTGGAGAAGGTTCCATGTACTGAGGAACAAAAAAGTGTATTCTCTATCTATAGAATGAAAGGTTCGATAGATGTCAATGAAATCTGCATATGAGGAGATATGTAATCCTATATTTGCAGCAGCCCAATCTACAATAGTAAAGACATGGAATCAATCCAGATGTACATTCAAACAAGAGTGGTTAAAGAAACTATGGTACATGTACTCCATGGAATATTATTCAGCTATCAAAAAGAATAAAATTATACTGTTTACAACTAGGTGGTCCCAACTAGAGACCATTATGCTCAGTGAAATCAGTCAATCACAAAAGAACAAATACCATATGTTCTCTCTTACATAGGGAAACCAGCAATGGAAAGTGTAACTTCAATAATCTGATCCACATTTTTTTTTTTGGCTGCATCCCCTGTGCTTTGATTTTTTTAAATTTCAGTTTTGTTTGTGCCAAATAATTTCTTTCTCTTGTCGAATTCATCACTTGCTCATGGATTCTATGGTGGCATCATTTTTCCCAAGAAACTTCTGTGTTTCCTTTCTGTCACCCATGTGTTGGTTACTCAGTGGTGCGTTTTTTCATGAAGCTGTAATTTGTTGTTGATGTTGTTGTTGTTGTGGCTGTTCTAACTCACACCAGTTGTTGACCTTGTATAATGGCTTCTCAATTATGGAAATTTATAGTGATGGAGTACTGGGATCTATCATATTCAGATGTGGGGTATAATGCAACAAGCATCCCTGCTTCCAGACGAAAGATGAATTCCCAATGAAACTGTTGGACATGTGTAGACAATGCGATGCTGGACAGTCTGACATTGTCTGTACCAACAATGTCGGGGTACACTTAAATAAGAGACTGACAAAATGATGATTCCTTATGAAGGATTAAACCATTGTAGTAAAATGGGGAAAATTTTTCGGGAGGGGCGGGATTTGGGGGGGAATCCCAGTCTATATGAAATTGTACCACATAATTCAAAATTCAAAATAAAGATATATTTAAAAAATAACTGCAGAAGGTACAATCATTTTCATAAATTTACAGCATGATTTGGCATACATAGCATGGCTTGATGGATTTTTTTAAAAGGCTCGCTTTTTATTTTAGCTATTTAGAAACAAAATTGTATGTAGCTTTAACAATTTTGGACATATTAAATTTGATGGACATGCATTCTGGTACAGTCTTATTTATTTCCTTTTTAAACTACAAATTGCCTTAAGAATTCCTTTATATATCCTGAAATGCCTTATTGTTTGGCATAAGCACAAGGCAACAACACGGGTATAATAAGCGACCTCCAGCGGGGTACTTGATTTATGTGGCTCCGGGGGTGAGGTGAAGCGGACTAATTTCATTGCACTCTCCGACAGACCAGGAGGCGTGGCTGGTCAAGCACAGAGATCTGCTGAAACCAGTTACTATGGGGTGTAAGACAAGCACGGATCCATGAATAATCATGCTACCTGCTGTTAATACTGCCGTGTATTCCAGGACAGAATGCACCAGCTGACATATCCTTTGAGAACCAGAGATATTTACACCAGTCTTGGAACAATAAATACTATGATATTAAAACCCATTTATACCTATGCATATGGTTTGTAACAACAGCAACATGCCAGTTTTCACCCAATAGGTAGAAAAATAAATGCACAATATTATTTATCAGGCCTAATTACTGGTGAAGGTATGTAAAAATAAAAACCCCAATGTATTATATAAATAATAGTACAAATACACACTTTGTTGGCTGGAGGAAATTTGAATGCATTAAAAAATGCAAGTGCTGGAAGAAGCAGGATGCATTTGCATTAATAATATGAGAAATCTAAAAAGCAGACACATAGATGCCTGGGCGGAGTGTTTACGTTCAGGCAATGCAAGGGGGATATGAAATTGCCTATAGTATGATTCCTTTGCAGCACTTTTTGGATACTTTAGATACAATGTGTAGGCGTCAGGGAAGGGTAGCCTTTCATTTTTCTTTTATGCTTTTCAGTATAATTAGGACATTATTCAGGAAACAATTTTTAAGCTCACATACATACATAGTGAGACTTCGGTCTTTTCCTTCTTTATACTTTTCTGAATAAAATATTCATTCACTTCCCAAATACTCACAACAGCTGGGACCAGGAGCTGGAACACAGTCCAGGTTCCCCATGTGTGAAGGAATTTAACCATCCTAATAGCTGCCCTCCAGGGCGAAAAGAACAGCACCCCAAATGCAGAAAACTAGCTTCCTAAACTGCAGATTAACTGCTAGCTTTCTACTCTTCACTAAATTATACGAGGTTAATGTTAAATTAACTCATGCACTATTGAACAATTTAATGTTTTAGAGTTGATTTTAAGATCTCACGAAAATATATATCAAAGCACCATCTCTAACATTCCAGCTGGTAAATCCTTTTTGGGGGGTGGGTGAGGGGAGTTCGAGGGAACCTTAACAGTTTCTGCTGCAAATACTCAAGTCTGCCGTAGTAGTATGAGAATAGCAATACATAAATAACACACAAAACAGTGTGGCTGTGTGCCAATCAAACCTTATTTTTCAAAACAGGCTTTGGGCTGGATTTGATATACACATTATAGTTCATCAAGCTCCGATTTATACCACTATCTACATAGGTCAAAATAATGCTGACACCTCATCTCCTCTATCTTTAAGCTGTGGACCTATTGGAGGATCCTTACAAGAGCACAGGAGTTCAGTGAGCCTGTCTTTTTAGTTGCAGAAATGCTTTCGTAAAACTTTGAAGAGGGTTTGTTGGTTCAATTAGAAATTAAAACTGAAAAATTAAAAAAAATCTGTCAGTTCACTTAGAGTTAACAATAAACTCAGTAAGTGCTAACAAGAACAGTATTTAACTGTTCATTAATCAAAAATAGTGGGAGGAACTGTGTTTCATATTTTGTTCCAAATCTCTTTCATATCTGACTAAAGAGAACACAGACGAGTCTCTTACTGTTCTGCCTCCAATTTGATAAGACATGTGTTTTGATTGAAGTACTTCAAACAAAATTTGACCATACAAAAGACATGAACTGGAAAAGAAGAGTATTTGTGTTTCTACATTCTTTCCGGATTAAAAAAAAAAGGGCTCAATAATGAGAAAATGTTGGTATATTCAACTCCTTGTGTTTATCTTAGATTCTGAGTCCTCTGTCTTATGAAAGGTCATTTGGAATAAACTGAAGCACAGAGTTAAATGGATCTCCTTATATCAATATATATTTCCCTATATTATCAAAAACTCCCTGTCATCAGAAAATCTATAAAATTTTTCCCAGTTGTCAAACTTACACTGGCAAAAACCCGTTTCTCAATATTCTAGTGTTCATTTTAAAAACTTGCAGCAGGGTCATTTCATCTCATCTCATAAGGACAGTCTGCCACATGCCCAAGCTGAATAACCATGGTTTGACTGTCAGGAGTTACGTTAGGTAAAATGGGTGTGCAAGGAAAAGAGGCTTTAGGGGCTGTTAGGATTCATTGGTTAAGCTGTCACCTGTAACTAAGGTTTCTTCCCATACCAGAGCACTAATGCTAGTCCAGGCTGTTCTGTGTCTGAACGAACTTCCTGCTAGTGAGCTTGGGAGGGTGCCAAACGATGGCCCAAGTACTTGAACCCTGCCATGAATGTGAAAGGCTTGGTGGTTGTAGTCGTTTGGGGAATGAATTAGTGGATGGAAGATTTATGTCCCTCCCTCTGTCACTCTGCCTTTTGAAAAATAAATCAGTCAAAATGACTAGGGGGCCTGGTATGATGGCTCAGTGGCTAAATCCTCGCCTTGAAAAGATTTGTACCAAAAACACAAAAAGTGTCTTCTTATTGTGGCACTAGCTTTTTACTCACAGATCTCTAGCGGCAGTTCAAGGAACATCCCACGGTGCTCAGAGCACATTCTGAAAACTGAGATAGTTCCATATGTTTATTCTCATTCAGAATCCATGGAAACATACCCATCAGGCTGCAATGCCACACTGTAGTAACATGAGCCCCTTATTGCTTGGTTCACCTCTTTTCACCATTAAGACAGCACACAGGAGACTTTGAATTAACATGTACTTAAGACACTTGAAGAAACTTTCTCTAATATTAAAAAAGGAAAAAAGGTAAGATTTCTTACAGGAAGGTATGGTGCCAGGGCTCCACAGGATTCTGCCACAAGCAGTCGTCTTTCTGGGTATTTGTGATTAATCTAGAGCAAAAAATAGAACAAACATGAGCAACACAACCTCTTTTTCCAACGGAGAATTCCTATTCACCACACTTCTGGGAATCCCTGTGTGGCTGTACCTGGAACAGGGGAGGAAGAGCCCTGAACATGAGCTCATTAGGCCATCTGTTAAAGGAAGGGAAAGCCTAAGAAGAAAATTTGGCAAGGTGACCCAGATTATGTGCTTGCATAAAATTAGGTTTTCCTCAGATGGCAGGAGAAATCGGGGCCTTTCCAAAGCAATCATTTTCTAATATGAAAAGCTCAGCTTCTGGGTCTTAAAGATGTAGTCCAGAATAAGTGCCAGTCTTCTTTTTCCAGCTAGGGAATCAGGGAATCATCTCATCAATGATTATGCAGCACCTTAACCAGCAACGACACTTTATTTTTGCATTAAGCAAACTTCAACACATTCCTCATTTTTCATATACAAAATAGTGTTTTTTAAAAAATTATGATGACTACACTGAACCATAATAAACAATAACAACCAAAAAAAAAAAAAACAAGCCACACACAGGGTTTTACTTCCATATGCCTTCTTCATACAGTACAGATCACTCTTGGACTGGAAAAGCAGTATATCTGTACTCATATTCCCACATGGAAAGGTGACAAAATTCAATAATGTACTGATATCTGATATTAAGAAAAGAACTTATACAGTAAATCTACCGGGCAGCACACCAGAGCCGAGATCCATGAGGAGTCAGGCTACGGAGAGGTAAGAGCAGAGGTTTACAGCCGACATCTCTGAAGAGGACTGAATCTAGTTAACCGTCAACAGTTACCCCAAAGAAGGAAGACTTCCTGCTTCTTCTTAGTTAAGTCAGAGAGTATCTAAATCAAATATGTGTACAGTTGGATTTCTATGTATCACCAATGAACAAAATGGAATCAAATTAGGAAAACAATTCTATTTATAACAATATCAAAAAATAGCAGAATAACTTGAAGATCCAGTGCATTAATGAATTTTTCTTCTATAAACACTGACGACCTGATCCTAATTTAATCAAAAATTTAAAGGATACAAACAGCCAAAGTTATCTTGGCAGAGCAGCGATGAAAGTCCAGGGTTAGTGTCAGCTCTTGGCTGACTGAGATGTTTTAAAATTGTGGTGATGGGGCCCGGCGCGGTGGCGCAAGTGGTTAAAGGTCCTCGCCTTGCACGCCCGGGATCCCATATGGGCGCCGGTTCTAATCCCGGCAGCCCCGCTTCCCTTCCAGCTCCCTGCCTGTGGCCTGGGAAAGCAGTCGAGGACGGCCCAAAGCTTTGGGAACCTGCACCCGCGTGGGAGACCCAGAAGAGGCTCCTGGCTTCGGATCGGCATAGTATCGGCCCGTTGCGCTCACTTGGGGAGTGAATCATGGGACGGAAGATCTTCCTCTCTGTCTCTCCTCTCTGTATATCCGCCTTTCCAATGAAAAAATAATAAAAATAAATCTTTAAAATTGTGGTGATGAATGCAGAGCTCTCTGGACATAACGAAACTGCTGAGATGCGTACTTCACATGAGTAAACAATATGAACTGCATCTCAGTAAGATTTTGAAAAATAAAAAGTTACAAAAATTAAATATACACATGAACAATGATTGATAAAAGTCTAAATTCAATATCCCAGTTAATCTTGGCTTTAAGTGATTAAAACCTCGCCAAAATTAACATGCACTAATTTATATGCATGGCATTGTCAGAGGTAACTGTTACCATATAAGTGTTATAACTTGAATCTAGTGATGCCACTAAAGTTTAATATATAAATAATAATATCCAAGAAACTGAGTAGCCCTCTACACCTGACACACTTTTCAGTGGTTATATGACAAACAATTTTTCTCCATCAGTGGGGAACCAGGCACCAGAGCAGAAGAGCAAGGTGCTTGATGACCTGAACAGCAAGCCTATAAAGTCAGTGATTCTGACTGCTGAGTGCTGCAGCATTAAAACCCAGTAATGAGTCTGCATAGCACCTCAATCACGGCTAGGATGCGTGTTTCCCACACCGGACTGCTTCGCTCAAGTCCTGACTCTATGCCAGGGTGCACTGTGGGAGGCAGCAGCATCCCTGGGTTTAACCCGTCCTGGCCACAGCTGCTGCAGGCATGTAGGAAGTACACAAGCGTCAGATCTTCATTGCTCCCTCTCTCTCTGTCTTCCAAATAAATACAGATTTTTCAAATTCAGTTAAAAATCTAAAGTACCATCAGCAAAATAAATTACAAATGCAAACACTTCACATATAAAGTTTTTTTTTTTTTAAAGATTTATTTTTATTATTTTTTCATTGGAAAGGCAGATATACAGAGAGGAGAGACAGAGAGGAAGATCTTCCGTCCGATGATTCACTCCCCAAGTGAGCGCAACGGGCCGATACTATGCCGATCCGAAGCCAGGAGCCTCTTCTGGGTCTCCCACGCGGGTGCAGGGTCCCAAAGCTTTGGGCCGTCCTGGACTGCTTTCCCAGGCCACAGGCAGGGAGCTGGAAGGGAAGCGGGGCTGCCGGGATTAGAACCGGCGCCCATATGGGATCCCGGGCGTGCAAGGTGAGGACCTTTAACCACTTGCGCCACCGCGCCGGGCCCCACATATAAAGTTTATACTTTAGGAGTCAGTGCCATGGGTCAACAGGCTAATCCTCCATCTTCAAGCACCAGCATCTCATTTAAGGAGTACTGCAGTCCTGGCTGTTCCATTTCCCATATTGCTCCCTGTTTACAGCTCAGGAAAGCAGCAGAGGATGCCCTGGTCCCGGGCACCCTGTTCACACTCAGGAGACTTGGAAGAAGTTTCTGGCTCCAGGCTTCAGATGGGCTCAACTCCTGCCACTAAGTCATTTGGGGAGTGAACCAGAGGAAGGAAGATCTTTCCCTGTAAATCTGCCTTTCCAATAAAGATAAATAAATCTTTATAAAGGTTATATACCACATGTATTTGAAATGCATACAAACATCCAATAAAGACAAGATGTACTTACATACACAGACACCCCTAGTTCTTCCTTGAATGCATCAAGCACACTCCTTCCTCAGGGCATTTGTACTGGCCATATCTCATTTCAGGCAGATTCTTGCCTACACCTCACTTCTTCAGGGGCTCCTTCTCTAACAACTCCCGTTATGAGAGCGAATCCCCTCAGCTTCCAGCTCTTACTGTTTTCTTATTCTTCATTGCTACTATCTTCCTTCCACCCTGCTGTCCATCACTGCATCGTCAGTGACGACATGAGCACCCTGCACTGCTACCAGCACTTCCTGTTTGCTGCCTGGATGAACCAGACTCTCACGCATTATTACATCAGTCTGCTGAGCTAGAGAAACGGCAACATGACTTATACACCAGTCCTTTTCTAACGGAATTTAAAAACACATATAAACTCTAAAGACATTAGGTTATAATATTAAGAGAAAATCACGTAAGTTAAATTACCTGTTCCCAACACTGTGGTAGAAGTTCAGCTTCCACGCGAGTTGGTCCAACATGACGCGCAAATGCCACACACCCCGTCAGTATCATTTGCCTGAAAAATAATACCCAAAATACTTAGGTTTGCATTAGAAAGAATAACCAGGACAAAGGGTTAAAAAGAGTCAGCTTTGTAAGTCACATGATTTTTGCACAATTTATGTCTTTCAAACAATGAATGAGGATGTCATTAAGAAAGTAAGTTTCTGAAGTCTAGTTCTCCAGAAAGACAGGGGCCACTCTTTGTGACGGATGCGCTGAAGGAATTTCTGCTGAGCACGAGACTGGATCCTATAATCACCTAATTTTTTACATCTGCGCTCTGAGACTGTATTATGTTCAATGTTTTGGCTTGTACTCAACTTCAGCCTCTAGCCACTAAAGGAATCAGCAATAGTTTTCCGTATTTCTATAATTAAAAATTAAATATTGAATTAAAATTTAATTTTAAAATATTTAATTCATACAAAATACAAGATCAATGGTCATTTCAATATTATTTGTGCTACATTTCAGTAGCTTTGATACTTTTGTTTTTATTTTTATTCATTCAAAAAAGCTTTTTCCTTCACTGAGTCACAGCTCACACAGTAGCATCATTTTCTACAAGATTTTTGAGTTTCTTTTTTGTTTCTTCAGTGACACATTGGTCATTCAGTAGCAGGATATTTAACATCATGTAAATTTTCTATTTTTTCTTCATGCGGGTGATTTTGTTTTATGGCTTTTCATTTAACAGGATGTATACCAGATGTGAAGATTCAAAGCAGTATGCATCTCTACTTTCAAATCAAAGATGGACTTCCAATGCAACTGTTAACTATATCTTGACCATAGGATGCTGGACTGTCTGCCATTGTCCATACCTACAGTGTTAGGACATACTTCAATAGTAGAATGATGGACTTATGGCTGTTTATGAAGGACTCTACTATTGCGACGATAAAGGGGACATCTGTGGGGGTGGGGCAGGGACTTGGCGAGGTGGGAAGAGAAATCCTGGAGCACATGGAACTGTATCATAAAATAGGATTATCAGGGAAAATGTTAGGTCCCTCCAATCAAACCTTTCAGCAAAGCTAACAGATGAAATACTAGGAACTATGAGTGTTCTGAAATGCAGCTCAAGGCAGAAAAGGTCGGATGGCCTCGAGTTCATTATCAGCACTGAATCACAGCTAGTCCTGTGTTGGGAAAACACATTCCTACCTGTGCAAAATCACCAGTAAGTGGCTCAGTCAGAAGTATGATATCAGGGGAAAATTTTCAGTAAAGAATTGTAAAAAACATCAAAATTAACTTTTATTGGGACTATTATCAAAGAAACCTGGAGATTCATTAAAGAAAAACAACAACTGGTTATTGAATTTATACCAACTTAGAAATTAGTTTTGCTCCTTCTTTAAACTATATTAGGTATCATTAATTACTGCATTTGTCCACATTGTAAACAAGTGTGTTTCTATCAAAAATAAAATAAAATCTTAAAAACAATTAGGTTTATATGTGCACATAAATGTTTATTTCCTGATAGATCTTGCCATGAAGTCAAGGTGAATGGGTATTTTTGGCCACTAGGTGGCACCTATTAGCCTTAGATGCAGCATACATGCAAACAGGCTCTAAAACTATTTTTCTTTTCTTTAAAATATATTCTGGATGCAAGTTTCTTGTCAAATTATATGTTGTTAATATACACATATTTTACCCGATGTAGGGGGAGGCAATGACAGGGACTCCTCCATCTGCCAGTTCACCCTCTAACACCCATAATAGCCAGATCTGGGCTAGCCAGGAGGCGGAAACTCAGTCTCCAATGAGGGTTGCCAGGCCCCAAGTCCTGGAGCCACCGATGCTGCCTGGGAGCTGGAGTGCAACGCAGAGCCTGCATCTGATGTGGACTGCAGGTGTTCTAAGTGCTGGCCAAACCCCTGTGCCAAAAGCCTACCCTGAAACTTGAAGTTTCTTACTTTGCAAATCTAAAAACAAAAACTACAATAGAAGTTATTTTATGGGCCCAGCGAGATAGCATAGTGGTTAAGGTCCTAGCCTTGAGCGCGCTGGGATCCCATATCGGTGCCGGTTCTAATCCCAGCAGCTCCGCTTCCCCTCCAGCTCCCTGCTTGTAGCCGGGGAAAGCAGTTGAGGACGGCCCAAAGCCTTGGGACCCTGCACCCGCGTGGCAGACCCAGAAAGAAGTCCCTGGCTTTGGATTGGCTCAGTTCCAGCCACTACGGCCACTTGGGGAGTGAATCATCAGATGGAAGATCTTCCTCTCTATCTCTCCTCCTCTCTGTATATCTGCCTTTCCAATAAAATAAGTAAAAAAAAAAAAATTGTCCTTGGAGAATTTTTCAGTTTGCAAAGAATGCACTAAGATAGTGGTCTAATTGTTCTAACTCCTACTGGACTAGGAAGTAAGGGATGCCAGCGAATATTAACCTTAGCTGGATCTCCAAAGGCCATGTTTTCCCACGAGTCAGAGTATATTTTGGAAAAAAGGGATCAGGATATCTATGTATAGAGTTTCTTTTTTTTTTTTTTTTAAAGATTTTTTTATTTATTGGAAAGTCAGATATACAGAGAGGAGGAGAGACAGAGAGGAAGATCTTCCATCAAATGATTCACTGCCCAAGAAGTCACAACAGCTGGAGCTGAACCAATGCAAAGCCAGGAGCCTCCTCTGCATCTCCCACGCGGGTGCAGGGTCCCAAGGCTTTGGGCTGTCCTTGACTGCCCTCCCAGGTCACAGGCAGGGATCTGGATGAGAAGCAGGGCAGACGGGATTAGAACCGGCACCCATATGGGATCCTGGCAGGTTTAAGGCGAGGACTTTAGCCACTAACTAGGTTACCGCGCTGGGCCCTTTTATACCTTTTTATATTGTCACTGAAGATTCTACACGGGGAAGGAGATATCACTGCTATAAAGCACAAGTGACCTCTTTACAGAGTTTATAAAACCAAAATTAATATTACGCTTGTTCTCTGTTGGAAGGTGAGCTTTCAGTAGACTACAATCTAACAGCACCGAGCACATACATAGCTGCAGTTTCCCTGGGAGGTTAGACTTCCATCCAGCAGCAGGTGTCACGCCTGCCAGTTTCCTGCTGTGCCACCCACCTCGAGCCTGTGGCACCTGCAGGCCAGCAAAAAGCTGCTTTATAGAACATAATTCCTCCGTTATGCCCATGAGGTCCCTATTACGCATGACTGTCCAGCACCCTGACACGAGGGCTCAGATATAATTTACATTAAGTGTTAGGGGTCTCTTCTCTGCTAGAAACCAAGTCTATTAGTAAAAAATACCATATTAACAGAAAACAAACCTTTCAGATTAAAAATGACTATTCTAAAACAAGGAGGAGGGAAGGGGAGCAGAAGGGAGGAAGGCTTGTATTTAAAAAGCAGCATCATGGAAATTAATAATAACAAATTTGTAAAATAAAAATGACTATCCATAGTCGATATGGATATCCACTATCCATATGGATAATCATTTTTAATTTTTCAAATTTGTTATTATTATTAATTAGAACCATAATATTATTAAAATAAATTCACTAAAATTTAGTATCACTTCAGTGTGAAAGAGTACTTAAAAACATTATGATTTATTTATTTTTAATCATTTACTTTTCTTAAAGATTTATCTATTTTGTTGAAAAATCAGATTTACCGAGAACGAGAAGGAGAGACAGAAAGATCTTCCATCCGCTGGTTTGCTCCCTAAGTGACTGCAATGGTTGTAGCTGAGCCAATCCGAAGCCAGGAGGCTCTCGTTGGTCCCCCATGCAGGTGCAGGATCCCGTGGCTTTACATCATTCTGTACTGTTTTCGCAAGTCACAGGCAAGGAGGTGGAAGGAAAGTGGAACAACTGGGACATGAACCAGTGCCCATGTGGGATCATGGTGCCCAAATGGGATCTTGGCATGTATAAGCCAAGTACTTTAGCCACTAGGCTATCATGCCAGGGCCAAAACATGATAGTTTCAAGATTCTTTAGGAGCTGTATCTGTCTAACAAATGTAAAACTAGCAATACTGCATGGAAAAGATTGAAGCATCCCTTTTTCAAAGATTTAAATAATGAAGGCTGTCCATAATTACAGTAGCAGAAGGTACTTCGGTCTCAGGAGAATCTACACATATCTTTACTAAAAATGTTTCTTTGGTACATATTTAGAAAAGCTATTTATTTTTGTTTGTTTCAGGTTTTATTTATTATCCCTAGGCTAAACTTCATAGACTAATTTTTCTGGAATCTGTTTATTTATTGGGATAAATTTCAAATCGTGTGAAAACAAGAGAAGGCGAGGAAGAAAAAGACCTTGATGATAGCAGTGCAGTTTGGCAGGCATTTCCTAGGTTTGGAAAGCATCAGGGATGGACACTGTGACGGGGGGAAGCTAGAGCTACCACAGCTGCATGGGGAAGCGGAGCAGGAATTTAGACTGAGACAATCATCTTGTCGCCAACATAGTGGACGTAACAGGTACACACTGTATTTAGTTCCCGAGAAAGGGTCAGCACCTACCTTTGCTCATCATCCGGCCTCTTGATCAGATTGAAAAGTATGTGGAGAAGCTGGTCCCTCTCTTTAGGCTCAGGATGCAGGCATGCCGTGCACAGTATCAGTGGGATCAATTCCTGAAGAAACAGGAGCGGAAATGCAAAATAAAAACACATCGCACAATAGTATTTCCCTCCCCAGAATATTCTTAAATGGACATTTCAAGAGAATTAAACTTCACACAAACGAATAAATTTTAATCTCATAAGATTGATAATTCAAGAAGAACACATTAAAACATATTTGTTGGTTGCACAGAAGATACAAATCAAGTGTTAAAAGTTACTCAAGACTCCATGAACTTTGGCTTTTAACGCAGCACTTCCCAAGAGCCCACTAGTGTTTACATGAAGTAGCTTCCAGCATCTGTGAAGCTAATATACTAATTCTAAGTGTCCTTAAATAACACTTACAGTTCAGTTTATTTCAAACTTGTTTCCTTCCCCCCAAATAAGGACAACTCTCTCTACTTCCACAAGGGCAAACGTCTTTCTTAAGATGAGAAATAATTGGGCCCGGGGCAGTAGCTTAGTGTTTAAACTCCTTACCTTGCATGTGCCAGCATCCCATAGGGGTGCCGGTTCTAATCCTGGTGGTCCCATTTCCCATCCAGCTCCCTGCTGGTGCCCTGGGAAACCAGATGAGGATGGCCCAAAGCCTTGGGACCCTGCACCTGTGTGGGAGACCCGCAAAGGAGACCCAGAAAAAGCTCCTGGCTCCTGGCTTCGGATCAGCTGAGCTCTGGCCATTGTGGTCACTTGCAAAGTGAATCACTGAACAGAATATCTTCCTCTTTTCTTTCCTTCTCTCTGTATATCTGACTTTCCAATGAAAATAAATAAATCTTTTTGTTTTAAAAAAATTAGATATAATCTAATATATTTTAACTATTAGCACTATTCCTTGGGTGCTTAATAATCTCAGCACTACTGCGGACCATCACTAGAAATACTTGATGTAAAGTTTTAATATTGTTTGTTGCACATTCAACATGCTGAGATAAAATAAACATTTTTCAGAACATAACAGTCACAAGCTTATTTTTTTCTTTAAAAGAAATATTCAAAATCAAGGCTGTTTCACATTTTAATTAAATTAACATATAATTCTGAGCACTAAATACACTTGAAATACAGTAAGTTTCATTTTGGAATAGATTTTTAACCCAGTGAAAATTAAAGCTCAAAAAGCATTAAATATTTTTTAAGATTTATTTATTTTTATTGGAAAGTTAGATCTACAGAGAGGAGGAGAGACCGAGAGGAAGATCTTCTGTCTGATGATTCACTCCCTAAAAGTGACAGCAATGGCCAGAAGCTGTGCTGATCCAAAGCCAGGAGCCTGGAACCTCCTCCTCTGGGTCTCCCACGTGGGTGCAGGGTCCCAAGGCTTTGAGCTGTCCTCGACTGCCCTCCCAGGCCACAGGCAGGGAGCTGGATGGGAAGTGGAGCTGCCTGGATTAGAACCGGCAACCATATGGGATATGGGCATGTTCAAGGCGAGGACTTTAGCTGCTAGGCCACCAAGCTGGGCCCAAAATATTTTGAATTAAATCCTATTTATTATAATAACACTATTTTGTGGCTGATTAAAAGAAATCACTATGATGCATTAAAAAGTGAAGACTGACTTCCCCATTTCTCTTTTGTATTCAGATTGGTACTTACCAAAAAGTCCTAACATATCTAAAATAGGAATTGATGCAAGTAATAATACATGGTTATTTCTATAATAATATTCTTGTAACCTCATGAAAATATAAAGTATGATAAAAAGCCCATACTGTTGACAATATGTATTCCCATTCTATTTATTTATTTATTGAAATTAGCTTACTTAAAAAAAAATTATTTATTTGAAAGGCACAGTTATAGAGAGGGAGAGACAAAAAGAGAGATAGAGATACTCTATCCCCAAGCTGGCAAGGGTCAGCTCTGGGCTGGTCCGAAGGCAGCAGCTTCCTTTGTCTCCCACGTGAGTGCAGGGGCCTAAGCACGTGGGCCACTTCGTGTTGCCTTCCCAGCTGTACTAACAGGCAGCTGGATAGGAAATGGAATAGCCAGGATTTGAACTGGAGCTCAATATGGGACGCTGGTGCTGTGGGTTGGGGCTTCAATTGTTATGCCACAGTGTCAGCCACGGAAGTGTTCTCTCATTTTCAAGGTATTTGCATTGAAACTGGTGTTAACAGCTTCAGAGAAGTTGAGACTGAAGTTTAAGACATGACTAAGGGGATAGTGGCACTCAGGCACAGCAGGCTAAGCTGTGGCTTGCTGTGCTAACATCCCATATCAGAATGCTGACTGGGGTCCTGGCTTTCCGGCTTCTGATTCAGTTTCCTCCTAACACGTCTGGTCAGCAGCAGATGATGGCCCAAGTAACTACAAGTCCCACACATGCAGGGGGCAGGGATGACTTCCAGGCCTGGCCAAGTCTAGGCTGCTCTGAGCATCTGGGGAGTGAATCAGCTGATAAAAGATCTTTTTCTCTCTCAAACCCTCTGTGTCTCTGCCTTTCCAATCAACAAACCTTAAGGGAAAAAAAGACAGAAAAAGAGAAACATGACTAGAAATTTCTTTTTATTATTTGTACACTATATATTATTTTTTTAAATCAGTTCTTACAAATCTTAACATTCAAAATGCAAAAATGTAGATAATAGAAGAGTAAGTATGTGACGTTTAATAAAACCCCACATATATGTATATATAAAGAAATTACAGCAGTTATTCTTCATTTATAATCTTCCCATCTGAAGTCTCTGAAGGTTTCAGAGATAAGCTCCAAGCGCTATCCTAATCCTTGGTTGATTCCGTCTTGGCTGCTGAGAGCAAATGAGAGGACTAAGTACCAGGGTGTCTTATGATTCATACAGCTTCAAATGAGAAAAGTAGCTATTCTCAAAGCACCAAGAAAAGGAGAAACTACTCCAATGTCTGAAAAATCAAGAAAGGCCCTAAAATATCACTTCTATCTTCTCCTCATGGGACACTAACGTGAGGGTTCACTTCCGGCCTCCTAACCCCCATGCCTGATTCCTTCTTGTCTCCTTGTGTGTATTTCACCAATTTTCCCAATTTCTTTCTGGTTTATTATTCTTTAAAGATACAGTTATCATACGAAGGGAAGAAATTTACCATAACTACAAACACATGTATTTAACTCTTTGCCTTTTTTCACTCAAAAACAAGCATGGAAAAATAGCTGTGTTGGTATTGGTTTGTTGTGCATCAAATTTTCTTCTTTCTTTTTAAAAATCCTCTGGTTTAGAAATCCTTAACTCAAGAGGACATTTCACACTCACATAGAGAAGCTTTTCATTGGAATATGGCTAGTAAGTGACCAGGGAGCTAGAATAATTCCTCTTACCTCCTTAGTACTACTAAATAATCTAAGGAAAAAAATAAACGTCTCTCTTAGAAGTAAGTGAAGTAGTAAGTGAAAGATGTAGGAATTAAGATTCATGCATAGAGAAATTTTTACAAATATTCTTCAATTTGCTCATCTATTGTTGTTAGTTTTGCCTTCTGACATCAAGCCTTTTTAATACAGCACTTACCAAAGGCCCTCTTACCATAGCACTGATCATCAATGAACCCAAATTGAAACATAACAGGTAAAGCAATTGTATATGCATCTCACATTGAATGCCACAAATTATAAATTTAGGGCTTTGAAGAAAAATATTGAAGTCATAGTAACAATTATGCTGCCAACTGCTTTTACTTTCCTGTTGGCAAAATCTAACAACACATGGAAGTCACTGCATGATTTCTGCCGGATAGTGCTTGCTAAGCAGACCCTGGCACATCAATGGTTAGGAAAGTTTGGACTCAGAGTAAATAGAATATGTAACACATATCCTTGTTCTTACATTAGCACAGAGTTGAGAACAAGTGCAGTAAGTAATGTAGAAAAGTGTGCCAAGAGTGGTCTGTTTTGATAGTCAGCAAAGAACATGATTAGAATATTAATTGCTAAATTAGGACTGGTTTGGAGTATCCTATTTCTCCATTAGCTTAATTTAGCCACAACTTTTTATACCACTCTTAAAAAATTATGATAAGCATAAGTTTTATTTTTGCACACTTAAGGATTTAAATTAATTTCTTTGAATTCTCTGAAGCACTAATTTACCCATACCAGAAATTACCAAGCTGGCATCTACCATGTCCATTTTATTCATAAGCTTATAGCCATCACTCAGTATTTTTCCTTTGGTTTCACCTCTCCAACGGAAGAAGTCTAATCTCTTAAAAATATTCTTAGCAATTCTGAAGGTAACATTTACAACACGGTGGCTGGGCCAGCACTGTGGGGTGACAGGTGAAGCTACTGCTTGTGATGCTGCCCACCCCATGCTGAGTTACCACCTTGAGCTCTCAGCTGCTTGACTCCCCGGCCAGACTCCTGCTGATGTGCCTAAAAAAGGCAGATTAAGACTGAACAGTCAGCAGACCCAAATGCAGTGCCTGGCTCCTACATTGGCCTGGCTTAGCTGTGGTGACTGCACCTGCTTGGACTGCAAAAGGAAGACTTCTCTCTCTTTTTCCTTCATTTTGCATTTCAAACAGATAAAGAAAAAAAATCCTTAAAAAAAATTAGTGGCTGTGTCCTGTGCTGTAGCCTAGTGGCTAAAGACCTTGCCTCACAGGAGCTAGGATCCCATATGGCACAGGTTCTAATCCCAGTGCCCCTGCTTCCCTGCTTCCCTGCTAATTCCAAGCCCCTGCTTGTAACCTGGGAAAGTAGCCTCGGGACCCTGCACCTGCATGGGAGACCTGGAAAAAGCTCCTTCTCCTGGCTTTGGATTGGCTCAGCTCCACTGGGAAGTGAACCAGTGGATTGAGCTTTCTGTCTCTCCTTCTCTCTGTAAGTTTGACTTTCCAACATAAATAAACAAACAAACAAACACATATTTTAAAAAATAGTGGATACATTTCTTTCAGCAGATAAGGTGATAATGTTTCTAAAATGTCTGACAAAGTAAGTCACAGGACAATGTTAGACATCTAAAAGCTTACAGACTTCTCACATGGAAAAAGATCTTTAGCATATAGAATTTGATGTCTCACGTAATAATTCATTCATGCTTTAGGAATGGTAGTTCCAAAAGATAAACTTTTGCTATATAACTCATGTGTGTATTTCAAAGCAATAAGAATCTTAAGTATTTTAAAACTTTAGTCACTTGGAGAATATTTAATAATATGTGGTGAAACATAAAACTGTGAAGCCAGTCTTAGCATGATACCAGAAACATTACAATCGAGCTAAAGGCCCTTATGAATATAGAGATAGAAATGCCCAACCACAAACACAACACATTCAAAAGTATACACTGTGACTTGCTGCAATGCGAGAACGTTCCAACATAAAACTAATAATAATATCATGTAAGTAGACATAAGAGAAAAAAGTACACTATCATTCCAAGAGAAAATTCAATGCCCTTTTGAGATAAAAACACTCAATGAAATATAAATGCTAAAGATACAAATCCTGTAGAAGTCCTACAGCTCATAAACATCACACTCAATTGAAAAGACAGAAGGTTATCCCCCAAGATCAAGAACGAGAAAACGATACCTCCTTTACCAAAACTTTTCTTCAATAACATACGAATAGTTGTATGCCAAGCCAACTAAGCTATCCAGGAAGGAAAGAAATAAAGCTATCTCATATCTTCAATGATTTAGTTTTCTATTACAGAAGGAAAAAACTAGTAGAGCTAACAAATTCAGCAAAGTTGTAAGGTGTAAGATCAACACACAAATATCAACTCTGTTTTTACATACAAGCATTAGATAACCAGAAAAGGAAATTAAGACATGAAACATACAGAAATAAATTAAGTCAAGAAGTGAATGACTGTGTTCAAAACTAGAAAACATGGTTGAGAGAAGCTAAAGACCTAAACAAACTGTAATACATAACACGTCCATGAAGCGCAAGACTTCATGGGTTGGAAGAGAAAAACTTATGTGATCTGTAGATTCAATATAATGTACATAAAAATTCTAGTGATCTATTTTACAGAAATGGAAAGTTCAGCAAAAATTCCAATTGAAACTCAAGAGTTCATGAAGAGCCAAAAAATGTTGCAAAAGAAAAACGAAAGCAAGAAGAGTTCCCAATTTCAAGCCTTACTACAAAATGCGATAATTAAAACACTGTGTTACAGGCCTAAAGACAGACACATAGACCATGGACAAAAGGAGACACCACATAATAAAGTCAAGCAATGTATAGAGAACTTATTTTTGACAAAAATGGCAAGGCCATTTACCATTAATGGGGAAAATTTTTCTCTTAAGATAAAGTTGCACACTTTCTCAGTACACATATGATCAATGATCTGACAAAGAGCTAAAGCTATTCACCTATTGAAAGGAAAAATAATGGTACACATTCTTAGTCTTGGATTGGGGGAAACTGATTCTTAGAGTTGACACCAAAGGAAGAAGCAACAAACGCAAACACATAAATCAGATTTTCTAAAACTGGAAGGTTTTGGCCTATCAAAGGATATTATCAAGATTGTAAAAAATACAAATTACAGAAGAAAATAATATGTGGGACAAATATGATAAGGTTTTTAAGTCCAGAATAAAGAATTATTATAACTGAAAAACAAAGAGAAATGATTCAATTTAGAATTGGTCAAAGGACTTGAAGGGAGAGAGTCAAAGCTAGTAAGCTGAAGCCATGGGGGGACAATGGCTCAAGGATGAGAATTAGCATTGCTGGTTTTCTAAATTTCAAAAATATTACTTAACCAATTACCTAATAAAAATCCAAAATTCTGCTTCTAATGTTGTATTTAATTAATTAGAATACTTACACTGATCAGTTAAAAACATTTTAACTATATGTTAAATACCAATAAAAAGACATAAGCTGACAGAATTTATATAAAATTTGGGAATAATTAAAAGGCAAAATATAAATCCTTGAGTCACAAGAGCTTCTGAAATGTATATATTTATGGAACTAAAATGAAATGTCAAAAAGAACTTCAATGCCAGCCTATGCAATGAAACAACTTTTGTTATTTTATGCCCAGAATTGGTTTTAAACCAAACTGAGATATACTTCATTATTTACCAATTTAATGTTGAGGAAATCCAACATTGTTTAAATATAAATAGTCAATTTTCTGATAAAATAGAATAAAGCACAAATTAAAAATCAATTGTTAATCATACTGATTTTGACACATTTAAAAAGTAAACATCACACATGTATATGTGCATGTATATATATATACAGTATCTATATATACAATGTATCTGATTATTGATAATGCAAATTTGTAAATAGTTCATGCAGTACAAATTTTAGTAGTAAAGCATTTAATAATACAAAAAACAAAAAGGCTGAAACTGCATCTCACCATACTTAAGCTTGCCTGACATTTTAAAGATTAAATTACAATAGCATAGTGAACGGGATGCAGACAGGAATGCAGGACATGGAGCGCACACAAGCTGAGAACGAAAAGAGGCTCCAAGGCCATCCTGCCAGGCGCGACTGCACAGCAGTCCGAAATTGGACACTGATCCTTCAAGGCAGAAAACATTAGTATTTATTATTCTTATGATGATTTCAAACAATTAGGGTAAACCAAAAACCACCACATAGGAAATAGTCTGTTAATAATTTTGTATTAACAATACTTGTAGGAATAAAGCTTTTGGAGCTCTTGGCTTCTTGAGGATCAGTACAAATTTCTTGTGCTAAACACATAATTAAGGATAAGCTTTAAATGAGTTTTGCAAATGCATTATGTACCTATCATACTGTAGGTCCCATGAAATGAGTAAAATCAATGATAAATACTAAGGTATTAGTAGAAATTTTTATGCTACATTGTCAAATTACACTTAGCCCCCGTTTCTAAGAAAAAACATTTTTAAAAAAGGTATTTATCTCATTTGCAAATAAATCATACACCATAACTTAAGTGAGATCCTAGTTCTTCACTAATCTTTTGTTAACTAAATAGAACTAAATAATTTGTAAGCGTAACTATAAAGATAATTTCTTGCAGTGCTTGTGGATTATAGCATAGGCTACAACCTAAAATGCATTTGCTACTATAGTCTGGACACTTCAAGCATCTGCCAACAGGGTTAATTCTTAAGAAAAGCAAAAAGGTACTACAAAAAATTACTGTAGTAAGTATGACTATCATATAATTATAAAAGTGCAATTTATTGCCAAATGCAATATAACAAGCATTTACAATAGGCAACTAGAAATAAAATCGGGAAAAGTGTTACATTATTAGTTCTTGTTAATTTTCAACACTAACACAGCCCCTTTCTGTAGATGTAGCTAGTATAACATACCAAGAACAGCCAGAAAAATCAATCAACTGGTACTGTAAAAGATGGACAGTGTTCACGGCACAAAGTGGACCTACAGTAATAATTAGTGCTGCCAAAGCTAATAATGCTTGAAGCAAAATCGAGAAAAGATGAATAGCATGCAGTTGTACTGGACTCACCTGACAGAGGTGTAAAACCATTCTCTAGGAGCAGAGATGCATGCACAAAAGTAAGAATATGATTGCAAGTAACAGACTTTAACAAAATAAAAACAATACTTAACTTCAAAATGACAAAAAAATGGACAACACGATGGAACTACTGGGATGACAGGCGTGCACGTGCCTTACCTCTCTCTTTGCCAACAGCACGTTAGGAACAATGTGTGGTAGGCAGCGACCCAGCATGAGCATGACACTCTGCTCACTGTCTGCAATCCGAGAGACCTAGAAAGTCAGAGAATTAACAACAATGGCAGTGCAGAATCTCTGTGTACGATGGCGTGTACAAAGCCATGCCATCAGCATCCATGCTCTGATCACACATTCCAGCACTGTGAATGTCCAACAACTACAGAGCATCAGCATCGGAACAGACTTCAGATATCAGGGAACAGCCCAGTGGGATCCTGACAGGCTTCAGTTGTGGCAATGTGTTAGGGACTTCAGAGAATTGGAGCAATCTCAATGCTTGCTTTGCTTTTGAATTATTCTTAAGATAGGCTATCACTAGACATAGGATATCAAAATAGATTACAAAGGGTCACTTTAAGACGAATAATCCAAGTCTAAATCCAAAGAGTAGAAATAAGTAACTACCTTTTAAAGGTTAACATTTCAGCAACTATTTCTTAGAGCATTACCTTAAGGAACAGATTTAATTTTTAAAAAGTCTTATTACAGATGTTCTTACATAAGATATTAAGAAACATATCAGAATGTTTTAGTAAAGTTGAAAATACCTAGTATGATTTACCTCTGATCCTAAACGGCTATCCGCTGACATTCGACAAAAAGAGAGCAGTGCTTGGTGGAAGGCAGGGGACAATTTTCTGGAAGAAAACATTGAATGAAAAGGAGACAACAGTAAAAATGATCACTGACATGAAGGACAAATTAAATTTCCTACTAAAATTCCCATTCGTGTATTAATCTCATCCCACAACAATGAACTAGCTTTCTGTTAGTGCTGGCTTGAAGAGCACGTCACAGGAGACAAACAGCCGATAGGTGCTGATGCCAAAGCTCCAACCTAAAACAGTGCAGTCAATCTGTAACCATGCGGTAAAGTTCAGAGCAAAGATTTTCTCTGCCCGCATTTCCTCTTGGTCCAAGGAAGGGAAATAAACGGAGACACAGGGGTTGACTTACTGCATTCCTTAGAGGAAATAAAAGCTTGTAGATATATGGATTCATATGATACACCTCAGTGTTAGAAACACACACAAAAGAAGTAAAATTTAATGATGAACAGATTTATTCAACACACATGGTACATTTTAAAATTCATTTTCCATTTTTACTTGAATGGCAAAGAGACACCATCCATCTGAGGGTTCACTCCTTCTCCCCACTCTGCAATTGCTTTTTCAGCCAGTGCCAGAACAGCCTAAGGCCAGGAGCCTAGGACTCCATTTAGGTCTCTAATAAGGGTGTGGTGGACTCAACCACTTGAATCTGCCGCCTTCTAGTATGCACGTTGGCAAGAAGCTGGACTGGAAGCAGAGTAGCTGGAGAGCTGGGACTGAAAAGTGGCACTGTGATATGGGAACATGCTTCCCAGTCAGCGACTGGACTGCTCACCCAACGCCTGCCACTCTGACATAGCTTACAGATTGACTGATTTATTTGAAGGTCAGGGTAAGAGATCAGAGATCTTTTATTCACTGCTTCGTCCTCCACATGGCTGCAATGGCCAGGGCTTAGCCAGGCTGAATTCAGGAGCCAGGAGCTTCTCTCCAGACTTTTATGTGGGTGATACGGCCCAAGAACTTAAAGAAGCTTCTGCTCTTTCCTAGTGGAGCAACTGAGACATGTCCAGGTGCCCATATGAGATGCCACCATACCAGGCTGTGGCTTAAGAAATGTTTTTGTTCTCTTCCTTCCTAAGATTTTTATTTTTATTGGAAAATCAGATAAACAGAGAGGAGGACAGAGAGAGAGAAACATCTTTCATCTGCTGATTCACTTCCCAAGTGGCTGCAATGGTTGGAGTTGAGCTGATCTAAAGCCAGGAGCCAGAAGCCAGGAGCCTCCTTCAGGCCTCCCATGTGGATGCAGGGTCCCAAGGCTTTGGGCCATCCTTGACAGCTTCCCCAGCTCACAAGCAGGGAACTGGATGGAAAGCAGGGCTACCAGGATTAGAACCGGTGCCCACATGGGATCCCAACACATGTGTGGTAAGGACTTGAGCCGCTAGGCTACTGCACAGGGGCCTTTTTTTTAAGTCATCAAAATATAAATCTAATTATATTACTAAAGGGGGTCAAAATGTTTATATTTCTAAAACAATACAGGTCCTTATATGCATTCACAAAATTTTGACAATGCATTGTACTTCGTGTATTCAACCTGCAAGGAGCCATAATCTATCGATTTCCTCAACTCAGAAATATCAGATCAGCCTTAATGCTTCCCTTTTTACCCTCCATCCAGTAAACCTTTTAGCTTCTAGTTATCTTTTTTGTTGCAATGCACTTTTTCATAGCTTCTAATTATCTTCCAAATGTACCCACTTCTTTCCAATTCCATTGTGAATCCTCCAAAAAAATGGGCCTAATCAGAAAATGAATTAAAAGATACCTCGATTTTAGTGCCAACACGTTTGATATCTATGTATTTTTTCATAATACACATCTTTTTCATGAATGTTTTGTAGTGCCTTCATATGCTGTGATGGATAATGAACATTATCCAACCAATACTTTTTCCCTCTCTAATGTTCTCCAGTCACTATGAGACTTGGAAGGTTTGAGAGCCACAGCATTAATTCTGCAATAGAAGGGAATGCTTTGTGCTTCTAGCCCTTTTTCCTGTGTTTGCTTCCATAGCTCCACAGGTGATATTCTGTCAATATTAATAGTCTCTTAATTATTGAAGTTTGATGGATTGGCAGTGGCTTGAACTCTGAGGTGAGAAAAGCATAGTTCTGAAACTTCATGACCAACTCTTCCAGAGGAGGAGACAAAGTTTTTGAAACTTTGATTATAACTTAGAAGAATACTTTTAAGAAATGAGAATCTGAATTCTTTTTGTATGTCAGGCATAGTTCTCAATGATTTGTGTATATGAACTCATTTAACCAATATAAATATTTTACAGTTCATTCCTCCACTCCTCCAATTAAATACAGTAATATGCTACCCAGTATTAGGATACCATAGAAAAACATGAATAATTTGCTTCAGAATTTAAGCACCCCATGTTATTGAGAATACTAAATTAAAATGAGAAAAATGGGGCCGAGGTGGTGGCTGAGCCGGCCGAAGCCTCTGCCTGCAGCACCAGCATCTCACTGGAGCACGGGTTCCTGTCCTGGCTGCTCCACCTCTCTGGTTATGGCCTAGGAAAGCAGTGAAGGTTGGCTCCAGTGCTTGAGCTCCTCTCTGCACCCATGTGGGAAGAAGCTCCTGGCTCTTGGCTTCAGGTCACCTCAGCTCCAGTCATTGAGGGCCATTTGAGAAATGAACCAGCAGACAGATCTCTCCTTGTCACAGCATGCCCAGATGCACAGGGGGACATGACAGTCAGCTCATCTATGGCGGCAGGGGACTTCGAGTTCCTTGTCTTAGAATGGAAAGCAGAACGGGGTGGACCACTCTCTTGGGTAAGCTTTACAGTTAGTGTCTGGGTCCTGTGGATGTACTAAGGTGGACTTGGCTCAGCCAATAGACCTTGGAGAGATGTTATCTACCCGGTTGCAACAAAGCTGACAGTATCTCAGAACTATCAAAACCACTCAAGTAACACTTTGGAACACTCTTCCCTACATCTGTTAGTCTCTAAGGGGTCTCTAAGGCATCATCAAATGACTGTCTCCCATCCCTGGGTGCTGAGTAGTTTGACAGCAGGAACAGTCACCTTCCCTTCCCCCTACAGACACAGGAAAAAGGGAAGCTTGCAACATTTGTCCTTCCCACCTTTTTCCATGCCTCAATCCTCTCTGACCAAACTGGAGACCCACATGGGATTGTATCCTTCGCAACTGTGCAAACTATATTAAAAACAAAATTAAGTATCTCTCCTTGTCTCTTTACCTGTAATTCTGTCATTTAAACAAAAATAAGCATTTAAGAAAGAAAACATTTTTACCCAAATAATTCCAATTTTTAATGTTTCAGATGTATTTTTTCTCTTATATATGATGGAGGTTAAAGAATTAAAATAGATATGCTGTACCTCTTGAAGTATATTCATTCTAATATGGATAAAATATGGGCACAGGAACTGTAGTGCTTAGGAGTGCTTATTCCTAAGCCACTATTGTTGAGATGACTTCAATTCTTCCAATGGATTTTTGTTAAGCTATTTTATCTGCCTCACAATGTTTCGAGGAATATAATGGGAAACAAGTCATAGACTTTACAGCATGAAACAATCAAGCAGTTGCACTAAAGTATCAAAAGTAGCAGTGCAAGTACTACTTTGGGAACACACAATGAAGGCATCTAACCTAATCACTCAAGAAGCAAAGGTGTATTGGAAGACCAGTCATCTTTTCTGACATTTGAACTCCAATGTGGGAAGACTGGAAGGCATAAAGGAGCAGACTCCATTAAGGCCAAACAGCATGTACAAAGAGAACACAGGATTTGGGGGAACTAAGAAGCATTTAGTAAGATTTGTACAAAGAACTTTTCGAGGTACCCTTGTACACATTATGATTTTAAGTATTTTGTTTCTACTTTGACATAATTTACTTTAGTATATTTCATGACACGTTTTTACACATAATTTGCTGCAAGTTATATTTCGGCAAATGCAAACCCCCCTGCACCTGATCTGCAGGAACAGTCTGAACACAGAAGGGCAATGCATAAAACCAGGGGAAAGGCACATTTCAAGACACAGGATGAATACAAACCTATTGGGCTTGTCAAAATGAACTGCGTTTTTACTTGATGAAGAGGAAGATGGCACTCCTTCTTTTTCTCTACTAGGGACAGAATGTGGGGAATTCTCTTTGGGAATACTGGAATCAACTTCATCTGATATTGAAAGATGGGTATCTTTGCTTTTCCCCTTGTCTGAGCTATGCACAACTGCACTCTGTCCACTTTCATCAGAGTCTTTGTGGGGAGAGGGATCTGCACAGAGTTGAACACGTTCACAAACTGCTGGGGTGGCAAATTGTTCGTTCTTCAGGAAGTCCATTTCACTGTAGAATGAAAGAAATTGCCAGTAAACAACTTGTACTTTTGAAAACTAACACAAAAGACAAATAATGGGTTTAGAGCTTTAAGGGTGTACCCTACTTCTAGTGAATGATTAACAAGTGATAAAGCTTTTCTCACTTGATGCTTCATACAGCTAAAAGTGTAGCTTTGCAAACTCAACAATGAACCTTTAAAATGGCTTTACAAAATCTGCTTCTGATTAGCTCCTTTTAAAAAGATTTTATTTATTTATTTATTTTTAAAGACTTATTTATTTTTATTGGAAATTCAGATATAAAGAGAGGAGGAGAGACAGAGAGGAAGACCTTCCATCTGCTGATTCAATCCACAAGTGGCTGCAATGGCTGGAGTCAAGCTGATCTGAAGCCAGGAGCTTCTTCTGGGTCTCTCACATGGGTGCAGGCTCCCAAGGCTTTGGGCCATCTGCGACTGCTTTCCCAGGTCATAAGCAGGGAGCTGGATGGGAAACAGGGCTGCTGGGACATGAACTGGAGCCCATATGGGATCCCAGTACTTGCAAAGCGAGGATTTTAGCCACTAAGTTATCATGCTGGGTCCCTCTGATTAGCTCTTAATTCTGCATCTGCTACAGAGAATAATTCCACTGCACTCACAGATGATAAAGATGAAACAAAATAATCAATGAGAAAGATGAATAATATTAATATGAGGAAGTTATTTTACTAATATTCATAGAGCTAAGGCAAAATAGTTAATATATTTCTTAGTTCTAAGACATAACTGACTATAAGACCATCACACTGATTGTATAATAGCTTTCTTCTGGGAAAAAGTTTACCAACATTTTCGGTGTATAAAACAATTATAGACATTTCTTTGAAAGTACAGGAATGTGAAAATCGTAACTGAAATGCTGTCTATGCATTTACATAATTTGCCAGCGTCTGTCAAAAACTTGAAAAGGAACTTTAAAATAATGACCACATACTAACCTTTCAAGTCTTCTGATTTGCTCCATCAATGACCATTTCTCATTATTTAATAAGCTAATTTTATCTTCTAACTTCTGTACTAGCAAGGAGTTCTAAAATCAAAAACAGAAAAAAAAAAAAACAGAAACTCAACGTTTTTTGTATAAATATTTTCTGTAGGTGTGCTTATCTGGTGGCCGTCCCTTACCTCTACAGACTGAGAAGCTTCGAGGTTTGGGGGAAGGCTGCCTAGGACTGGGGTGAGAGCCTCGAGCTCATCTTCTTCCACTCCACTTGCTGCATCCACAAGATCCTTCCCAGTGACCTGATGATTTCCATAGTCTCGGTAAAGGTGCAGTAAATCTGGAGGCTTTGGAATATTTAATCCTACATCATCCCATAATTCAAAATCCTAAAAGACAAAAAAAAAATTAAATAAAAACAAAACTTTCAGGTGACTTTATACTGCATTTTTAAAAAGTATTTATTATTTGAAGGGCACACCGACAGAGACAGAGAGAGAGAGGGGTTAAAAAAAAAAAGGCAGATAAAGCCATCTCTTTCCCATGGTTTATTAACTGAAATGCAACAATAGCCATGCCAGGAACCCGGAACTCAATTCAAGTCTCTCCTGAAGACAGCAATGCCCTGAGCGCTTGCTGCATCACAAACGACAAACTCTTATCCTAAAATTGTGAGATCCACACTATTACTTCAAATATCTGAAAAACCTAATATTATCATAATTTTGACATAAGTTTCAAGTAAGTAAATACTGTTTTTAAGTTTTTTTTTTCTGATTTTTCAGATAAACAAATTTAATTGTGCTAGATGTCAAGATTGTATTAGTTGTCAGCTTTGGGGTCCTTGGTTAAGAAACCACAGTCTATTCATTTGAATACTATAACCACAGTAACTTTTTTTAAAGATTTATTTTATTTTTATTGGAAAGTCAGATATACAGAGAGGAGGTGAAACAGAGAGGAAGATCTTCTGTCCGTTGATTCACTGCCCAAATGACAGCAACGGCCAGCAATCTAAAGCCAGGAGCCAGGAAGCTCCTCCGGGTCTCCCACGTGGGAGCAGGGTCCCAAGCAGGGAGCTGGGTGGGAAGTGGGGCTGCCGGGATTAGAACCGGCACCATATGGGATCCTAGCATGTTCAAGGTGAGGACTTTAGTGGCTAGGCCATTGTGCTGGGACCCACATGTTTAATCTTTTGATTTACCTGAATAATAGGACAATTACTATAGGAGATTTCACCTGAGGGAACAATAAATATTCAAAGTGGATATGTTGGGAAAGCTCAAACTTAATTTGTCTATAGTAACTACTATAGTAATTGAATTTGAAGACTAAACTAGTCATCTGTAAACTAATATAAAACTTATCTACTGCTACTATTTTGGTAATAATCAATTCAATGCATACACAGGACTTATGTGCCTGGTTCATAATAAGAACAAAACACATTTTTGATTTTCAAAAATACATACTTTATGAAAGTAGTATTAAACATTATTCAAATATACTGCTCTCTACTATTCATCTAAGATTTATCGTGGTATCATGAGACAGCTTAGTTTGTATTTTCTTAACAAATAAAGATACTAAGCATCCTTTTATTTTCCGTGTGCTTATTTTCTCCTCATATTTCTTCTTTTGTGAAGTACTTGTTTAAATCTCTTGTCCATCCTTTTACAAACTGCATTGTTTATTCTGAGTTTAGAGAAATCTTTATATTGTTTATTAGACATATTACTTGCAAACATTCTAACTTAGGGTTTATCTTCTAATTCACTTAAGAGTGGTTTCAAAGAAGAGAAATTACTAGTTTCCGTAAAAGAAAACTTGATGAACATGCTTCTGGTTTCATATCTAAGAAATGTACATCTACTCTCTGGGAATGACTGATTTTCCCCTCATGTTTTCCTTCAGATGTCTCACAGCATTTTAGGACATACATTTAAGTTAACGGTTCACTTTGAGAACATTTTTATAAACAGCACAAAGTTGACTTTTATGGTACATGGTTGACAAAGACTGTCCTTTCTGAAACTAATTTACGTCACCTTTTTCTTTCTATAGACACTGATTTTATTTATTTAAAAGCCTGAGTGATGGAAACAGAGAAAACACACAAGGAAAAAAGAGCTTTTATTTGCTGGTTCACTCCCAAACTGGCTACCACGGCCAGGACTAGGCCGGGATCGCCACGCAGGACTCGCAGGTGGGTGGCAAGGGCCCAGGGGCATCCTCTGCTCTTTTTGCTGGTGTACTTCCAGGGGACTGAATCAGAAGCACAGGAGCTGGAACTGACATCTCAATTGCTGTCTTACTAGCCTCACCAAAATGTCAGCTCCTCATCTCTTAGTTTTAGAAATCAAAAATGAGGCTGTGTCTGGACTCTATTCAGTTCTGCCGATCTATCTTTCTATATCCAAACATGACATTGTACTGCCTACAGTATCTTTTAAGACTAAAAGTGAGGCATTTAAGTCCAATTCTATTCTTTAATCATGTTGCTTTGGCTGTATTACTTTCTTTCAGTTCCATTATAAGTTTGGGAATAAATTTTTTAAAAGTACTTACTTATTTGCAAGGCAGAGATAGAGGGGGAGTTGGGGGGAGAGACAGAGAGACAGGTAGAGAGGTATCTTCCATCAGCTGATTGGTTCCTCAAAAGGATCCAATAATCAGCCGGGCTAGTTTGAAGCCAGGAGCTTCTTCTGGGTCTCCCACGTGGGTGCAGGGCCCCAAAGCTTTGGGCCATCCTCAACTGCTTTCCCAGGCCACAAGCAGGGAGCTGGATGGGAAGTAGAGCAGCCAGCGCTTGAACTGGTGCCCATATAGGATCCCGGTGGGTATAAGACCAGGACTTTAGCTACTAGGCTATCATGCCAGGCCCTCCATCATATTTCTATATTCAAGCAGTAAATAGTGAAAAATATCATTTGCAGTAATATTAAAGCTAGTATTGGCTAAGCTCTGGCTTTTGTGGCCACTTGGGGAGTGATACGGTGGACAAAAGATCTATGTGTATCCTTCTCTCTGCTCTCTGTATATCTATCTTTCCAATAAAAATAAATAAATCTTAAAAAATAAATACAATGGACTTTTGTACACCAATTCTACATCCTAAAGCCATGCTATGATTATTTATTTTTGTATTTTTGCAGATATTTCACAGGATTTTCTTCATCAATGATCATGTGATTAGTGAATGAAGACTGTTATTCTTTCCTTCCTCAATGTGCCTTTTATTGCTCTTACTTGCCTTTCCCCACTGGCTAAACCTTCACTACAAAGTTCAATAGTTATGGAGTACATTTTATTTTCTTTACCTTTTTTTTTTTACCATTAATTATGTTAGCAATAGATTTTTCCATAACTCCCCTCTATTTCCATTTTCTCTAGTTTGTAGTAGGGAATTGAGTATTGGGCTGTGTCAAATATATTTTCTGCATCTTTTCAAATGATGTCCTTTTCTCTTTTAGTTTCTTATTAAAGTTTTGATGGTTGATTTTTGGATTTTAATCTAGCCTTTCATTTATAAAATAAATCCCATTTGGTCATGTTACATTATTTGCTTCATATATTTCTTGACTTGCTAAAATGTTATGTAAATTTTCTGCATCAATATTTATGAAGGAAACTAGCCTGGGATCCCTTTGCTTACAATGTATTTGGTTTTAATAAATATCAAAATTATTTTGATTTCATAGAACAAGAAAGTATTTGCATTTGTTTCATTTCTGGGCTTTTTGGGGAACTGTCATTTCTCCTGCTGCCCAACATGTTTAGAATTTGGAAGTGAAACCGAGTTGCACAGTTATGTCTGAGAAGGTTTTCAATACAAATTCAATTTCTTTAGCAAATACCTTTATATTGCTATTTCTCTTTAATGACCTCTGACAACTGTCTTCTTTCAAGTGATGCTGTTCATAACATCTTATTCTCTTAAGTGAATTCCATGAGTCAACCTTGTTATTTCTAATTTTGACACTTTTTGTTTGCTTTTTCCATATTCAGACTAGAAGTTTATCACTTTTATTGACCTCAAAGAACTGATTTTTGCTTAACTGATTGTAAAATTATTTTCTTGCATCATTTATGTACACCCTCATCTTATTATTTCCTTTCTTCTAGTTATTCACCTTTCTTTTGTTTTACATTTTTAATTTATAATGTAAACCCTATTTGATTTGATATTCCTCATTCAAATACAGGCACTTTGGTATTATAATCTTGCCTCTAATTACTGCTTTACTTATATCTCAAAGTTTGATTTGTTTGACCTTTTTCATTTAGTTTAACATATTTCTTGGTTTCAGTTTTGATTTGCTATTTAGCTCAAGTGCTATCTTGAAACATAAGTTTCCAAATATTTGGGGTTTTCCCTTAAGTTTTTTACTGGCTGCTAATTTAATTTCATTGTGTTCAGAGAAAAAATTCTGTGTTACTGAGAAGTACTTAAATTTTATATGGCTGTAATATGGGCTATCTTAGTAAGTAACATATATATATATATTTAGAAGTACAAATAATAGGGGTGGGGCTGTTTGGTGTAGGGACTAAGCTGCCAGTGATTGGATCTCATTTGCATTCCTGATAGAGGCTTCCTGCTCACATGCAGCCTGGAATATAGAAGGTGATGGTTCAAGTACACGGTAGCCGGACTCATGTACTTGAACCATCACTTAAAAATGTGTAATCATTGTGGGAGGATAGAATGTTTCATATATCTAGGTTTAAATTTATCCAATAAGTTTAATTTGCTTCTGATTCTTCAGTTTTTTGGCCCATGTTTCTCACATTTTCAAAACCTTTAATCACTCTTTAGTTAATAATTTATTAATAAATAAGACATACCTAAGCTATAATCTTTAACACAGTATATTTATGTTACCTAAATATTAACAACATCTTTTAAATAGTCCATGTTAGTAATTATTCAGTACAAAAAACTGGAATAAACACACACACAGGGATCCAACCAAGAAAGGGAAACAAAGACTTTTTTTTTTTAAAAAGCAAAGACGGGCGTGGAAAAAATACAATTTGTATTTGTATTGAAAATACAAAGCATGTAATTTTTATGAAATTTATATTTACTTATATTTATATTTACTTTTTGCCAAGTTAGTAACTACTATCTCTCTTAGAAAACATGTATTTTTGCTAATAGATCAGTGGGAGCTTTCATGACCCAATGGAATCTTAATGTAAAAATGATAGCCTGATTTCCAGATAATAAACTCCCTGCATTCATGTTTCTGAAGTCCCCAGCTCAGGGTGGCATTGTGGCATTGTAAAGCCCCTCCCTGCCTGTGCTGCCTCCAGCATCCTGATGTCTGCTTGTTGCACCTGTGTGCCAGCTCCCGGCTGATGGCCTAGGAGCAGCCGCGGAAGAGGACCCACATGTTTCAGTCCCTGCCACCCATTTGACAGTGCTGCCCATTGTGCATGCTGCGGGAAGCCGCAGATGGAACACCTCTCTCTATGTCTCGCGCTTTCTTCATAATTCTTTCAAAATAAATAAAGAAATCTCAAAATAAAAAAGAGTGCAAGATTCAACTGACCCTTCAAAGAAGAAAAAATATTTCGGAGGTGAGAGATGAATGACACTAAAACTATGTCTTCACTTTATCAGAAAAATAGCCATAAAGTTTTATAACTGGCCCCTACTTAGAAAATCAGAGCTCACATTATCACTCATTCAAAATTCTCTATTACTTATTGTGCTAACTACTTATCTAACAATTATTATACTGTTGTTGAGGTAAAACTGATTTATAGGAATACATTAACAAGTAAATACTTTAAAGTGAAAAATTAGCATACTTTACAAATACATGCTAATAGGAGTAGATTACATGGTTACTGGGAAGTCATAGGGAAAGAATAAAAAGTCTATATGTAGAAAGTAACATGGAAAGAACATATAAGACAATAGAACACTAGCTCAAGTAGGCAAGACACGTGTTTTGCTAACTAGCATTGTAGAATTTTACTAAACGTGTAACTTAAAAATTTTTTTTGTAGATGAAAGAGACAATAAGTAAATTGTAGGTCAAAAAAATAAATAAATCACTGTCTTTAAAAAAGTAAACTTTACCTGATCATCATTTTCATCTGAAAAGGTAATGGATGTAAGCTTGTAATTATTCTTCAATAAAAATTCATTGACTAAGAAGTTTAGAGCTCTCTTTTCAAGAGGTTTGATTGGCTCCTGTAAAAATACGTAGAGAACCGTAAGTCTTCCCGCTTCAATATCCGTGCTACCATTTTTATGTGGAAGATACTTTCGATCTCTCATTCACCTACCTGAATTTCAGGACTTGATTTGTAATTTTTTCGTTCCTGTAAAGGAACTTCATGTTCTGGTGGGGAAAAAATAAACAATATTTTACTATTTTAGCCTTTCAAAATAACTCGGCTACTTCTACATTGATAAAATAGGAAAAGTCTCAAAAAAATTTTATGTACACCACCTGCAGCCTTTGTCAGGTTGGCTCGTAGGGCCTGAATGGTCTCCTTGGCTTTCCGCAGTTCAAACTCCAGGACTGGACAGGGATTTGGAATAAACACACACAGGCATCCAGCCAAGAAAAGGGAAACAAAAATAAAAAAATAAAAAGCAAGGATGGGCATGAAAAAAAAATACAATTTGTATTGAAAACAGAAAGCATGCAATCTTCATGAAACTTGTGAACGCATGCAGCAGAGTAGATTTGCAAGCAAACTGGCAAACTGGTGAATGTCTTCCACAGTTTCGGTAGAGTTCAGGGGGCTGCTGACAAATGTTCTAGCTGTCTGACAAGGGATAGTTCTATTAAAAACAAAATCTATGGCAAACTCTCATTTTGGCAAACAAAAATATTTATAATCTGAGTACCTCTGCTTCAAATAGTCTAGGCTGAAGATATATTGAGATATTTTCAATGGACAACTTTAGGGAAATGATAAGAATTAGAGGAAGCTCAAGCTACTGTCCTTAAAACCTCAGGATTTTTTTTTCAGAAGTTATTTTTGAATGCATTGTTCAGAATATTATAAATCAGTATATAAAAACGTTGGCAAGTAGATCCATTTGTTAAGATGTGGAAAGAAAATGGCCTAAGTATTTTACAAATTTTGGGATTTCAGTTTTCTATAAACTGAAATATACTTATATTTCTAAAAGCAAGCACAAATATTAAACAAATAACCAAAAAAAAAAGTTCCAAAGGCATTTGGTTTTCTTTTAAAGTCAAAGAATAGAGATGGTTTCTCTTTTAGTTTCTAATTAAGATAATTTTAAAGTAAATAATTACATTTTTAAAAGTATTCTTACCCAAGAATATTCACTAAAATAGTGTAAATTTTATGTTTCTGATAACTCTTCGAGTAAGCTTGCCATTGTGAACAGGTATTAAATAGCTCAAAGATTTTTTCTTTTGAGACAGAGTCTAAGATAAACATTGCTGAGGAACTAGTTCAGTACACTCTTCAAAATGTCTCAAGATGAGGAAGAGTTAACTATATTTGCCTTAACTGGGAAGTTCTCTTAAAATGTATATTGTGCCAAAGAAAAAGTAATCTTAGCGTTGAAATAAAAGATACCTTTGTGAAATAAATTTCTGGGAAACTTAAGTGATCTTTATCACAAACAGGTATTTAAAAATTATGGTAGTAAAAGAATTTTGCATAAAAATTAGGAGATTTAAACTTTCATTTTAAAGATGTAAACTTTTTCCTGATTGATTAAAGTTGAAAAATTAAGATGTCAAATGAGAAGTTATCAGAGACAACAAAGCTATAAAATATATGGAAAAATTAAGATTCACGCAGTTTGCATATTTTCAATAAAAACTTAAGATATTGTAGAATCATGTTTAGTACATGAAGGCCAATTATTTTGATGCACAGAATTTAACTGCAGCAATATGGAGGCACAACTGAAAATCTGATGACATCATATGCTGAAACATGGAATTCGGTAGTCAGCAATGCTGATCTGCAAACATTTCTGTGCAACAAAGTTACTAAGACTTAGGCTGCTGGCAATTCAGAGTTTATACTAAAAACTACACACATTCGGTGTGTAAGGTAAGTACAGAATGGGCTGAATTAGCACATCGGTTTACTTCCACTTAATTGTCAAAGCTCTAGGTAGTTGATTTTGATCTGGAAATATCTAACTATACCTCAATGAAATCAGCACACAATTCATGTTTTCAGCATCATTCAAAATTTACTAAGACATATTACAGAACAATTGCAGATCAGAAATGCCCTATACCATAATGATAGAAATATGAAAAAATGAAAAGAAAAAAAACTGGTTAAAACACAAACCAGGAAAAACTCAAAATTCAATTGGTGAAGGTTCAGGTGACAAAGAGCAAAACACTGAATGGTTAAGGCGCAGAAAGCCAGAAAAACCCATGTCAGACGGCAAGAACGCATATTCTTATGCACAATTACATAGAAACAGCCAAGTGTTATCAGATGTTACCAATACTTTGAAAAGATAGAGCCTATCAAAATGAATTCACTCTGCTGCATGTTTCTTAATACACAACATAGATTTAAAAAGACAAAGGCATTTCTTTGATGTTACAGTATATCTTTTAAGTTACAGTAAGAATAATTTCACTGCAATAAATAATTTCCAAGTATTTTTCAATTATTAGGATATTCCCTGAAAATGTTTGAGGACATTTATGTTTATTAAAAAAAATGCTGCAGGAACCAACAAACCAACCTGTTTATTCTACTTGCCCAACTCCAATGAATGCAGTTTTGCTGGGACTAAAGTAATAACTGCAAAGATGTAGGTGTATATTAATATTGCATATTTCAATATTACCAAAAAAATTAATGATTAAATCAATACAAATACTTCTATTTTAGTTAACTTATTTCCTCACTACATCTCAGCCCTGTCCATTGTGGCCATCTGGAGAGTGAACCAGCAGATGGAAGACCTCCTTCTCTGTAACTCTTTCAAACAAATGAATCTTAAATATATACATACACATATATTTGCCAATCAGGGTTTTGGAATTCAGATAGTGTATCAGAGGTGCCTGAGTACTTCAAGATTAAGTAGATGTAAGATCAAGTTGATTAAGAAGATGTATTATATGGAGATACTGAACATAAAATATTAAATTTCAAAGCACAAGTAAAACCCAAAATCTTGGCTGCCTCAATTCAATTGATCACTACTAATAGCTCGAAATATTTGTGAGACTTAGTTCATTTTGGCATAAAACTGGAAATTTTTTTTGAGAGATCTTTCTCCTAAAACTTACCTCATGCAAGTGTTTTTTTTTTATTTCCCATTCGAACTGATCATTGAAGAATTCAAACCAGCAGTGAATGACTAACAGCTCACATAGACGTGAAAAACTGCCTTCTCTGGGGCTTGGCGTGCGATCAACTGGCTACTCCTCTGCCTGCAAGTGCCAACATCCCAGACGGACACTGGTTTGTGCCTGGTCGCTCCACTTCTCATACAACTACCTACCAATGGTCTGGTTGAGCATCAAAAGATGGCACCCACATGAAGCTCCTGGCCTCAGATCAGCTCAGCTCTGGCCACTGTGGTCATTTGGGGAGTGAATCATTGAATGGAAGATCTTTCTCTCTGTCTCTCCTTTTCTCTGTAAATCTGCCTTTCCAATAAAAAAAAAATCTTTGAAAAAAATCACCTTGATTTTGCAATTTTGTGGATTTAACAAGCACAAAAATCAGGTTTTTACTTGAAAGGCTGCAGTGAGATGGGAGAACTTCCCAAATGGCTACCATAGCCAAGGATCAATCTGGCAGCAAAGTGAGCAAGTAAGAACTCTATGTATGTGGGTGTCCCATTGATGTCAGGGACCCGAGCAAGGACTCTAGGTGGGTGTCCCACTGGTGTCAGGGACCCGAGTAAGAACTCCACATGGGTGTCCCATTGATGTCAGGGACCCAAGCAAGCACCTCAGTAATAAACATTGCTGTCTTCTAGGATGTATCATTGAGAAGCTGGATGGAAAGCAGCTTGTTCAGAAAGCAGCCAGAACCCAAACAAGCATTCTGACATGGGAGGCTGTCATTGCAAACAGTGGTTTAGCCTACTGAACCATAATGCCGGTCCCTGTGTCTTAATATAAGGTGATTTAACATGCCCCACCTTTAACATTTAGTATTTTAACTTAGTTTTTAAAATAAGGATTCATTCATTTGCTTTTTCTAAAAGGCAGTTGACAGAGGGGAAGAAAGGACTTCTATCCTCTGGTTCACTACCCAAGTGGTCACTACAGCTAAGACCAGCGAGGCTAAGGCCTGAGTCAGGGAGCAAATCTGAACTTCCCATATGAGTGCCAAGACCCAAGGAGCTGCTCATACTTTGCTGTTTCTCCAGGACGGCCAGTGATAAATAGGTGAATTAAAGCAAAATGAGGGGCCAAATTGTGGCACAACAGGTGAAGACATTGCTTTGTGATGTTAGTATCCATGGCCAGCTCCCTGCTAATGTGCCTGGGAAAGCAGCAGAAGATAGTCCAAGTCCTCAGACCCCATCCATCCATGTGAGAGAGCTGGATAGAGTTCCTGGCTCCTGCCTTGGCCTGGACCAACTCTAACTGCTCTGGTACTTGGAGAGGGAACCAGCAAAAGGAAAATCTGTTTCTCTTTTTCTTACAAAGGAATACATTTTTAAGGCTTATTTCTTTTTATTGCAAAGTCAGATATACAGAGGAGGAGAGACAGAGAGGAACATCTTCCCTCCAATGGTTCACTCCCCAAGCCGCCAAAACAGCCGGAGTTGCACTAATGCGAAGCCAAGAGCCAAGAGTCTCTTCAGGTCTCCTACATGGATGCAGGGTCTCAAGGTTTTGGGCCATCCTTGACTGCTCTCCCAGTCCACAAGCAGGGTGCTTGATGGGAAGCAGAGCCACCGAGATTAGACCCAGCACCCATATGGGATGCCGGCACGTGCAAGGCACTAGACTACTGCATCGGGTGCAGTAGATTTTTAAAATGAAATGTCCTTTATTTTCATAGAGAGGGGAAAAAGATCCTACTTTCACAATCTTTAAAGAAAAAAATTCCAGAGCTGACATTGTGGCCTAACAAATGAAGCTGCTGCAGGCAACCAACACTGGCATCCCGTTTGGGGCTGCTTTAAGACCTGATGCTACTTTGACCTAGTGGATCCAGGCAGATCATCCCACAGGCAGAGGCTGGAATGCCATTGTAGAATGCCTGCTCGATTATGTAAGGTTTACAAAGTCTCCCTACTGTTTTTATTGTGGACTGTTGTTCCTAGAACGGCATAGTATCTAAAATACAGAGGAAGCATTCAACAAATGTTGCTCAGTGAATGGACATTCCAGTATTTCATGTCATATGATAAATCTGAAATGCTAACTGATTACACCAGCATTCAAAGTGTCTTTCCCTATAACTAGGAAAGCATAATTTCTGTAGTTGTTTGTATCCCAACAAAGAGTTAAAATGTAGAGAAAGAATGCAGTAATGGAGATAAGGGAATAAAATGAAGATCTCTGGTGGTAAGTTATGGAGCTTGTGATCAGGAATGAGAATATGGAATCAGGTGTTTCCAGAATGAACAAGGGCCTTGTCACTATCCCCCAAGCACTGAGCATGTATCTGTACACATGATAGATATGCTTTAGAACACTCTTGAATGGCAGAAATGCTATGTACTTCATATTACTAAACCAATGTCTAAATCAGTACTTAGTACATAATATATTGTTAAAATTCCTAAAATAAATTCAATGATGATCATATCAACATTCAGAGTACAAATAACTTAGGGCCTTTAAGGAGAAAAAAAAATTCAGTTAAAGATCACTGAACAGCACCAAATAATTATATGAAAATGTGTACTTCATAAGAGGAGAATAAATGAAGAATTAGAAAATGCCTAAAATACAAAACTTAAATTCTTCCTTCTTGGAAAAGAAAATGGCTGATGTTCAAATAGGATGTATAAGACAAAAGAGATTTGCCACCTACACAGATGTATAAATGAACCGGAGCCACAGCCTCAGTTAAAAAGAAGTGCTGTGGATTCTAGTGTTGACAATACTGGGTAAATTTTTCAATCTGGGTAAGCCTCAGCTTTCTAATTAAAAAAAATAAGGCGTTATTATTTATTTTTTAGTATTACAATATTAAGCATTTTATACCAAGCACCTAGCATAGATTCCAACACACTGCAAATGGTCAAGAACTCTTTGTTTACATATTCCTTCCTTTTTGAAGGATGAGCTGAAAAGACTTGAGATAATAACTCGATTTTTTTTTCCTGCAGCACAATAGTAAGAATAATGCTGAAGACAAATACAGGTTCTGTGTTATAAACAGCAGCTGATTAAAAGTTACAGAAACTCCTATATGTCCCTTGGGAGAATGCGCTCATGACCTCTGTTACCCCCAGGCTTCTTTTGTCCAAGACTGGCACAGGCAAACGCAAAAACACATGTTTGCTCTTATGTGATCCATACGTGAGGTTCATTTGTGAGCCAATGACGCAACATGAAAAGTGTAATTTCTGGATTGTTAGTCTTCTGTTAACCTTTTAATTTCTCACCAATGGTTAGCAAAAGCAGTCAAAATCTGTTTGGAGTTGGAATTGTGAATAACTGAAACCTTTTTCTGATGTTTCATCTACATTTGTATACATTTGATTTAATACCACCACGACACAGGAACACCAGGAGACTGCAAGCTGTTCTCCGGTAACTGACGCACTTCCCCGTGCAAGGAAGTGGTCCTCATCCAGTGTCTACCTGTGTGAATCAGGTAGAGAACAGAAACATTTTCACCCAGTCCTAATAAAACAGTTAGGTATAAAAATGTCAGTGATCGTAACAGTGAAATCGGGTCATTAAAACCTACTAATTTCTTCTTTTCTGTTTTTACTGTCATACATAATGACAGACTGTTCCAAATAATTAATGATCAGTAATTTAAGATGTTGATAATCTGTTCTCACATCAATGCTGTTCCCTAATTGGGAGTAGTAAATATCTAAATAATAAGAATAATGGTGAAACTTTTACATTTAACCCAAGTCTGGAAAAGGAAATTAAAGAAAATAACATAATTATGTGGCTAATATCGGGATAGGTTTTCTTGTTTGCTTGTTTGAAGATTTTATTGATTTATTTGAAAGTCAGTTACAGAGCAAGATAAGAAGAGAATCTGCTGGTTCATTCCTCAAACGGCTCAACTGGTCAGACTGGGCCAGAATGCAGGCAGATCTCCCATGTGAGTGTAGGGACTCTTGGGCCATCTTGTGTTGATTTCCTAGGAGCACGAGCAAGGAGCCAGAATGAAGAAGGGCAGCCAGGACCCAAATCGGTGCCCATATGAAATTCTAGTGCTGTAGATGGCAGCTAATTCACTGTGCCACAGCACTGGCACCAAAGTGTTATTTTCAAAATGTAATAGTTTGTACAATAAGACTATATAAAATACACTTATATTTTACATATTTTATATTATATTTATATTTGTATTTATTTATTTAGTTCCTAAACAAATGAAAACACTATATATTTAAAATACAACATATCTAATTACAGGTACCATTGTCACAAGTTATATAATTGATGGGGTAACTAAGTCCTAAAATTACTCAAATAATTTTAGTTTAATTAGCTAATTGTAATTACTAGGTATGTAATTTGCTGATTTGATGCAGTTGTCAATAAATGATGTTCATGAGTAAATCATGATTTGATACAAGTCAAATGAAACTCCTCCAATAACATCTCTATTGATACTGCTTTTTTTTTGCATTGCTGAATCCTCTCAGCTTTTGTTGAACTAAAAACAATTACAGATTTCTCCCTACTCACAATACTGAAAATGTTAAATATTCAATCTCTGTTGTCAAGCAAAAAATGAAAGCCATATTGGAATGTCATTGTTAATTATATCAAACTTAATCCTTCATGCCAAGAGGTAGCATATGGTACAATCAATTGTAGGCTTACATGCTAGGTTATCTGGATAGAATGCTAGTTATGCTACTGATGTCTTACATAATTTCTCTGAATGTCACAGTTTCCTAAAGAGGGGGAAGATGATGGGTTTCACCACAGAATACATATTTAGAGTAGTATGAATGGGGCAAATGCTAATTAAAAACTAGCACTCATTTTTATTCATAAAGACCACAGCAGTAATCTCTCGCTAAGCTTTAACAAACTGGCTCCAGGAAATGGAAGAATACAGTTGGACAAGAGAAACCCATAGAGGTTTCCTTGACACTATAGCTCCCTCACAATTGCACATGTTTCACATGGCACCCCTCTTGTTCTAGTACCCACCATTTCAACTGATGGTGCCTGCCTTTCCCACGTCTAAGAGTCTGTGAAAACTGTAATCTGTAATGCTCTCAAGAATGACCATGACAACGGCTGCAGCACACCCAGGCAACACAAGGTACTCACCAGGTCAAAACAACTTCAGTCAGTTTCAACAGCCAACAGAGCTGTGCTGACACACAAACCTGGATATCAGCCCTGACTTGAAGGATTAATGAATGAGGTCAGGTTCAACTGTTTGCATTGCACAATGACTAATTTAAGCTTTTATTACTACTGGTTGCATGTTCATATCTGTCAGTAAGCACAACTCAGCAAACTGTAGGTGTACACAAGCAGAACCTGCAATTCACAGCAAAACTGGAAAAGGAAGTTTGGAGTAGCCAAAGCCTGTAATAAATCAGTAGTTAGTAACAATAAATTAAACAATATAATTGTGTACATAATGACATGTTGTATTAGCATACTCAAAACTAAAGGAGAGAATTCCTGCAGTCATTTCACCATTTCTGGAAAGTAAAACGCAGCTGTCCCCTCAGCCCTACTCACCTGCCACCCTCTCATCTGTCTCCCTGTTGCCATCATCTGAGTATCTTGCAAAGTCTAAAGAATCAAGAGTACTGATGCTCCCAGCCCGGTCTGAAAGAAAGAATTAGAGAAATCATTTTACTTGTCAAAGTAAGATGTGAGAATTAAAATACCTAACGATATTTCCAGTTAATACAAAGGATGAATTCCAATAAAACCAAAAAATAAAGCAGAAATGCTTAAACTATTTTAAAACAACAACAAGAAAAAGGGTTTAAAAAAATTAACAGAGTCTTCATGGGACAATATTAAAAGGCCTAAAATGCAAAATTGAAGTCAGCAACAGGTCAGGTGAAAGGTAGGGCAGGTGATCAAGAGAATAAATACAATGAACAGAAACTCAGGCACAACACAATCAAGTTCCCAAAGACATATTAAAAGAGTAATGATTCGAATGACTGTGACTTCTTATTGAAAAAATATGTGAAACCAAAAAGCCTATAACAGAAAAAGTATATTTCTATTCACATAATTCTTTTTTTAATTTCACATAGAGTAAACTAAAATATCTTCACAAAAAGCAATTAGGTACAACAAGTGAGTGTTTCAGAGTGGAATAAAATGATCAGCAGACAACAACCTCAGATTTTCATATGCTACCAAGGGTCATTCCAAAAGGAAAATGAACTGGTTTCATTTTCAAATAATATAAAAAGATATTTAAGAACAAATTTAACTAAGAAGTTTAAAAGTTACATAGTGAAAATTACAAAACCTTGTTGAAAGCAATTAATGATCTAAATAAATGGAACAAGGATCAAGGATCCAGGATTAGAATATCTATAACAGATCTTTAGTTTCAGAGAAATCTATCAAAAATTCTAGCTGAACTATTTTTTTGTTTTTGCAAAAATTTAGAACTTGATTCTGAAACGGACATGGAAACCAAAAGGACTAAAGATAGCCAAAATAACCTTAAAAAAGAGTAAGGGCAAAGACAATACTTCCCGATTTCAGAGTTAACACAGAGCTGCATTAGTCAAAGAAAGCATGAAGCTGGCGTATGAATGTGTACGACGGAACTCAGAATCCAGAAACCGAACCTCACATTCACAGGGTTTATTTCATTTTTTATAAATTTATTTTATTTTTATTGGAAAGTCAGGTAAACATAGAGAAGGAGATCTTCCATCCACCGGTTCATTCCCCAAACGGCCACAATGGCCAGAACTGAGCTGATCTGAAGACAGGACCCTAGAGCCCGTCTCCCAGGTTTCCCACACGGGTGCAGGGTCCCAAGGCTTTGGGCCATTCTCCACTGCTTTCCAAGGCCACAAGAAGGGAGATGGATGAGAAGCAGGCCACTGGGATCAGAACTGGTGATCATATGGAATCTTGGCGTGGGCAAGGTGAGGACTTTAGCCACTAGGCTACTGCGCTGGGAGACCCGGAAGAGCTCTGGCTCCTGGCTTCGGACTAGCTCAGCTCCAGCTGTTGCGCTCACTTGGGGAGTGAACCATTGGATGGAAGATCTTCTCTGTCTCTCCTCCTCTATGTATATCTGCCTTTCCAATAAAAATAAATAAATGTTAAAAAAATATACATATATCCAATACATTCTGCTTCTGTGATATATGTCATTTATTTCTTACTTTAATATATTAAGTATCATACTAAGTATTCTTTATAATTATGTATTAGGTCTTTTCCTGCTAATATTTTTATTTGAGAGGCACACACACATCAAATGGCAGGGGGAAGATCAATTGTGCCATGACAGGGTTTACTCTAAAGCGTGACCAGGAGCCCACGTCTGCCCTGCGGGAATCAGAGCCTGCTCTCATGCCTCTCACAGCGTGCCTTCACAGAGAGCAGGACCGTGCAGCACGGCCACTTCTCAAACCCAGTAATGCGGCACCTTACCGCTAAGCTGCTTGCCTCCCCCTTAGCTATTTAAAACATACATGTCTAGATTAGAATCTATTTGGTCACGATTCTTCCAAAATACTATTTCTGTGAAAGTTTTTAAAAATTCATCCATCAAATAAGTGGGGTCTTTGGTCAAATCAAACATAATTCTCAACTAGGTATTAACATGGTCATTGAAAACTACTTTCAAGATAAATTTTAGAGCCCATTGCTATAGCTTAGTGGCTAAATCCTTGCCTTGTAACCACTGGGATCCCATATGGGTGCCAGTTTATGTCACTGCTGCTCCACTTCCCAGCCAGCTCCCTGCCTGTGGCCTGGGAAAGCAGTCGAGATGGCCCAAAGCCTTGGGACCCTGCACCCATGAGGATGACCAGGAAGAAGCTCCTAGCTTTTGTAAAAGCTTCTGTACAAGGCTACTTTACAATACGAAAGCTAGAAGGGATACAATCAAGTTTTTTGTTGTTGTTTTTTTTTTTTTACTTCAGCTGAAAGATAACATGGAATTTAACAATAATGAACACCTTTTAAGTAAGGAACGTATGAATGTCAGAGTGAAAGCATAGGTACTCTATTTCCTACAGCTCAAGGCCACTTTTGAATTTTTGAAATGGCTCTATTTACTTGTAATCTTGGTGATACAAAAGACTGGAAACACTTAGGAAACACTTTAGATCAGCACAGAGGCTAATCTCTGAATAGAAAAGAACCTGGACATCCTAACAGCAATAATAAAGAAAAAAAAGTAAACCAACCAACCCAATCTTTTACTTTGACAATTAAAAAACCCTCGTTTTGTTGATCTTCAATTCTCCTCAAAAGGCGTGCTCATTTTCATTGGTTCTTATGTTGAAAATATTTGAGCGTTAGAAGGAAGTTTACACAGTCCATCCCTTTGTTTTTATAGATAAGAAAATTGAAACCAAATTTTTTTCCAATGAACTAGCCCACAGTGAAGTGTGTAAAAAGCAAAGTAAGATTTGCTCTTTGCCTTAATTGCTTATACTTATTGGAACTGAGTCAAGAACACAAGCAGACCATTTTATTAAAGGGTACACAAATTCTCCTGCCTGCAGTTCACACTCTTTTCTGCTTTCTCATGAGAGTAAGACAACAAAGTTAAACGTCAAAGTCAAAGGTTTAAACTTGAAGACGTAAATACTTATACTTAACTGGCAAATTGTTCATCGATATTAACTTTCTACAATATCAGATGACTTGACCATATGTTAACATTTACTATGATAATGATTATTTTAACATGCTTCTGACCACTTGTTTTGTGTCAGATCCTTTACACAGATAACTTTTACCATTTATCATGACCTCATGCAAGAACATCATCACCACGTGCTCTATCCGGCAAGGGGACACCACCCAGGAAGGCCAACTACGGAACGGCAGGCACCGAGTACGAACTGAGCCTGAACTCTTGGGTTCCAGATAAGCAGGCCGTGCGCTGGGAATGGCCCGAGAGTAGTTTGACTCAGTCTTATTCAAGTGGAGTTGAAAAAATGGACTGTAGAGAAAAAGGTTTACTTTGGTAAGGAAATAACCAAAACATATAAATTTATAGGTAAATTTATAGATTCTGTAGCCCAGTGCCTGAAGTCCTCGCCTGGCATGGATCTCCCTGTTCATATTCAGGCTGTTCCACTTCCCTTCCAGCTCCTTGCTTGTGGCCTGGGCTTATTTCTTTTCAAGCAAATGTCTGTAACAAAGCCTAAAAATGGAATGGGAAATAAAAGAATGCACATTTCTAACATGTGATAGGTATTACCAAATTATCTTCAAGGGTGTATCTCATCCACATTGCATGAGTACAAATGTTATCTTCCAACTTCCCTTTTACACATATTTTGATCAAAACTACCCTCAGTAGAAAATATTTCATGTAGTAAAAAAATATGTTAGGCAGTATCCAGGGAGACAGCAAACTTAAAGTTATGGACCCAAGCATCTTTATGATGAAGATAACTTATTTAATTACCAACGAGACAGAAATAAGAACTTCTACCATCATGACATATTCACCAGCACAAAATACAAATATTAAACTAATCATGAAACAGTGATAACATGTTACTAAAGATTCTCAAGACCATTTCCCACATTTAGTTTTAATTCATTTGGTGGTATGGATGCTGGATATTCTTATGGTAGAAGACAAAGTAATTCTTCTTTAAAAGAATAACCACCTACTGACCACAAGACTGGCCCTCTGTATCCCACACCAATGACTCACTGAGCTTCGTCCATGGTCTTTTCTGTTCTTTAGCTCACTTTGTCTACTTCTGAGCCAATGGTAACATTGATTACTTAGCAATATCAGTAATGTTCCAAATAAAAGCAAATTTCCTTTTCTAAGTCAGATAATCGAATAACAAAGGTTTAAGAATTCAACAGGATGAAATTAATTTTAAAAACATAATTTATAAGAATGCAACTAATTTTGAAAACATAAGTAAATGCCTTTACAGACATGAGATACAATGCATCAATGATGGAAGTAGATTTTATTGAGCTATTGCAAACTCAAAACAATGTGTGTCTGCATGGGAGACCCAGAAGAAGCTCCTGGCTCCTAGCTTCAGATCAGCTCAGCTCTGGCCATTGCAGCCACTTAGGGAGTGAACCAACAGTGGAAGATCTTAATTCTTCTCTCTGTAAATATGACTTTTGAACAAAAATCTTAAAAACAAAAAGTGTCTTTGAGTAAGTTAATCTATGTTTACATAAACTTATTGCTAGTGAGTCAGTAGATACAGTACCTGACCCTCAGGGCAGCCCTCCCAGGTAGGCAGTATGACAGATTGGGAAACTGACCTTCTGAGGGATTAAGCGACTTTTCCTTTAGTGTTTATTTTCCCTTAAAACCATTAGACTTCTCTGGACTTTCGTCTGGTGGCTAACCACGTAGAAATGCTGTTAGGCTTCCCATGTGAAGTTCAAGCACAGAGATTCCTAGTGCCTATTTTTAAGCTATTTCGGTTAGTAGTTGTCATTTAAGCACTGTACAAAAATACAGGGGAACTTCTTTTACGTTAATTATGACATGTATCTACTACTACAGTTTAACCCTAAGAATTAGGAGGTGCTACTAATCTTTCTCAATCTTACATCATCAGTAAATCTACTCCAGCCTTCCTTCAGTGCACCCCATTTGAATAACTATAAAATTA